GAATCCCAGATTGCGGCTTTCTTATTATTCATGCTGCTTTATCAGAGGTATGGTTCGAAGATTGATTGGATTTATGCCCACGCCGGAACACCACCTAGTAAGCGTGCCCCAATGCTGGCACAGATAAATGAGCCGTGTACAGCTGAAAGTCGGAATAAGATAATAATATCTACCTGCCGCTTGTCAGGAAAGGGCCATAATTTGCAGAGAGCAAATTACTGCATCATTACCGAATTTCCTCTAACTAGAGATGAACAAAGGCAAGCCGCCGGCCGTATTGATAGGACAGGTCAGACCATGAATCCTATTGTCGTTCAATTGTTGGATAATGAGAATTTGGCCGAGACGGTTCGATATCGGCGAAGCCGCTTAAGGGCACAACTGGTGGATGATAGTATAAGGGAAAGTGAAAAGGTGGATATTAACGATTTCTGCGAACCGATAAGAGATCTTGTTATCCAACGCGGGAATTAATATAAATACTGCGTGCTAATATATATATCTCCTTATTTTCTAGTAGAGGTTTATAGTCTGTATTAATATATCGGATAGTTTGTTCAATTTATTTATATAGCTACCTCCTATGTTAAGACTTATTATGAAGAAGTATTTTGTAGTATACCCACATCCTTATTTCTTAATACATCTGGAGTCTCATTCTCAAATAGTAGCAATTTCCATCATCTTGATTATGTATTTTTAACCAGTGCTTTACCAATTTAGTGTCCATTGACCCCATTCGTGCCATTGGTCCCATTAGTGGCACAGCAGCCCCCTGAACTGCTACCTCCGTTAGTAAACGCGAGCTTGCTCATTCCGTCTGTCGCATTGACAATCCCCGCGCCGTTCGCGGCTACTTGGCTGGGGGTACTGGAGTAACTAGGTGGGACATCCATGACGGGGTTATTAGAGAAGAAGTTGCGCGGACGCAAGAGCAACGTGATGGGCTCAACTGGCATCACAGGGAAGTCTTCCGGGGCGGGGATGTGTGTAACTCCGAAGGTGTGCCATAGCACCACGTTTGTGTCCTCGATGGATTCCGTACCGTCTCCAATCCACTCCGGCAAACCAATTGACGGCTCTCCTGATGTCTGGGGCACGTGGCGCCCCGCCGGCCACAGCTGGTCGTCTTGATCTACAGGGTTGATTCTTAGTTAGAAGACTCGTTCAATGGATGGGGGGGGGAAAAGGGGTTAGCTAGGTAGGTGGTTTACTTACACTTCGTAACATGTACGGTGTGTCTAGCGAACCCGGCCCGCTTCCAGACTAGAGAGCCCTCCTTCGGTAGAAGCCTAGCGACTTCTCTGCTAACAAGCTTGTAGCTCGCTGGCTTTTTACTATAGGGATGCAATTTTCCTGTGTTGCAAATATCCCATGTACGGCTCGTAGCGCCGTCGTAGTCTGTCGCTGCTTTGCCGGTCGTATCTAGCTTTGTTCGCTTAGCGTAAAATGCGTTGCCATAATAATTCTCTGGGCTGCCGACTGGCGCGTCGGATGGGACTGTATCTGCCATGAAGACTGTGTTGTTAGGCCCGTCTACGTTGGCATCAATCCGTAGGCAGAACAGATGTTGGTGATTATGTGCGTTGACACCTTTGGTTACTGTTAGCCACTAATACGGACCTCAAGAATTTGATAACTTGCCTGGATATACCTGAGTTCCCCAGCCATTAGTATCTTCATCAGGGCCCATGGCATACGTATTCAGGATTCCCGTGAGTTTGATCTCCGGTTGGATGGTACCATCTTGCTAAAGTTGAAGTCAGTAACACGAACAATGCAAGACCACACTTGAACTCTCACATGGAAGATCCACTACTTCTAGTTAGCACTCAGTTACCAGCTGTGTTTCTATGAAAACTAACCTGTATGGCATATTCATAATTGGCAGCAGTAAAAATCTGCTGAACGATGAGTTTCCGTGCTCGGGTGACGATGACCGATTCGTCCCTAAAGTCGGTATGTTTGAATAATATGCCATCGTCCTCCTCGTGAATGCAAATTGCATTCTTGATGGTGCGAAGGCTGCCGGATCTTGTAGGGAAATGTGCATCTAGATAATGGATAGAGCCCTTGCAGTCACACCCCAGCGTAAGACTGTTGGTCATGTACCCAGCACCATACTCTCCAAGGTCAAAAGCATGTTTCCGCTGATGAGGATGCTCAGGGTTCCCGCTGAGTTTATTATTAGCAAGTTCTCCCTAGATAGATCCAAGTTACTCACTAAGGTACCACCATCTCCGCTAGAGAGAGCCGGTAAAAGATTGGGCGTACAGTTCCCTTGTCGTTATAAGTGATGTTATTAAGGATGATACCCTCACGATAGTTGAAACCGATATGGAAGTTCCAGTTTTGCCACTCTAATTCGCGCCCTTTCATTTTGAATGAAACTCCTTCTGGCTGAGTTATGTTGATGGGTTTCAAGTCGTTACGGTATCCTCCTGCCTTTTCAATTGCAGCAGGATGGTAATTTATTGGCGCGGCCTTGCTTAGTGGTCGTCGGACCTTAGGGATATCAATGGCAATAATTTCTTGCTTCTCTGCGTCAAATATAGGACAGAAATCTAGAGGGTACTGGTACTGGCAGTCGTCAACATTGGGCCTGTAATACATCAATGCTTGCTGGAGTCGAATCTTGTTGCCGTGCCTCTCATCGTAGCCAATCGTCCATGGGTCGCAATAGACCTTGTGCATCTCTTCCTTTGGAATTCCACTGATTTCACATTGCTCAATAACTTTAGGGTCCTTCCGGCAGATGTGCTCAACCAGAACTAGCTCTTCCATAGTTATCTGAACACTATTGTAAGCAATTTCCCTATCAATTTGACACATCGAGACTTACTATAGGCTGTAATCCATCCAACAATTCCCACTTAGTGATCTTGCCAACCGCGATATCAACCAACCCATCATAAACCTTGCCACCGGGGGCGATTACGACGATATCAGCAATCCTGGGCGGTCGAGGAGCGTCGGCTGAATTTTCCAGCCATTTTATCATCTCCGCCTTTCGCGGCTCATGCAGTGAGACAACATTGAAGAACACATCTCCGTGGGCCTTTGTTACAATGCTAATAGCTGTCTGGATTTCATCCAGACTTAAAGGATCGAAGGGGTGCGGAACCGTGTCAGAAACTGTAGAACCCATTGCGACTATGGTTTGAGGCGTAAACTACGATAGGAAAATGTTGAAAAGAAACTCTCGCGGGGATAGCACGAACTTAAGTATATCACACGCAAACACATCTTGATAGTGATAATCCTTATACACCTAACTCTCTAATAGTCTATAATACGATTAATGCAGTAACACACATATGATGTATGTATCTAAGGCCAATTAGCAATAGTATTATCCCAGAACTACCTGATAAGAACTCCACTCGCCGCCTTGTCGTGCTTCAGTATCAGAAACTCTAGGCTCAGCTCTGCAGCATTTGCCCCTCCCTCACCAGATAAGTATACTTAGGAGGGCGATGAGCGATGATAGGAAGATCTCGGGGTTCCCCTCCTCATGCATGTGTAGGCCAAGGACTAAACTAGTTGCGGGGGAATAGCCGCATATAGTTCCCCAAAGCGGTATAGGCTTAAAATTGACGGCTCTGGATGGTTAACAATATGCTTGCTAGTAATGCCAACATAGATAAGATATCAGCCATAATAAGTCAAAGACCCTTAGATATCTTTATATTCCGATACCGGGTTTTAGCAGTCCTAGGCCCTATCTATTGCATCTTCCCGAATGCCAGGAGGAAGATCCCGATTCCCGAGTTTTGATATTCAGCGGTTATAGAACATGTCATGAATGAGCACTGATGTTAGCCAAGTATCCAAAGCCATCAAGTCAATCCCTTTTCTAGGCCGATCATGAAGACGCTACTGCACTTTTGGCAGCCTCATTGCTGCTTTAAACAAGCTCTTTTATTTGATATCTCTATCCAATACTGATACTTCTAGAGTTACCACAATGCTAATAATATTCTGTCATCATGTGAGACTGAAATTCTGGTTTGTGGAGAATGAAAAATATTTAACTTAGGCTGTTTAAGGGGATTGGTATAGTTTCTTCTATAATATAACGACGTTTTGATGTTCGATTATTTCGAATTATTTCGAATTATGGTCGGCAAGAATATAGTAGCTTTTAGATTCTTTCTATATTTAATGTACATTACTTCAAGTTCCGGCACTGGTAGTCATTTTGGTTGACTATTACTAAGGAGATGCGGCTGAACAAACATGATCCCTGACTTATTATTATTCCCTACCAAGGTACCCGCATCAAATAAGAGATCAAATAATACAGTAGTAAAACGAAGAACGATATAGGATGCCCTATTTATACGACATTATATAATTATCATCTGTATATTCTTTAGAACCTTTCGCCATGCGCAGATGATATAGTATTGAGATGCTAAGAAGTCTTTGAGACGGGTAGAAGAGAATAAAATTACCATACGAGAGGGTCGGAATTAAATATAACGTTATTTTATCCCAACGTGGTTGAAGTAGTATTTTCCAGGTGTCTTAAGGTAACTAATAGCGAGACAAGATTGATGTGCTCACTAATAGCTTCGTGAGGTGCTTGCCCAATTAGGATATTGTCTGACGGACTCTAAACGTAGAAGGGGATAGTTTGGAGGTTATTTCCAAATTAATAATTTATAATTGTGTCATAATAAGCCTATAGTTTCATTCTAGAACACTATTTTTCTTACACGCTTATGCATCGTCGCTAAAAACTCAGGCTAACCCCTGACTACCTACCTATTTCCTAACTGTTATAGCTGACTCATCAGATGACAAATCATCAACTTAGGCATCTTACAGCTGAAGAGTCAACGTGTCTATAGTTCCACCTTTTTTCTTCGATACAAAGTTGTTATTGTTAACTAGAAGAAAAAGCAATACTAATATCTAAGCTGTCTAACCAAAAGGCTTTTAGCTTTCAGCCCAGAATAAAGCGATCTATTACCAAGACACTTATTTAATACACTATGGGAGATAACAATGAATTTAAGGATTCAGATTCCCGACGCGCGGAAGCACCAAATTACATCGCGGTAAGACTTATCCATAACTCTTCTTCAGCCTCCTCGAGTACCTAAAACATTACATATGTGAACCAGGCCCAATGCCAACTGCTAAGTCGTAGGCCCGTCGTGAGAGGGGTAAATTGGCCCAGCGAGCATTTAGACAAAGGCAAATCGACACCATCCGGAGTTTGGAAGAAGAGAACCGCAAACTTCGCAGGGCTATTTCGACGATAAGCGACGCTGCGGATCGTAATGACGCCACTATATCGCAAGCAATCGCTGAGGCCCGTAAAGTCGCCGGAATTGCGACCCCCGAGGCTAAGCGGAAACTACCCACGCCAACGATCCCGGATTTGAATAGCTCTCACTGGTCGAGTATCACTCCCATTGAAGCTACACCAATTGTAGCTCCTATGTCATCCCAAGAAAGCAGTAGTCTTGATGATTTCTCATTAGCATCATTTGAGATTAATGATCAAGCAAATAATAGCTGGTCACAATTCTTGTCAATGACAAGTTCCGATACATATGATTTAACGACAAATCTAGACAATTTTGACAATGGCTTGGACATATCGATATCAAATCCAGATTATCTTGGGGAGCAAATAATCTCCACGGGGGTTTCAACAACATTTGAACCAGATAGAGCCATCCATATCGCGGATCCCCCACCGGATATTGTTCCTTACATGGGTGATAAAGCCTACACTCTAGCTGGCCAAATTTACTGGGCAGCGTTAGCTTTCGGTTTCCAAGCGCTACGGGCCATAATCTCATCGGCGACGCCTCCACCGGTAGCCGTAGATATTGTTACCCAGCAGTGGTCTTTCACATCGAAGCGTCTGGCTCTTCCGCAGATAATGCGCTTGATGCACGCACGACTTGTTTTTCGACGCTATGGATACTTCCACCTTGCTGGCGATAAGCATATAGAGGAAATAAAGGTAGCCCGAATTCTATGTCCACTCTTGAGTTATGTTTGTTTGCGAGTACTAGGATTAACATTTAGCACAGAGCTTCTTGGACCCGAATTTAATAAAGCGTCTGAGCGTTGCACTAGGCGACGAGGCTAATAAGGCGGGCTTTAGTAAAGCCGACTTCCTGTCGCCGCTGGACTTCGAGAGAGAGTTGCGCCAACGTTTTCGTGACGACTACCCCATATTTGAGGCCGCACTCAAAGGTCAGGCATTCGACCAGGAGCATGTTGCATGCATGCGGAAACTAATCCAACTTATGTCGCGTCAAGCTGTCTGCTTTGGGGACGGTCCAAGATGGAGGCCGGAGTCCGTCGACACGTTAGTAGATGGTTGGAAAATGAGTACAAGACCAGTTATGGTACACTGATTTTTCCAGTGAAAGTCCTAAGAGTTATGATGAATGAGCTCTTCATGACGTTGACGTTCGTTGTTTTAGAGACGTTTACTGAAATGAGCGAGCGATCTTTTTTCAAGTACAGTAAACGTTGTATTGGATACCTAAAATAATATGTATATAATTAATACCTCCTTCCTCAACATACCAGCAATAATTTAAGTCAATATACAATATGTTAGAAGTTTACTACCTGTATCATCTATCTTTTAATCTATGAATGGAGATAACAATGACTTGATCGTGAATAGGTAACTGGTATTGGTGGGTTGGCCAATCGGGTAGGTTTTATCCGAGTCATCAAAAGGAAAAAAAAGGGGTAAAGTAAAGGGGTAAAACACCGCTAATTTTAGACTTCTAAGACATACCTTTGACTTTCACATTGAGGTACATAGGCGACAGGAACATTATAATTGGGAGGACAATGGGATACTTGAAGAGACACCAAGGTGCTCAATTGTTTTTACTCTGGAAGGCCGTCGTATTACTGGGGCGTAATGGTATCACAGAAGAGTCAACTACAGATTTGAATATGTGGCAGGATCTTTAGAGAATGCGAGCTTCTTGATAGTGGCGAATGGTTGAAAAGTCTATGCTACTCTAGGTACTGTGAAGCATGCTTTGCAGGAAATAATCGCAAAATCAAGTGAATAGTAGCGATTTTTAAGTCAAGTCGAATCAGCCACTGGTTTCATCTGAGAATGAGCGTCTCTTATTAGGATGGACATCTAAAGTTTCACCTATAGGTATCAAGTATAATAAAAACAGGTAAGTAAAAGAGTTATATACCAAGGTGAAGTAAAAAGGAGGTTTAGTGGATTTCTATTGTTTCCGAGCCCCGACTATCGTTTCTTAAAGATTTCGTCCGTCTTTTAAGATAGTCGCTATTCCCAACCATTATCCCAAAATTGATCGGTAAATGGCAGCAGCAGACTTTGGTAATTGTGTGCTTACATATCCTACATTTGGAGCATCCATAAATATTAACCACTCCCTATGGTCCTCGGCTGGGCGATTTCTAGATTGGTAACTCGATCTTTGAAATTCTGGATCAATACCGGAAATCCTGGCCTCTTCAGTTAGCTTGAAGTGGCGGTTCAGACGGTCTTCTTCCCAAAACGCAAGACCCATCCAGTTATGAGAATCCTCATTGATTAAAGATGCGATTCGATCTTTGTTCTGTCTTTCATCAGGATCGAAGTAAGTTCGACATAACCACGACGGGCCATTAGTCCTATCAGGGGCTCCCCTCCAGGGTACCATACCTGTAGTAGGAACCATGGTGGGAATCCGGATACTGTCTATACCTTGGTAGTCGCTAAAACAGTAACTCAAAGGCGTTGAAAAAAATGAGTTTCCCAATGGGTTGTGCATCATGCATCTAAGACAATACAGCTGTATCGCACGGGGCTCATCATATTCATCCGGTTTATCAAAGACCACCCGCGTCAACGATTCTAATCCCATACTAATAATACATTCGAGTGTTTCACCACCAGGTATTACACCTTGTCCAGGATGCAGGGGTGAGGAGATGCGGCAGGATATCCCGTAAAGACGCCAATTCCAATCTAGATAACACTCGATCATTCCATATATAGCATCTAATTCTGCCAGGAGAAAAGGCTGCAGTGACTGAAAGAATAACATTTGTTCAGGAACTCTACCGTTTGTTTGATTCCTGCCTCCATGGGATTTAAAGGAATGAAAAAGCGTACAGTAGAGTTCAAATAGGAGGAGAGCCCGGTGAATGCGATATGATTCAACGGCTGAGAAGGAGTGCTCATCCTGACCATCTCTTTTTTGTGATGTGACCATGTCCTGGGTTTTGAGGAACCTCTCGAAACTCTGGGGATCTTGAGATGGGTATGACCTGGAGATGTTGTAGTGAAGTCGGCCAACCCAGCTCTCAACGGTTTCAAGCAAGAACTGGATACGGCTCAGAGTAGCAATAGTGCGAGGAATAGTTGCAAGCATAGTATCGTCACTTCGATTTGAAAATTCTTTAATCCAGTTAGCATACATCCGGGGGCCATTTTTCGAATCCATGAAGGGGAGCTTGGGCGCAGTTTCAAGAGAAACGATCTGATAGACAAGATGACGGATTTCTAAGTTATAGGGTATGTTAGGAAATTTCTCAAATATTAATCTGATAAATGAAGGGAATTCCTGGACAATCACCTCTATAAATCGAGGGTTTCCCACGATCACTATACGCAACTCTTCTATACTGAATTGACCGAGAATCATGACTTGGATTTCGACGGGACAGCCGAAAAACAGCCGTAACATGTTTTGATCCATACTACGAATAGCTGGGGGTTCGTTTATAAAAAAAAGAAAAGAAGGGTTGTATATCGAAAGGCTCTTTAATGATGTACTTTGCTTTTTAATGAAGGTACGGTCTTAGATTTATAGTTTGGCTCCGTTGAGGGTCATAGAATCTAGTATTAAACGAGGGTCGATTTGTTAATTCTGCTCAAATTGCTTCTCGTAATTTTATGGTTTAAGCGCGTCAATATTGGGATTTCTAGTTGTTGGTTGTTAGAAACGAATCTTCTCAAATACTCGAAGGTAGGCGGAAGCATTTCAGTAGACTAGGCGTACCAACAAGGAAGAACAATATTATATGTGACATGGACGGCTAGTGGTGTCAAAGAGATTGTCCAGACTTATTGTAATAATAATGAAGTGGATCTTATTAATGGTTCGTCAATGGGTGATTCACCTAGGAAGATAATCAAATTGTTACAGGACTAAATGAATTTCAACCAGTCTCTATAGGAGTCAAAGAAACATGTAATGTTCCTAGGTTAAGACTTGAATAAAAATATACCATCTACAGATACGTCGAAACAATAGGGAGGGAGTGACTAGGGAATTACATTGTAGTTGTATTAGATATTAGACGTGCTGTAGTACTGGAGTTGTCAATGGTAATTCAGTGCGCTTTGATCAGCTGCGATTACATCCTTAGGGGAAGTCTTGATCTATCTAGCCCTGTGAATGATTTGCTTCGTCTGGTAAAACAAAGAGATTATTCAAGTTCATTAAAGAGACTCAATCACTTTCATTTATAATGCCCTAAAGATTAAGTACCAGGTACCTAGGATTTAGGGGAGGTTCCCCCCACCTATTTGTTAGCCTCAGTGGGGTTTAGGTAGTTCGGTACCTACATGTACAGTACAAGGATGTATGCAGCTAAAGATAAGCTCCGCTGGTCGCGCGACAAAGTGCTGAGCTTCGGCTTCAATTCTTTCAGCCTTTTATCATTCCAGCACAATCTCTTACTTCAACGAAAGGATAGATATCCGAACAACCCTGCCATGAATTATAATTCTAGCCGCGATTAATAAAGTCTAATTATTATTCTTAATAGAGCTACGATTAGTGCTCCGGTGCCACTCGAAGCTAGCTTCTACTCACAGGCTTTCATACCATGATAACTTCTTAGTTACCTTCAACTGCCATTGATTATACAACATTTCGTCATGTCGGCCAGCGCCAACTCGCTGCCCCAGTACCTGGAACAGCTGCCGGGGACTACCTTTAGGAAACTATACCAGCAGCCTTCCACAGCCTTCGCCATTTTCCGGCGCATGCTTCCTCATATGGGTAAGAGCTTCTTAACAAGCGTATAAACTTGCTTAGGACGAGGATATTCTAACTTGGAGATATAGCAAAGACTATCGTAATGGCCATATTATATTCGCCGACTCCCTTTCTTGTATCCGACCTCGATCTATGGATAAAACCCACCGCGGTCCGCGAAAAGGACCAAGCCATCGCCATCCTTCGATCGTTACATATAGTACAGCCTCAGTCCTTAGCTCTTACCCAGAATTTTAAGAATAGTTTACGGCTTGCATTGGAGGGTGGAGGGGATCATAATTCGTTCGGTGTACCGTCTACACAACCTATTCCCAGCGAGGTGGATCATATGTTCTTGGATAGGTACGCGAGGAGAAAATGGGATGATATACTCCATTACGTTGTTTCGGCTACCGGAATAACCAGCATTCAGACGGGCTCTAGTGGACCTAAGCAGTCGGTTAAGGACCTTCTCTTGGCTGGTCGGCTGGTTGAGCGTAGGGTTGGCGAACTTAAGATTACACATATTGGCTTTTCCTTTTTATTACAGGAAGCAAACGCTCAGGTCTGGGCTCTATTACTTCTCTGGCTCGAGGCTATCGAGGTAGCAAACGCCAATGGAAGCAAGTCCGATATGGATTCCGTTGACATGCTATCATTTTTCTTCATGTTGGCCTCCCTCGAATTCGGGCGTGCATATAGCACTGACGCCCTCACGGAGAGTCGACGCAATATGCTGCCCACTCTTATCGACTTCGGTCTGATCTACATTCCTCAACATAACACTCACCAATTCTTCCCTACTCGTCTGGCTACGACTCTCACCAGCAACGAAACAGCCCTTCGAAGTGTTAGCGCAGGTTTCTCAGCCGCTGCTAGCGCGACCAGCGACGAGCAAGACAAGTGTACCATTATCCTCGAGACCAACTTCCGGATGTACGCATATGTACACTCTCCGCTACAAATCGCCGTGTTGGCGCTCTTCTCGGACCTTAAGTTCCGTTTTAAGGGTCTCGTATCAGGCCACCTGACACGCAAATCCATTAAAAACGCCGTTAGTCACGGCATCACGGCAGACCAAATTGTCTCGTATCTCTCTACGCACGCGGACGAGCAGATGTACCGGTACGCAGCGGCGACCAATAAGCCCGTATTACCTCCCGTCGTCATCGACCAGATCCGCCTCTGGCAGCTTGATACCGAGCGTATTTCTACCCGCGACGGCTACCTTTTTAAGGAGTTCGACGAGTACAAGGAGTACAAAGCCGTGGCCGATTTTGCGGACAACATCGGCGTCTGCGCCTGGCGTAACGACAGGAAAGGAATATTCTTCGCCACCAAGGTTGAGCAGATCAAGGATTTCATGAGATCTCGCAGGAAGGCGAACGATGGGGGTAGTTAAAAATTGAGTAATAAAGGCGAGCCGAATCTTCTCCCCTTTTTTTTTACTCGGTGCTACAGTCTACGCCTTCATTTTATTGTTTGAATCTAGTAATGCACATCATTGGGCATGGGAGTTCTACGGTTTACAAGGTGCATTAGGATACGGTGGGAATGATAGGGGCGTATTACACGGTTTACGATTAGACAGGGTTTCACAGGCCTTGATATAAGACTCTCGCCATGACCACGACGAGTAGAATTCAAAAGTTATTCTCAGCAAAAATAAGCTATTTCTAGACGAGTGGACTATACTATTATTTTGGGTTTATGATTAATAAACCAGTTTATTATGTATTACTGATCATAACTAGACCAGGAATGCGAGTGTTGCAACACAGGCAATATTATGCAGTCCTAAAGTCCATGAGGTTCGTTTCTCGTAACATATCGTACACACGTCTAACTAATGCTTCCAGGTATAATTAGTTCCACTCCTGCTTCGTGAAGCTTCCCTGCTAGAATAACCGGAATGAGTATTAAGTCCTTCTCCGTATGAAACATATCCGCCTCCTCCTTTTTTTTTCCATCCTTTTTTTTCGGTCCTTTTCATTATAACATAAGAAACTGCGCATAGCAAAGTAGGTAGAAATGAAATAGCCCGTACTAAACCATTAAGGGCTCCCATCGAATCGAATCGAATCGAAGTTCGTACGGGGTTGTGTCGGATCTATGGTATTAATTCCGACTTCCTCCCTTCTTTCTTTTCCTCCTACTGCGGTCCATTACCCTTCTTCTTGCCGCTGCCGCTGCCGCTGCCGCTATTGTTGCCGCTGAAGATGCGGCCAACCCAGCCCTTCTTATCCTTCTCCTTGTCCTTGTCGTCCCAGTACGAGCCGGGCGGGAGGAGACCCTTCTTGCCAACGAGACGCGCGTAGTCCTGTTGGAACTCGTGCATGCTGTCGAGAGCAGAGCGGTTCGCGCAAAGCGCCTCCAGGTTGCGGAATACGCGGCGGGTGCGGTTGTCTTCGTCTGTCATTTCCGACGCGGCCTGGACGATGGCGGCCATATCGCCCGAGAGGAGCTGGGGAGTCACGTCCGGCATGCAGGCCATGCTGTAGGAAGTCGGGAGCGCGGCGTCGGGGGTAGCGGTAGGTGCGGGCTTGGGCTTCGGCGCAGAGGCTTGGAGTTGCTCCTGTCCTGATATGGCGGTCGTGATGATTGCTAGGTTTCGTCCATGGAGGTTCTCGCTGCGCAGCTTGTCTTGCATGGCGACGAAGCGGCCGGTCCAGTACGCTTGGGTCTCGGCCTTGTAGACCATGCGAGGGTTGCGGTGGACGGGTATAGTCGCGAGGGCGGGCGCGGCCGCGGGCGTAGAAGCTTGATTGGGCGGCATAATTGCTGCTCCTAGGGAACTGTTGCCTTCGTTTAGAGACGCGTTGCCGTCGAATGTGTTGGGAGGAGCCATTATGGGCGATCCTATCTGGCGACGTAGATCACTGCGACTGTTGTTGTTGTTGTTATTGCTGGATAGCGATGCGCGCGATAATGAAGACGTCAGGCTGGAAAATACGTTAAAAGTTCGTGATTTGGGAATGCCGCTTTGCTTCTTGGGCTTGGGGTTTGAGGTCGGCATGGGTATTTGTGGAGGTAATGGATGAATGCGAGATAACTCTTCGGAATTAATGCAATCTACACTTGGAAAGGTTTTTTTTGGCAGTTGCTGCTGCACTTTGGGTTGTTGCTTGGGAGATTGTTGTAAAGGAGGTTGTTGCAAAGGTGGTTGTTGCTGAAAAGGAGGTTTGTCTAGAGTAGGAGCTTTCTGTTCTGCATTTTGTTCTGCATTCTGCTCTGTATTCTGCTCTGTATTCTTCTCTATATTCTTCTCTGTATTCTTCTCTGTATTCTTCTCTGTATTCTTCTGCTTTACAGTTTGCAGTATTTGCTCTGGTAACTCCGGAATGGGTTCAGTGATTGATACGTCAGAAATTGCCTTTCGCTTTGCGTTGGGCGGCGTGCGTTTAGGTATCTTCTTAGTACTAGATATTTCCATGCTATCCCTATGTCTTTTTCCAAGATCGACGTCTGAGAGATAAGGGTTGATGTTTTCGCCCCTGAAACGTGGAATGGCCCCAGACGTAGATGCGGTAATAGAAGAAGTCGTTGCTCCGGATGACTCAGGTACAGAGAAAAGTGTTCTTGAAGTTTGTAGCCCACCTTTCTGCTGCGTGGTGTAGGATGATGGGGGAGGCAGATTGCCAGTTGTCTGCGATTGTCTCAGGGGTCCTGGTGCGTATCTGTCAAAACTACCTCGGGATCCAGATGCAACCATAGACGAATATGCTGTAGTAGGATGACTGGTCAATGGACCTGGGTGATTAACAGTAGAAGTCTGTGGAGTTGTAGATGCATTTACAGCTGAACATCCCGTAGTCGGTTGACTTGATGGCGGTCCATTAGTCGTAAAACCTGCCGACAACTTTCGAGATGATATAGATCCGGAGGAATAGTTCTGATAATCTGTATTAACCGGTGACGAAATACCTGATTGATGAGTATTCCACGGCGATACTGTTGCTTGACGAGCACGCCCAAGTGCGGCAGCGCTCGTGCTTAGTGGTAACTGGCTTGTTCGACCAACCCCAGGCCTACCGCCTCTTCCTCTGCCTCCTCGGGAGCCGCGCTGACTGGGTAATACTCGATGACCGTCACCGGCTATGCATGTATCGGCCCCGGAAAGTTCCTCTCGACTCTGAACTCCAATAGTAGGAGGCCGAGAGTGTTGAGAAAGCGAAGACATGATACTAGTACTCTTTCGACGAACGTGTACAATCGAAAGGCGTTTTCGATGTGGATCGTTACGATGAAGTACGTCCAGACGATGGTTAGTCCAAATGTTACTTTAAGATACAGCTTACTGAGCGCGACGAGACAATTCGCAGTTTCTTCGACGAGTTCATACAAAATAGATAGGGATTCTCGAGTCAAGATCGAAGAAGTAAGATATGGTTGTGGTTGTCCCTGTATCTGATGATGTTGAGCTGCCATGGACAGATATCTAACCAAGGAACACTAGAAACTGGTTAGGTTGTGTTGTGTTGCAAGAAAAAATCCAAAATAGAAACCTGTTGCTCGCGAGATATGGAATCAGGAAATGTAAACTAAACGCCTAGCAACCTGAGAGAGATTGCAATATGACAATGTTTTAGCTCGAATAGCTCCGTTTATTTTCTGCATATGCGTGTAAGGAGACACTGACAGGAGTCACCAAGGTGGCCGCAGCTTCTACATCTTGAGTACCTCCTCAAGGTACCCCTTCTTCGATTAGGTCGTCGACATGTTAAAGATGGCTCTTTCCTTATTAGAAATATACAGTTTCTGGCAGTTGACTCTTCCATCAATGCTTCACTTGGCCAGATAAGCATTCATTAGCCCCTGAATCTACGAATAGGGACACTCAGATCACCCCTAATAAGAATATTCAACAACTCTTCTTTGACCCTAAATGACCGTTTGGATATCTTGCAAGGCAGTGTAAGGACGCATCCTGTTCTTTTCGTCTTCCATGTGTCATAAAATAGAGAACGATAGACGGCTCGTAACATGGCATTATTATGAGTGCGAGTTACTGAGAGCGTCATAGAACTTACCAAGACATGATGGAAGACGAGACGTCATAAATAAAGAATTGTATCTTTAATACATCAAATTCCTACATTGGAAGTTAATCTAATAGTGTATTATGAGGTAAGTAGATACGATAGACTGAGTTCAACCGTTATGTGCGTTATGTGTGAACGACATAAGAGCGTATTAGGTGTTTTGGTTAGAGAGGATGTTACCAATATGGGTCTGTTAGGAGATGTTGCTATGTGCCAAAGATGTCTAATAATTTCTCATTTTGCTTTCTATGTCACCTTATTCTTCTATCTTAAACTTGAACGTCTCATCCCCCTTTCCTCTTTCAATCGGATTCCCATGAGAATCCCATAACGCCCGCTCTTTATACGTAATATTGCCTTCCCAATCTAAAAGAATAATGGTCTGTCTTTGAGTACCATAAGCACCTTTCATAAAATATCCATGTGCGTCCCTATGCTCTTCCGGCTCGCTGTTATCTTCGATTGCATCAAATGCTGCTTTTGCCCTCCCTTCATCGGCCGCGTCAGCCATGTCTTTCCATCCCTGATCCTCTGCAAAGCTGCGAATGAATACAGACCGCCGGAGGGCATCCATATGCTCTTGAAAACTCATCTTGGGCTCCAAAGGTAGTGTATCATGATCGAGGACTTTGAAGAGCCGGTTGGTAAGCTCCTCTTCGTTCATGTCCTTGTCGACAGCTTCTTGTATCGCCTCCTCCGTCAATTTCTTCCCGATATTGATCTTCTCCCATTGAGCAGGTTCTACATAGACGGCATTGCTTAGGCCATATATGTGTCCACGTTCTCCACCTATCCACGGGACCTCGCCGACATGATCCCACCGATTGGAGATGATCGCGAGCGGTTTAATGCCCTTCTCAGTTCTCTGCTTCAAATCACCGCATACGAGCGAAAACCCTCCAACACCCTTGGCGGCACGACCTTCTAGCATCGTATTGACGAACTCATCTAGGCCAAGTCCGGAGGGGGCACCCAGCCAGGCATTCACTATGGTACCTCGGCTCCTGACCCCGGCGATGGCGTGATCCGGGTCCGGGTCATCCTCACTCGACTCCCGATAATTTGTCAGCACGGCGAATCGTCCGGTTTTAGTGACGCCTAGCCATGTCCCTCGCTCCTTACGGTACAAGTCTCGCGCGGACAGTATTTGTTCTCCTGAAGGTTGATGGGTCCACCAGTGAGGCCGGCTAGTAGGTCTTAGGATGTATTCATCCCGATTGTCAAGAGCAATAAGTGCATATTTCGGATGAGCCGTCGTGATAAGAACGATGCACATTTTGATGAAAGGTAAAAAACCCGAGAACTCTTTTATCGTTTACTGGTTGTGTTTCTGATATCTACCTAGGTAAGTAGGTGGTTATGGGCGTAAGTCCGAAATGTTTTAATTATAGGTAAAGCGGAATAAAATCAACTACCCGGGGACACAATTATAAACGAAATTGAAGAGAGAAAATCAAATAAAAACTACCACCGTCGCCACCGTCTCAGTAATGTTTCTGTTAGACCCTGCTTGACCGTCAATCTCCTGACACACGTTCTTTTTCCCTTGTACAGCGCTGCGGTAATTAGAGCTAGACCATTCACGGGATGGACAAGAGTGATCCCAATAGTGGTGTGACACGTCTCATGCGAGATTGATATTTGGAACGTTGTCAGTCAGGAATTATGTAGACCGCCTAAAAGTTGCTGGGTTTGCTGGACTGCTGGACTGCTGGGCTGCTGGGTTCCTAGATTTTCTTAGGGGTTTAAAGCTGGCACATGCGATTTCGGCTGCGCGTGTTGGCGTCTATGTACTTGAGATAATACCGAGAGTTACACTAGGTAATCATCTAGAAATTCTAGCTGCGTTCCGTGTCACCGGACTTGTGTGGGGTGATTTGGGCAATGGGAAATGGGCGATGGGAGATGGGTGATACCTAGTGGTTAACTAATGGAGGCAACTAATAATAACTCATTAAAACGGCCATTGCCGAGAATACTAACTAAAGTGGCTGAGGCCTAGTAATTCCTAAAGTTTAGAGAAACTGCCACAATTAAATACGTGATATTGAAGATGTGGAGAGTGGCTGATACGGTGAGTCGTGGTTGGCTTCTACCACCAAGTTATGCGTACGACCCCGGAATCTTACCTATACGTAGACAATTATCGCTTATTTCACCAATGTCATCTTTTCATCTAAGCCCTAAGGTATCCTACCAACTATTAAGAATCGATAATAGGGTGAACAATTACCGGAACCGAACGCATCCAACCGGAAGTAATTTCATTACGACTCCGTCCGGAATGATACCGTATAGTGATACCCGGCCAAGCTTACCAAGATTCCAAATCAGATCGGTCTTAATTCATTCACATAATCATCCCTGTTGCTTATACTTATAGCTAGCGTCGACTTAACTAAACTAAACTAAACTAAACTATAACAAGGTCGGCATAGAATGAACCCCCCTCAGCAAAGTACATATCTCTTAATCTCTGGCTAACTTCCACTTCGGCATCGTCAGTCAAGTCTAATCCTTCCCACAATATCACTATAATCTTAGAGTAACTACAGGTATTCAGCCAAGAGCTATGCAAGTACTTGCTCTTATAACCAAGTTAGACTTACACCTAGACGTGCCGTATCAAGGTTAGTAGGTAAGGGCCACTAGCAAACGTCTTGCCCCTTCTCCTAAAGATTTGCTATTGCACGGCATACCTTACCTAGGTAGGTAGGTACCTATATGTGAATAGGTACCTAGTATAGCATTACATCTGAATAACATCATCTTCACCTTTCTATCTCCCCCTAATCCGACCCTCTGCATCTACCTTTATTCAGCTCACATTAATTTATCCTACAGAATATGTTTATTGTCTTCTCACCTTTATGCTTAGCGATAGTCTCCAGTATTAGAGGCGGATAAACAATGGCTCGCTACTCTACTGTTGGTCGCATGTCTATCGGCAACCTAGACGATGATCAATTCTATAGTGCGTCGTCTAGTCGTATAGCTAGCCGACATGCCAGTCTTATAGCCTCACAAAATCTACAAGAGGCGGGCCACGGCACAGTATTCGCGCAGTCCCCCAGCTCACCCTACCAGCCCAGTTTCTCAGCTCCTGTGTCACCCCTAGAACCTCAAATTCCAGGGTCGAAACAAATATCGAAGCCGCGAGTGGCAACTCCTTTTGCTATACACTATCACCAAAATCCGAGGCGTCATCATTTCTGTCCGAAGTCTATAAGTCGTCGTTTCCATAGGACGTTCCATGCAACCTCGGAAAGCATTCCACTACTTCAACCACTGATGAACGACTCGAGCGTAGACACTAACGGCTATATGAAGCCCTTGGTATCACCCCCTGGATCCCCTATCGCAACAGATTGCTGGAGTCCAGCGTACACTGGGGCCCAGACCCCGCGTTCAGAACTGGATGGAACTATGCTCGATAGTCCAATTTCCATTGATAGAAAGGCAGCAGATACCATTGTTTGCAACATACGAGCTTACTTATCTAATAGAGGGCATAGTGGTTGTTCATTTCGAACAGAAAGGCCAACAAGCATTGACGAGAACCTACCCCCCCTATCAAGATTGTGGACCGGTCAGGATAGCTTTGGGACTGGTCCCCCTAAAGTCAATAAACCGATGACGGAGAGCTATCTGGTTACCACGGATGATATCGCGGGTATTCTAGATATCGTAATTGCTGGTATCCGCTGTGTTCGCAATGACAGTTCGGCAGTTGAATGTCTCTCGATGTTATTGCCTAAAGAACCGCAGGCAAAGCCTACACCTAATATGAACTTTATTATTCCTGGATCGCCTAGCATTGCTGATCCAGCTACGACGATCAGCTCTGTCCAACCTTCCTTTAGTATATCCAGTTGCTCCGATTACCATGGCCATTGTGTCGACACGGCTAGAACCACGTTCATTTCTCGACAAAGCATTACCGAGGTCACATAGGGATTCGCCCCTGGAAATCTGGTCCGAGAGGCAGTCGTGGAGCCATACGTGAGCGTTGCTGGGTCTATGGAGGTCTCTCGAAATGTGTCTACGCACGCCTCGTCATTGATGGCTTCAAAGTCTCCGTCTATCAGTGACATGCGAAGGACAAGCGCTAGATTTCAGTCCACTATTGAAGAGTCAGCCCATGCGAAGGAGCCCAAACTGCAAAGTAAAAGGCGATCGGCGTCCGAACCAGTCAGTCCCAGAAGATCTTTAGGAGATATCAAAATCCCCACTGGTCGTCGCCGGGATGGTTCGATGACATGCTTCCCAAAGCTTCCCTCGAGATCATGTACTAGCGACTGGTTGACACCACTCGGCCTGTTTAAGGAACCCAGTATGCCGCAACAGGGAGAAACTATGCCTGACCTTTACGCTCATGGTGTGGATGCACATTGTGGTGTTAGTGTTTCTAGGCCTCTAGAAATACTCGAGGAATCACCACGTCAAACCCCAGTTCCACCCATTGACCCCCCTTTTCGAGTATCCATACCACAATGGCCTGGGAAACTGGATGAAAAGTCCGAGAAATTGAGTAAGAAAACGGGACGTGCAATCGGTGCGTCTTCACACCGCCGAAAGAGCAGCTTTAAGCCCCCTGGTGTTTGGACCTCCAGTACGAACCATAGTCTTTTAGATAAACTGCGCCGCTATAGTTTCATGCCATTATTAGATCAGACACCAGAGAGCTCTCGCAAGGCATTGCCTCTTCCACGAGCGTGGGACGAACTACCACTGCTAGAAGAAGGAGGTAGGAGGTATTCATCCAAAGCTCTTCTACAAGGACTCCTGGATGGTAAACCGGCTTCGAACAAATCGTCGCGGAAATCATCCCGGTCCGGGGCCCGAAGGCAGAGGAAGAAGACTGGTTCGTCGGCGACGCAGAAAAGGCATAGTACTGGGCCCGGCGGTCGCATGTCATGCTCGGAAGATCAGACGCCGCACATATGCATGGACGAACAGTTGACACCGTTTTCGGGGTCGGAAGCGGCATAGTTCGAGTGAAATAGGTTGTTTAGGTTGTTTAGTACGACTAGGCCTGTGGAATAATCGTTTCGCCTCTATGGTTATATTCGATTGGTTGCATTACGATTCTTGAATTTGGCACCTCGTTATACGTACTATTTGCTTCTAGGATATGAATCTCTTCCGATGCTCAAATTGGTAGGTACCGGTAGGTAGATAACTTAACCGACGACCTATTGAAGACGCACGTAGAAATACGATGGATAGATCATCTTAACTCCTCGTGAGATCGAATCGAGTTTTACGTTCTTAATTATAGCAGTCCAATTCACCACTCTAGAGATCTTGCATAAGTGTGCAATAGATGGTATTACATATCAAAATTCAATTTATCTTCGTAGCGCATTTATCCAACGCGTTCCGTATTAGTGTAATTAACAATACAGCATATCTTCCTCATATATACAGCATCGTACACGCCTATTCCCAACATATTATTCCATGTTTGTTATTTCTCGGCAGCGTAATTGCCATGCAAATTTTTGTTGTTGTCCGTCTGCATTGAACCCCCCTCATCGCTTCCACTGGCCAGCGTTCTCGACTCCCTTGGACACGCTCTCGGCACCATCCTGGACGCCGGTTCCAACGGAGCTTAGCGCGTCGCCGACGGGCTTGCCGGCTGATCCCGTCGCGCTTGTGATAGTGTCGCCGAGCCCGCGGGTTGCGGCACCGACTACGCCGCCTGCTGTTCGGCCTACGCCTCCGGCGACGTTACCCACGGTGCTGGTTACGAACTTTGCGGCGCCTGTTACGCCGGAATCTTGGTTGGTTTTCTTCTCGAGAGGCATGTTTGCGAGGATAGATATTTCGTTGGTGTGTTGTGTAGATGAATACGTGAATTTAAACTGTGACGATGATGGTTTTAAGTAGATAATTCTTTGGATATTGATGCTAACTAATGGTAATAGATTTACTTTTCACAATGTTGATGCTATATATATGCGATGATGTCTACCAGGTCCGACAAACGCAAATGCGCATCTAACCCAGGCAAAGACGAGATGTGACGTCATGGCCTCAGCTTGTCTTCATCACCGAAGGCGTCACAGCTACGCAAGAGCCAATCAGAGGGCTTAACACTGGGGGCCTGACATTAATAAGGTTATGACGTCACAACAGGATCTCGAATTAGATTCCTTGTCTCTTCGCGTGTAAGAGTTAGTTGATATTTAAGTTTGAGTGTTTGCGGGTGATCCGCATAAGTTGATTGGATTAACTTAATCTTGTAAACCTCCAAATCTTTAGTATGGATATTAATAGTTGATGGTACAAAAACATCCCTTCGGGATAATCAATACATAATGTAGATAAATGACTAATATGATCTAACGACTAACACGAAGCTATCATGGGAAGTTATTAAGACTAAGATCACGGGTATGTATATGTCAATTCGAGTTATTAGACTAGAGACTCTAACATCAAGCATGACTACAATGTTTATTATAACTCGTCCCCCTTTTCCTATTTCCAAATACATTTAGCTACTACATCCAGCAGATTACCTCCTTCGAAATGCAGATTGTATCTAAGTGGTATTTCGGTAATGTAATAAGTCGCGCCCTCAGTCGTAGTACTTTTGACTGATACCAGCAATGATTTCCTTCTCTCGTTGGTCAACTAACCCGGTACGGAACCTGTGGTCTTTTGCGATTCGTGCCCTTGCCCATTCTGCAGCCTCAGTTAGCATCTAATTACTATTCACCGAGCCATTATCGATAACACTTTACCTTCAGCAGTAACATCGTGTGAGAAATGCTCTGTTTCTGACTGTAGACCAAGTCGCTGTAGCAATGGACTTACGACAGGCTTCAGGAGGATGTTGGCTTCGGGCCGGGCGAAATAGATTAAGCTCAGCCTGGGGCGGTCCGCTTGGTCCTCGGGGGGTCTCACTACTCGATGGACGGTGCTTTTTAAGTAGCCACCACTTAGAAATTCTAGCGCGTCTGCAATATTTACGATAATTGCGTCCCTTGGTGACCTAACGTACTTCCATTCCCCCTCTGGTGTCTGTACTTGCAACCCTGCGATTGGCTGATGGAAGAGAAATGTTAGCGTGTTGTAGTCTGTGTGCCCCTTTGCCCAGATGTTGCCGATTTGGGCGTCCGCTTCTGCCGAGCGGGGGTGGTACTTCATGTACCGTAGATACTCTAAGCCTTCAGCTTCGTAGCGGTGGCGCTCGATCAGATAATCCTCGTCGATCTCTAGAACATAGGCAAATAAGCGTAAGAGGGGAAGTAGAACGTCGTTGTGAACCTTCAGTGAGAAAGCCCGTATCTCCTCCCAGTGGTCTCTGATGAGTTGCGGATGTGGCCGCTCGTGTTCTGGTGTGAATTTAGGAATATTGTAGCGCTCATCATTGTCCCGAGTGGCGAGCTTTCCCGTAGACTGTGGCTTATACCCTCTAAAATCTCCCTTCGCCGTGTCACATAGATATCTGGTCTTTTCCTCTAGTGGTAGATCGAAGAATGTCTCGCATAATGCATACTGTTGTCTGACTTCCTCGTCCGAGAACCCATGACCGACAACATAAAAGAATCCTAGAATATGTATTTAGTAGTTGTTAATGTGCATAAACTCTAGCTCGCCGTACCATTTTTGTTAATAAACCGTAACACCTGCTCCGCCAGCTCCTGCTTACCCCCTGGTTGATTCAGTTTGGAGATATCGAGCGCCTCCAATTCCGCATATTTCACTATCGCAGCTTATGTTAGGATGTGAGTACGTTATTTTCCTATCGCGGATTATACACGTACATCTCTCTTTGGTCTCCGTTGGATATTCATAAGTTGAGAGCGATTTTACTTTAGATGGAGACATTATCGTCTTTCAGCAAAAGTCGACTTCTCATATATTAATCAAGAGTTCCAGTCATGAGTTAAATGAATTAATTGAAGTAGTTGTCAATTATCCTCTCCATATAAAATAATCGAGCGGGGAAGTTGTCCCTTCATTTGATGACCGTGTATCTCAAATATCTCCACCAGGATTGAGCAGTAAAATCCAGTGGAAATGATGTCATTTATAACTTATATGGCGAATCGTACTGGTATACCTATCTCAATCCAGAAGCCCCTGTTCACCAAAGACCTGCCAGTGTTCTCTCTAATATACCTAGGAGGTACGTAGGTAGCTAGATAACTATTCTATTTATAGTTCCCAGATGTCAGACGGATCTCTACTTTCAATAGGTTCCAGATGATCACCCCAAATGCACATATCTTACTCAGTCGTCCCTATTATCCTAATAGCAAGTCCCGCAATAGTCCTACGCTCAGAAGTATACTTTAGTGGGTAGCTTTCTTTTCCTGTCAGTATTCTTAACAATTTACCCTCACTCCGTAGATTCTTCTTGAAGGCATTACGCACTGCCTAAATAGCATGCGCTAGATCCGTAAGAAATATATAAATCCTCTCAAATTGTGAGTGAAAGTGTAGTAATTGACAAGTTTCGTCAAGTCCAATCTGTATTACCACCTTGGGATATTGTCTTATTCAGAAGGTAGACGATTGTATCAACCATCCCACAATCCCCTATTCATAGGTATTCAATCGTCCCGCAGGACATCTCATGAAACAGAAAACCCATAGCTAGTTGGAAGTCCTTATAAGAGCCTACGACTATTATTTTTACTAAATGCTTAGGTTTGTATGGTTTAAACTAATTTTATATATCATAACAGTGCACCCACTTAGGAGTAAATTATGTAGTTACTAGTTTCAGACAGACTTCTTCTTCACTGCAGGGTAAACCCCCATTGTAGATTGGCGAAGTTTCATAGACCCCAAACATAAGACGGTGGTAACTCAGTGAAAGCCAAATTATAGGGATGGGGAGTGTGTATATACTCGTGGCGTACAAGAATTCAGAAATCCGGTATCGAACCGACTAGTGCCGTAGCCCTATATAAGGGTAGGTACCTATGTAAGTGTTCTATCGTATGATAGATCGCCTGTATTCTACACTAATCCACAGTTCACTACGCTATACATGATATATGGCGGTCAGAGGGCGCATGATATCTGTCTCAGTAATTTGACCTGTATGCCAATAATTCGATAGTACTGAATCTTCCGCGTTGGGGGTATTTAAGATAGGGGTGTGAAATTCAAACTAACGCTTGTAAGCCATTACGCGTCAATACCTAGCCCTACCGTGTCTCAAAGCCACACTTCGAATTCGGTTTACCTCGCATATGATACATGTCTTACTCTTCCGGTAACTATCTTACTTTGAGTATGGTAAGTTTATGTACCAACCTATTATCCCTTTTAGGAAGAAACATTACCTAATACAGCCATCTACATGTTGTCTACATAATACCCAGTAACAATGATTATTACAGGTTTTATCGAGATATATAGTTACTCCATCTAAGACTTTCTGGTTGTTATAGAAATCTCGCAAGTATCTCTCGTTGAGTATAATAATCAGATATATAGGAAAACACCAAAATAACTTGAACTGGCTTTCTATTTAACAACAGTGAATCGCTAAGAACCGTTGAATATCCATTCACTTCCATAAAAAGTACGCAGGTGATATCATGTCTAATTCCAAAGAGGAGGGTGTTGATCCTCAAGACCATTATGTACTATCGCGAGACTGTAACGCGAGCTCTAGGTGAGTCATAACTCTAACACTAGTATCGACATTTCTAATAGAATCATTAGACTTACAGCTCAGCATTATCTCTGGAAGGAACTTCTTGGATTCCTTATCCATCCTAATATTCCTACTCAAACTCCCGGCTTGAAGATTGCCGATGTTGCCACGGGAAATGGGTATGCATAGTAATAGCTCACAACTATCCCAAAGGAAAAAACGAAAACGAGATTGATAGGTATTGATCATGTTACCCTTTAGAATCTGGCTTCATGACATTGCCCGCGATAAACCAACATCGGACGAATTTCACGGCTTTGATATCAGCCTAGATCAGGTTGGACACAAACTATGGCTACCGGTTAATATACACATGCATATCTGGAATATTTTCGACAAGCCACCTGCGCAGTTTGTGGGTTATTTTGACATTGTACACGTTCGGCTTATCACTATAGTTGTCCAGAATAATGACCCTCGGCCTATCCTCGAGAATTTAACATTGTTATTAAGTACACGCATAGCCTCTCTTACTTCCTACACCCTAGAAAATCCCTGAGATAATTAATATTTACTTTTCATCTGACAGAACCGGGCGGTTATCTTCAATGGGACGAAGTTGACACCATGAATTGGTGGACAGAAACCGTTCCCGGCGTGTCAGCGGAGAATCTTAACAAGCTCCACAATCAAATTACAACACACGGCGAGTAAGCCTCCTTTTTATTTTCAAAATCTTTTCCTTAGATTTCCTTTTCATACATAAGACTAATCGCCTGAATCATTATAGCTGGAAGTCCCGTCTTGACCAAGTGATGATGGATAATGGATATACAAGCGCTTTATTATATACCTATAGGTACGGGTTAGGTATGGCGCGGATATGGAACGATCTGTAAGTCCTTATTCCCAAGTCCAATTTTACTCCTCTGAGAGGCCTAGCATATGTATCTAATACCGAGTAGGTCTGTTTGCACCTGGAAAGATTTCGCACACAATATGCTTAAACCCCCCGGGGCGTCTGGCGAGCTGGAAAGAAAAGGAATGAACGAGGTAAGGAAAGGGGCCACGCTTATGGTACCGAGTCTTGTATGGGTTGCGAGGAAAGCTTAACTAGATCATACATAACCAATACTCAACCTAGTCATCTCGTGTTTAATACTGAGTGGATCTTGTTGTCAATGCGCCTTTTACTGTTTAATAAACATGGCAGATTCTAAGTAGTGGCTCAAATCGAATCTCTGAGACGTAAATGTTATGATCATCGTTCGTGAAACTTACTAAGATGTGATAGATACCTAAGAAATGGAGGCCCAAATCATCGATACGACTATTAATAGAATTCTACACTGTGCCCTTCTCTTGTGCCTGTTATAGAGCGGTTACCCTTTGGCTTCATAATAGTCTAGGGGTCCCGTGAAGCCATAAGCCCGTTGATCAACTTTATAATCTGCTCAACCAAAGCCATGAAGGATTGCAGCAATCCTTCGTAGTGCTCACGTATGTCCTTCTTCCGTCTAACCCCTCATCTGCCCAGGCTGGCGGCGTAGCTTTTGTGTCGAATGCCATAAGCGCGTGTGGCTTCATATATATATCAAATTCGGGGGCGAGAGCAGGATCGCAATCATTATATAATATATCCATGGCTGGTTCAATAAAGGCAAGGCCCTCAGACGGCTGTGATTCATTCTGTTAGTTACCTGCCTACCTAGTCCTCCTAGATTCTTTGTTGAAATGTCATTTAGCTACCTTGTTAATCTTGATGAATAACAAGTGTTTCTCACCAATTGCCTTAGATAAGGATTCGCCTTCGAAAGTGATGTTGCCGACCACATAGATTAGCCCAATAATTCTACCTCCAGCCTGACTTGTAGTTATGCGTGTCTAGGTATCAAAACCCTCAGTTGCATCTCCAGCTATTACACCACCGTACGAGTATGCTATAATAACAACATACTCCTGCTGCTTATCGAGAAGAGGAAGGAGAATGTTGTCGCGGAGTGAAGCGATATCACTTTGGCAAGTTGCTGTACTTGGATCCGGAGGATTGCAGCTGGGATACGGGCCTAGATGTGTTGTATACCCGGCGTCTTTGAGATATGGCAATAGCTTTTCGAACCCGTCAAGAGTCCCGAAGGCACCCGGAACGATGACAATTGTAGGTAAATAGGTAGATGGCATGCCGGTATTTAGGTGCTATGTTGTTTACGACAGCAGCTTGCTTTGTTTTCTTGCGGTCGGTAAAAAGATAAAGGGAGTATCTTAGGTACCCAACATAATAACTCAGGTACCACTGATAACAAGGATGGTTTAAGGATGGCAGTATACACAGAACATTGTGTAACAATTAGCAACATAGTGGACCTTAGGTACATAGGAGATAGGTAGGTACCTTTGGTAGGTACTTATTTAAGACATATTTTCTAGGTAGACACCCCAAAATTACATTCATACACTAATTAACGTTTTCGGTATAAGATGTAAGATAGGAGGTAAGTAGGTAATCTCGAATCTCCGACTCATTAGTCAAAATCGGATAATCTGCCTATTTTCATACTCCCTCAACCCCAAGATAGTTTGCTATAACTAATAAGGGGGAAAGATGGAGTCTTCTTTGCTAGACTCCGTAGACCTCTCAGACAATCGTCAACCTTCCCTTTATGCAGCTATAACTATATGTTTCTTCTTTGCATTAGTTAGCGTTGTTCTTCGCTTTTGGTGTCGTTGGATCAATAGAGCAAATTTTTGGCTCGACGACTGGCTCGTCCTCTCTGCACTTGTAACCACAAGCATATTCGACCTATCTTTTACGTCGTAGCTAATAAATAATTATCAGATCTGCTCTTTTGGCCTTGATGTTGGTCAGTTATGGTGTAAGAACAACCCTGCGAAGCTTCGAGTGTTGTAGATAACTAATACAATTAGGGCTCCCACGAGGCCTTGGAAGACACGTTCAAACCTTTGGGCCTAATGTCGTCGAAGTATTTTATATTGGTCTTTTCATCTCCGAGATAACATATACCGGCGTCATAGTTTTTGTCAAATTTTCCATCCTCGCCTTGTACTGGCGTATCTTCAACAAGAGCGGGAGCATGAAGCTCCCAATAATAATTCTCACAGCAATGATTTCGATGTGGGGTTTGGCAGTGGTACGTTTCTGATATAAACAGCAGGATCCAAATCTAACAGGACAGCTTTTTCTTACTCTCTTACAATGTATCCCAACTCGAGGCATATGGGATAAAACTATCGAGGCATCTTGCAATGTAGACGGTCAAATGTTCCTCTTCGCCATCTCGATTCCAAATATTCTTCTCGACATTACTATTCTCACACTTCCTATCCCTTACGTTATCCGTCTTAATGTTGCAAAGAGTCAAAAAAGAGCTGTGATAACTATCTTCCTTCTAGGTGGTTTGTATGTTGTTGTTTATCACTCATCTAACTCCCTAGGTGTTGTAGTGCTTATGCTTACTGATGGTAGTGTTTGTGTCGCTTCTATAATGCGGCTGATTGCTGTTATCACCCAGAAGGATGACGCTGATATATCCTGGAATATCGTTAACCAGAGCATCTGGGCTACTGTTGAAGCTAATTTTGCAATTATCTCAGGTGCGTTCCTATATTTCCCAGTATCAAAGTCCGTATGCAAGTGTTAATTTTTACAGCTTGCCTACCAACCCTGCGACCGGTATGGGTAGCAATTCGAAAGAAAAGTTTTTATAGCAAACAGTCAAGTTTATCGTATCAGCATGCTGCCGGAACTACGCCGCCAAGGCGTAAACCATCTTCATGGGCGACATTGATCCTCAAAACCAAAGCTGACAATGAAGAGGATAGTTTGCCATTATCAACTGTACGTGAGCCTACCGGAGACCTTTCATGCTCTGGGTCCGTACAAGAGCTGCAGGAGTCTGGCAGAGCTGCACCAATCCCATTGTCGTATATTCCAAAAATAAGAACCGAAAATGCATGGGAGGTAGAGTACAGCCAGGAAGTTTAGCCTGAGAACTAGGCCTGGGTTTTCGAAGACCATTATGTTAGATATATATCTAGGCGCTGAATAAAAATCTGGAGTAATAACTAGTCTCGCGGAGTTAGAAATGTCGTTGGAGAGAAGACGATAATAAGAGCAAAGTTCGTTGTCAGCTGCGATGGGAGCTAAAGTATTGTACACCAGGCTGCCGGTCTCACTGCTCGAAGACTTCTAGATATTATTCGATAAGATGGTCCTAGTAAGCAGAAAATTACACGACCCTGTTTAGTTTGCGCGCTTCTACGTCCATTATCGGGGAGTAGGCAGTATGTAATCTTCGATTATCTTTACTCTAAATTTTGTTGAGCTCGAAGACAATTAAAGGGGTAAAATCTAACCGATATTCAACCGAGACCTCGGTAAGCGTCGACTATGTACCTAAGGTTAAGTACCTTATGTAGGTACGTACCTCCTAAGATGGCTTAGACACATATGATCAGAAAAACACCAAAGAAACTTCGATAAGACTCAATTATACGCAGCAAAAACCATCATGACCAGAAGATAAAACCGCGGTCGGTTCTAAGTCATGGCCGTTATTTGTTTCTCTCCACTTCAACTTCTAAATAGTCTTATATACTAAGAATACACATTTCATCAAATCGCATTTGCTCCAATCAATTCCCAACAAATGGCGCACATTCTATCTAGGTCACGTGCTTTAATGCCAAGTCGGGCGATATCATTATCAAACACTGCTGTCGTCGCCAGTGTTAAACAATCATCCTCATTATGGCGACAGCAAATATCACACCAACAAAGATGGAGCTCCCACTCTCCTCTAGGCACAGGGTTAGATCCTTCAAGAAAAAAGGTGACCATGGGAACTCTTCAATCTATGTTTAAAAAGGGGGAACCTATCACGGTCATGACAGCCCATGATTTTCCAAGTGCACATGTCGCAGATGCTGCTGGGATGGACGTGGTACTTGTGGGAGATAGCCTAGCGATGGTCGCTTTAGGGATGGAAGATACCAGTGAAGTAACGGTTGAAGACATGTTGCTACACTGTCGATCAGTCGCACGTGCCACCAAAGCAGCCTTCACAGTAAGTCCGCATACCAAGTTTGATTGATACGGAAAATTAACGTCAAACTAGGTGGGAGATCTTCCCATGGGGTCGTATGAAATCTCGCCGGAGCAAGCACTAGAAACAGCCATACGATTCGTCAAACAGGGCCGTGTCCAAGGTATCAAGTTGGAAGGAGGAATAGAGATGGCACCAACCATTGCGAAGATAACCAAAGCCGGTATACCTGTCTTAGGCCATATCGGGCTTACGCCCCAACGCCAAGGATCCCTCGGCGGATTTAGAGTCCAGGGGAAAACGTCAAAAGGCGCAATGAAAGTCCTCGAGGACGCGTTGGCCGTCCAAGAAGCTGGATGCTTCGGTATGGTGGTGGAAGCTGTTCCAGCGGAAGTCGCAAGTATCATCACACAGAAGCTACGCGTCCCGACCATCGGAATCGGTGCGGGAAATGGTTGTGCTGGCCAGGTACTCGTCCAGGTCGACATGACCGGTAATTTCCCACCGGGTCGTTTTATTCCTAAGTTCGTAAAACAGTATGGTAATGTGTGGGCCGAAAGCCGTAGAGCAATCGAGTCTTATCGGGAGGAGGTAAAAACCCGCCAATACCCAGCTCCGGAGCATACATATCCTATCTCTCCAGGAGAGCTTGAGGCATTCATAAAAGATATTGAGAAGCTATGACACGATATCAATCGCTTGGTTGGATTCTGCATTATACCATAGACTGATAGAGTGTCAAAGGCGCGACCATCAAGTTTGGTTTGACCATGTCAGCATAGATAGGCGTTTTGGGGAGTATAATTAAGACGTTATGATTGTAGCAATTCCCCATCTCATCCAAATGCAGGAGTCATTGAATAAGCCACAATCAACTGATCGTTTGAATCCTTAAAACACTATTAAGGAAGTCAGCATTTATAATAACAGGTATAATGAGGTAATAACACATACTCGATGTAAGTTACCGACGATCTCATCCAAAGCGGGGGCAAAAACACTATTCACGTAGAGAAACAGACTATCGGCGGGATTGAGATGCAGCGCCTTGCGTAGGTGAGACACGACAGCCTCAAACTTTTGCGCGGCGCTTATCTGTCGCACTTCACGCTTGAGCTGCGGAGCAGACCCTCCGACAGCCTTGAAACGAATACGAACTTTCTCCTTTTCAAATTTGCCAGCGCTAGCAAGAGCTGAGCTTGCATCTTGAGGAAGGGCCGTTAGAACAGCTGATGCAGTCATAGTAAGTGGGAGTTCAGGTGATGCAGGTCGATCCGGAATGGGAGAAGCTGGAGGTGATGGAGAGGGCTGTTCGGGATACTCCATCTTGTATTATATATACGGTAGAAGATTATTGTAGAAGCGTAGGTATTTATAGGGATAGATGAATTAATATTCAAAAGCCTGAAGCTTGCCGAATATACAATCACATAAAAGTGAAAGATGAAATTGATTGTTTCTATCTTGGAGTTTCCAAAGAGTCAGGTAAGTGATACATTCCCCACATTCAGCAAGCCACATTTTGGAAGTATTGTGGCTTACGTACCAGATCTTAGGGACTACAGGTACCTAAGGTACCTAAACCTATTAGGTGCAGTTACTCTCAACTCTTACTTCTTACATGTCTCAACTAACTTTTCATACCCATTAAAATATCAATATCAATATCAATATCGAACACTCTTATGTTTATTCAATTTATTATTTAACTTATATACTATGAAACCCAATCAAAGTTCCTAACCATCCAACCGTAAGCCAATCAAACAAAATGTCCCTGATCCCCTTTGTCTTGTTGAAAACACAAATTGGTCATAATCCAAATCCCATCGTAATCCCTTAGCAATCCGTTCACCCATCTATGCTTAGGTTCATATTATGCCAATTCTGCTTCGATCAACCCCTCATATCCTCTGGGGTCCATCCAAATCTTGTTTATCTTATATCCAGCATCATTTATTAGCTTCCTCCACGTAGCTTCGGTCCTTTCATAAGCCGAAAGGAGCGCCATCATGTTCAAATCCATACCCGCTTGGTAAACGCTCGCGCCCTTTGGTGGGATTACAACGTCGCAGACGAGGAGCTTAGAATATCCCTTTTTCATCGCCGGCACGATATTCTGGAGGATCTGAAGCGATGGCTCGTATGCCCAGTCATGGAACACCCCGCGAAGAAAGTACGCGCGACTCCCTATTTCACATGCCATATATTAACTCTAGTTCTACAGTTTCATACCGATTTATACAGGTTTAATAAGATACAGACTTACCATGAATAGGTTGAGGTTCGAAGAAGCTATGTGGCATAAGTTTCACCTTATCTGTCCCGAGATTTGCATCCGCGAGGACAGCTTCGAGGTCTTGGATAACCAGGGAACCGGCTGGTACATCTGGGTGCTTCTTCAGGAATGTAAGAATATCATAGCCATGGTGGCCCCCTATGTCAACAACTAGTGGTGCACCAGAAGTAAGATCAGCACCGGCGATAAGAGAAGTCGTATCGTAGAAATCAGGCCACGAAAACCTGTACTTTGACCACTCCATCATATAGCCACTGAAACTATCCTGGTACTTTTGATCAGAGAGACATCTATCAAAGAATGATAATTGTTCCGGAAAGGCGTCAACGTAGTTATTATACTTGGGGTCCAAAGGCTCTCTATACGACGTCTTTGCTAGAAACGAAGGCAGATTCATAGAAGAGGCATTCCAGTGATGAGCCCTACAAAAAGTGAGCAGCTGCACAGTTAATCAGTTGAAATACAACCTTACATAGCAAGAATTCCTTGAGCAATAGTAGCCGATTCATCACCGATTGAAAGTGAGAAGTTAGTTGGTTTGTATCGATCTTCTCCTGTTTCCTCGATAATGTACGTAGCCCCTAAAAGTCGCAATAGACGACCTTCCAGGCCAATCTTAGTCCTCAACCAAGAAAGCGGCGTACGCATATAATATTAGGTACTCACGGAGCAAGTTCAAATCGCAATCTTTCGTAGCCAACTTGGCTATCTCTTCAACAGTCTTTTCACCACCACCTACTGCCGTCCATCGGTGCCAGATACCAAGATCTAGCAATATTTTCAGCGCCGCATACTCGGCCGGATTCCGAAAATCGATATTGAAGATTCTTTCTTGCTCCGTTTCCAGTCTACTAACTAGCTTGCGCGCACTTGATAGCAACTTCAGCCTTTCCACCTCATGACCTTCGAAGTCGGCAACCGAAAAGGCATTAAGCCTGTCTACTACCAGGTTATAGCTGTCACTCATTGTAATTTTCGTAATAAAATGTGATATGTAAAAAGATGTAAGTTCTATTCACTTTGGTTCTCAATAAGATGCTTACCGACGTATTTATAATGTGCCATTAAACCCCCTCAGTCAAGGTTACAGTACCTTCATGCACAACGATATCAAAGCGATACATACCTCATGTAGGCATGTATTTATCCATATCTTGAATGATATGTCACCTTTGACAATAAATCAAAGTGTACTTTGCTCATCTAGGTAATACCATGCATGCTTCGTATAGACCTATAGAGCATGGGACATATAATTTATGAATATTATAAGCACGGCTTGCATTAAACTGCCCGTGTTAGAGCCTGCATCTAGCAGGATTTGGCATACCAAGAGATTGACGGCATTATCACATACTTTAGTGTGTTATCCGGGTTACCCTATGCTGCCACGTACTAATCATGCCATCGTACAATCAGGAAGGTTCCGTAAATATGGCTGCATGCGTGACAGATAAATCTGATAATGCAGTGAAGTGCCTACATAATAAAATGTAAATCACTACGGAGTAACTACTTTTCAGCCGTCCCACACTCAGTAGGACCATGATCTAGACCATCATAGAAGATATCATCAAAGGAGGCATATGCTGCTATATGCAACGTCAGCATCGGATATAACGTATAATAATATATAACATCGTAAAGTATTTATCACTATATATATCAATACACAAAAACGCTCAAACGGCATAAGAATGCGTGGAAACGTCTACAAATAAGACTATGTAGATAGCAAGTCCTAATTTCACTGTCCATTGATAGACCAACAACTAGGTTACTCAAGATATAGTTTTTCAGGTTGCACCGACGTCTGTATTAGTGGTGAACCCCTCAGCATCGTACATTGATTCGCTTTGGCACCGATAGGCGTCAAGTAGGGTGATGTCAGTGGCGTATGTTGGAGTAATAGAATATTCAGCTGGTCGGAGATAGCCCTTACTGCGCGTAAGATCACCAAAGCACTATTCTATTTGACATTCCAATCTGTCAATTCATGCAGAATATATTACGGGAATATACAGGCCATAAGGAGATACGGAGTCTTCCTCAAAATCCAGAACTACAACCAGTCCAGTCTTGTTGGAAATATCTAACTACCCCTAAACATCCCCGATTCCCCGCTCTCCGTGCTGACCTAAACGCTTATTAAATAAAAAATATCCAGAAACAGGAAGCTTTATTCCCAGAAGGAAAAAAATAATAGCGGAAATAATTATTCTATACTTAGTAGAAAACTCTATGATATGATATCAAAAAGAACTCCGAATCGGGGAATCGAACCCCGGGCTTGACGGATCATAGGTTGTATGATGAGAGCGTCAAATGTTAGCCACTACACCAATTCGGATTGTTGATCGAATGCCATGACAAGTCATACATCTGCTGTGTGAAAATTCGAAGCATATTTTGGTATATATCGCCTAGTTTCCCTAGCGCAGTCTAAACCCGCTTTAGCCGCATCTCTTGGGAGGTTGAATGTTTCCTATATAGGCAACAAGTGGAGGGAGCTAAATAGGAGAATAAAAATTGGCGGCTATAAATGTGGATAATCGTTGAGGTTGATAGACAAAATCCGAATACCCAATAAGACGACGGTTGGGTACGAGGTATTATTCCAACTAAATATTAGACCAATTCAAGAGTCTAGTCCGGACATGTATATAATCCTGCTATTGTCAGATCCTTGTTGCACTAGTAGGTTAGGAGCTCAGGTTCGTCAGGGGTATAATAAGGATATAATAGGGGTATAAAAAGTTATAAAAAGTTATAAGACGTAGAATCGGTTAAAAACGTGTTTTATTGTCAGGTTCATACAATGTAAAACTTTTCTCCTCCATTCATAATACCTTTGATATACACGTCATCTTCATCAGTTACCCCATCAACAAGTTCTACATATGCGATGTAGCGTATAAGCTTAAGAGGACCTCTCTTTTTAACAATCTCTGCAATAAAAGCTTTCCGAGTAGGATGACTAGCGGTAACAAGCCCAAACTCACGAGACTGTGTAGAGTCAAAGTTCAGAGGTTGCCTATAAAATGTCTTATGGGGTCTGAAAAATATTTGTCTGAGATCGGTACCCACGTGGACGACTGGTTTAGCAAGCAAGTCAGCTAGACTAAGGCTTCCTAAGGATATCCCTGCCAGCTACGTAAAGAGCCCACTTCTGGTAATCGTTGTGGCCCGGCCATATGCTTGCTCGGATCCCAAGTTCATGAACGAGCGCGGAGCCCAAGAGAACTCAGGATCTTGGAGTCTGGGGACATTCCAGAACAGCACATCGCTTCCGATCTCCTTTAAAGCCAGATATAACTCTTGCATTCTAGTAGCGCAGACTTGTTCTGTCTGCTCGGCCCTTTTCTTTTTATCAACAGAGAATTCGAGCATGCGAGAAACGTCAAGGCCGATGATTCCGCTAATACATATTGTCTCATCCTCCTGTCTACTAGTCATCCTACCCTTAAGTCCTTGCACCACCTCCCTAAAGATTTGATAAGGCGGGCTGGAATGACCTGTGAACTGGGGTATTTCCATTGGGTTCATGTCCTTCTCTCGATCCATGGTGTACCGGAAAAAGACGCCCCTGAGAGGGCCTAGGATGCTTAGTCCATACGAAAAGACAGGATCTCTAGGCGAGTTGAGCATGCCCTCTATCCGAGGGTCCACGCGTATATTTACGTAGCGATCTCCCAGCTTTTCGATAAGGGAAGAGAACCTTTGGCGGAGTTTAGCTTTTAAACGAAGACGTTCTGCCACTTTAATGGCCATAATACGGAGCTCTTCCTCTTTTTGCCCAACCCCTTCCGGCAAGTTGGCATATCCATTTACTCGAGCCGTTGTTAATTCATCGAGGGGAAGAGTCCCTTTTAGTAGAACCGGAAGAAGTCGTTCTCATCTAGCGATGATAGATGGTCTACTACTCTTTTGTGGTTCTCTTCATTTTGGGATTTTTCACCAGAGAATTCGTCAAACGTGACTGCCCCTGAAGATAGCTGAAATTTACAATATCTTGCAAGCTTAGCTTCCTGGTAAGTCCAAAGCCTCTGATTTCAGTTGCTTCTCCCTATCCTTATTAGACACTCTCGGGGATCTTTATTGGCCGTTGAGCTTTCTAGCCATTTATCGAGGACTAGGACATTGGTCGAGTGGGCATACGTTCTTGCCATCCTTGAAATTGCTAGATTTCTTACACCGGTTTCCAGCGGCACGCATAGGGTATCCATCCAGAAATAGCTCCCCCTTTCCGAAGCTGAGTTTAGAGCATTCACATGCCTCTGAATTCGTCTTAATTGACATATATGTATGCTATTACTTGCCGGATTTCCCATACCGTCAGACCATACGTGAGATATTGCGACATAAGGTGGCACGGTGCCTGGTTCACCTAGATTGAAGCTGTCTAGCTCTATTATAGGTCCATATGGACCTTCCACGACTCGTACGATTAGGATACCACCATATAAAAGAACTTCATGAATAGCTTCAACCGGCGCCGTTATCATTTCACACTCCATAGTACGGCAGTTCTTATCGTGAGAAGGTACATACGTTCCATCTTCGACCTGATTGGCGTAACATGCCACCTCAGTACATCTCGAGTGGTCTTTATCCGGTGTCGTTCGTCCTATGGTCGTATGGTAAAGCAGAACAACAGGTGAGCACTTGGAATAAAGATTGGGTAGTTCTCCGCGGCACCAGCCAAAATTCAACAATAGGCGATCCATAGTCGGAGAGCGTGACCACCTAATAGTAGCCATGGTCTCTGTCGGGATATCAAAAATGTGGCTGTGATTGAAGACTAAATAATCCACAAGAGCCATGATAGATAATAATATTACCCCTTCGTTTTCGATAATAGTGTTCGATAGTCGATTAATCCTCATATTCACCACCTTGTTGATGGTATAGAGTAGTTCGCAAAACTCGGTTCTGGCTGTGACCCATTCCTTTTCTGTAATTGTATGACCTGCACCACACCAATACCAGATATACTGCTCCAACTTCGCGTGTGAAATAATCTGATTTCCTTGTTCTTCTATCACTAGGTCGGAGGGGTAAAAGTGAACCTGGCATAATTGACAAATCTCTCTGATTAAACCGAAACAGAGCCAGTTCTAGAGATGCATTGTAAATTGGGATTCCGTCAGGGAGCCCGGCGTGCCGGGCTCTAACGCAGTGAGATCGATCCCATGTCTATCCGGGTAGGTTCTAAAGGGCCCGGTGTCCCTCTCATATTCACAGACACAAGGGACCTTGAGTTCTGATAGTACTAGATCCATGACAGTCTAAATTTGGACTAGCACTCATTAATATATACTAGTTATATCTATCGGGTACGCGGTTGTACCCCTAATTGGAACAAATATCTTCAGAAAGGAACAATAGTAATTTTGGAGCCCATTGGGTAGAATCCCAATAATTTACTTACCATGTAATGTAACCATTAAGGTATCCCAATCAGCAGCAAGACACACCAGAGCCACCCCCAAACCACTCGCCACATCTAGCCACATATATCTCGTTGCCGACGGACCTTGAATTCATTAATAACATCGTGTACTGAGCGCAACAAGGCAATCAAGTCATCATCGTCGTGGTCAAAGGGGAACCAGATCAAGGACTCGACGACGAAAAGAGATTAGAAAAACTTAGACTTGCGCGATTCTTCGTCTTATAGACTACTACCTATATATACACGACCTAGTGACCATATTTATACCGTTCGCTTCGTTAATGTCGAATACTATCGTTTTTGATGTCGTTCCAGCCGCCAGTCAGGTTACCGTCAAGCACCGTCCATACCGAAACCCCCAGGCACCCGTGAAGACTGGCGTTTGGGCCGCCACGCCAACTAAAATTTTGACCAAATAGAAAACAAAGCCACCTTTCGCCAACAATGCATAAAATAGAGATGCCTGACGAGTGGATGCGGAAAGAACTAAATGCTAAGACTCCATCCCATGCCATGTCCTTTCCATGGAATATGTGGAAAGGCGTATTAGGCTCCATCGTTCTAGCCGAGTAAGGGTCAAAATGGGGTATCATCGCACCGCGAATGCCGTAGAAGAAACAGTCCAAGATTAGAAGTGGGGTCAAAGTATGTATGGTGTATTCCTAGTTGTGAATGATCGGCTGGTTTGCACAGCTTATAGAACTGCGGCAGATTGGGAGTAAATCTACGTCTGCTGGTAGAAATGAATAAACTTGGGTTGAGGTGAACTAGTAGACCTCATCGTATTCTTGGAGAGAAGGAGTCCAAGATGAGAAAGATTTGCGCTTAGGCATACGCTGAAGCTGAACAAGGAGATCATCCAAGTCAACCCAGTTGCGATCATCATCAGCAAATTTGCGATGCTTTTTGGACAGGATGTGCTATAAAAACCGTTAGTATCAGACACATTAAGACCATTTACGTTTAGAAAAGGGACATACCTCATCAAAATCAGCGTATTTATCTGCGCAGTTTTCACAATAACCTGGTTTGAGCTCGCTTTTCTTTGACTGCGACGATTCTCGCTTTTCTGCGCGCGGAACAACCTTCTGCTTGGATCCTTCTTGAGAGTCTTTATCGGTAGCGTCTTCATCAACAAAATCCAACTTTCGACTCGATGTACGGCTCATAGGGAAAGTCCGCTTGACTGGAACCTCATCTCGCGGGGTTATCTCGGCATTCCGGCGAGAGCTCAGATCCTGCGAGGTCGCGGTACTGTTACGCTTCAAGACCTGACGCTGAAGACCGTGAACTTCTTTGCTTAGACCAGTTATGAGACCTGGTGTTGTTGCAGTGGAGGAGATCATCTGTGATCGAATTGCAGACGTTATATTTGAAGGTTGGACTCCGGATGCAACCGGCTCGCCACCAAAGAGACGGCTAGCAGCACGACCAGTAAACGCATTAGAGCGTGATTCCGCAATATGACCAGCAGGTAACCTAGATGAGTTGGACAGGTCCATGGAGGCGACACTAGAGCCACGGGAATGGCCATTTTCCATCTCACACAACGATCGCTTTCCAGTCACAGGCTTCGGAGGTTCCATCTTGAAGGATGGAGGAGTAGGCTTATTCTCGGTAGCGGCTCTGGTCACCTGGACTTTCGGCTTGGGCTCGGGTCGGGAATCTCTCGGTTCAGGCTCGTTAATAAACGGACATCGTCCCAATGCAGCAGTACGAAACTGGGGCCAGTCGCCCTTTGCCTTCTCGGCAACCTTCTTATACTCTCTAACCATGATAGGCTTTTGCTTCTCTTCGGCGTCATAGACATATATGTATGGACCCTTAAAATAATGCAGTTCCTGACCATTCGCGGCTGGATCTCGGTCAGATGGTCCGTTGACTCGCTCATTGTGGAGAAGATGTAGCAGGTTACGGTCCTCAGTGGTTCGAGGTTCGGGTTCTCTTGCTTTGCGAGCTCCATACGCAATCTCCACGCTAACGTATGGATCGGTCTCAAGGAGTAAAGCCATCATTCGCTGCAACTTATCTAAAGACCAGATCTTTTTCCCCATCTCCCTAGCACGCAGTAAGACATCTGCGCTACGCTTTGGCTGATTTAGTGAGCCGACTTGAACATGCGACGATATCCCCTGTGTCCGAGTACCTCTATCAAAAGTTCTTCGTTTAGTAGAGGCCTCTGACAGCCGGGTTAGCAATGAAGGGTTGATGGTCTTGACCTCCTCTTGTTCCTGGTCTTGTTCTTGTTCCTGCTCGTGTATGTGGTCCTGGTGCTTTTCGGTAGTTGCGTCCTCTTCTTGACGGCTTACACTCTTCTCAGAGGGAATAGGCCGAGTCGTTACAACATGGGTGATGTCGATGGAGAAAAATGCTGCCTCGCGCTGTATAAAAGCAATGTAAGCAATCCGAAGCATCTAACATAGAAATACTCTGTCTACTTACAGCACCTAAGGCAGCAATCTGTTTCGCGAGCTTTTTATGAGCATCGTTAGGGACCTTCTCGAAGTAGAAAACAAGTTTAGGGAATCTGGCTCGGTGGTGCTGCTGCCATATTTGAATCTCCTCGATATCCTTCTCTGTATATCCAAGAGAAGCAGGTGCCGTTTGTTGGGAACGTTGTTGGTGAGAATGACCTGCTCTCTCCCTGGCCAACTTGCTCTCGTAGGTGTTTGCATTACGACGTATCTGTATGGGGATTTGACTCTTAGAAACCCGCTGCTGTTGGGATGGAAGTAAACGTTGAGAACCACCCTCGATAATTTGCTTCTTGGCCGGAGGTGGTTGGCCGTATTGTTCTTCCCGTTGTATCTGAGCTACGGTGCGTTTTTGTTTGCCGAGAGTAGTACTACGTAGAGGGGAATTGGCCACATTCTGGTTCGTAGATAAAGGAACTCGTCTACTAGACATGGTGGATCGAGGCATAGGCGTGGGTGATAAAGATACGGCTGCCATATAAAATGTCGACTACTCAATGTTGAGTGATTTGACAAAAGTCAAACGGTTTGTAGGTCAAGACTATGTGTCGGCCAATAATACAATGTTATTATTGGTGGTGGTTGAATTGTCTTGAGAGTTAATGTTAACAACGGCAAAGGTGAAATCTAGACCAGGAATAATAAAATCTGACTCGTTCTTCGTTCTTCGGGTTTTTTTCGTTTCGATCCGGTTCAACATATAATGGACCTTTAGTCTTTTAGTTGTGCCTTAAGGTATGTGCTAAAGTATATTTTTTAAGTCCGAGAGTTCCCACGCGACAAACCGTGGCTCAACACGTTGGATTCGATGAAGCACAACACGACAAAACCCTTAGATGTTAGGAGGTCATTGAGGCGAATTAAAGAAAATTAAATAATCTTGGAAAATTCAGTGACTTAAGAAACGCGAAAATGACCAGTGATCCTACGTGTATGAGTGTTGAAATCGAGTCCCAAGTTAGAAAGCTCTGGCTGGTAGTGGGCAATTCTCAGTAAGTGAAATTCAGTTCCAAGCTTTTTGAGGCGTGACTGGTAATTCCGCGCTAGCACTAACAATTTTACGAATCAACAACAAGAGTTGTGCACGGACCATTTTTACCATTTGACATCACTGTTGGCCCCCACTATAGATTTGCACAGCAACCGTAATTTAGCTTTGTTAGTGTACATTATTTACATTCATCTTTTCAGTTTTCAGCTAAGCCCCACCAGCTCCCCCGCCATGAACCACCAAATTACCAAACCACCTTAGGCAGCAGGAACCAATTAGAATTTAGGTAATCAACGTCTTCTGATTGCTCCAAAAACTTTCCGAACTTCTGACGTTCCTTTTCGATGCGCCTCAAAAAACTTCCCGAATTACAACATCCAAGACTAAGATAAGGTGCACCAAGTAAATTCAACCCTTAAATACCTAACCTAACATATATAAAATCAGCATCTTTCTAAAAACCAAGATTTTATCCTAGTGCAGGAATAATTGAACTTTAATATTCTCATATTACCCCTTTGGGTAATACTCAAGTAATTCCGATGATGCAATTGGTTACAATATTCCAAGGATTTCAAAAATGAAGTTTCGTCAACAACAATTATGGCAACTTGAGCGCTATCTTAAACCACACTCGAAGCTTTCCTCCCCAAAGCTACAATGCTCACGATCCATATCAACAACAACAATACCCTCTATACCACGATTCTCAAAAACGCCCCTCAGTTGTACAGCCTTAAGATGTAGACTAAGATCTGCGCGTACCTATCACACATCCGTCTCTGCCTCCGAGCTCCTCTTTGGCCAACCTGTCCACGAAACACACCCTCATATCCTCGCAGCTGGTGAACTCACGCCAGGTATAACTGCACAAGAATATCATGACCGCCGTGCCGCCCTTTGCCATTCCTTACCCCCAAACTCCGCCGTCCTTCTCCCCGCCGAATCCCTCAAATACCGATCCGGTGCCGTTTTCTTCGCCTTCCGCCAAGAGTCCAACTTCCTCTATCTCACTGGATTCTCTGAGCCTGAATCCATAGCCGTGTTGAAGAGGACTGGCGATGAGCTAGGCGATTACACATTTCACTTATACTGTAGGTCGAAAGATCCAAAAGTAGAGCAATGGAGCGGTCCCTGGAGTGGAGTTGATGCCGCGAGAGACGTTTGGAACGCAGATGAGGCAGAGGATATTAAGCTGGTAGACAGGACACTGGCTTCGGTGCTGGATGGTGCTAAAATAATATTCACGGATGTTGAACTGACGCAAAATGGGACGTCTACAAAACTAGCCAACCTCTTGCGTTCAGCAGCTCCTAATGCGAGTATATCACCTTTAAGGCCACATATCAATGTTCTCCGTGCCATCAAGTCGCCAGCCGAAATAGCCAATATGCGGCACGCAGGGCAAACGTCTGGCCGAGTGTTGACAGAAGCTATGCGGCGGTCGTGGAAGTATGAAAAGGAGCTGGCTTCATTCCTGGAGTACCAGTATCAAATGTCTGGTCTGGACGGACATGCTTACATCCCCGTGGTGGCCGGAGGGCCAAAGGCGACACTCATCCACTACGTCCTAAATAATGGTATACTAAACGATTCGGAGTTCGTCCTCGTAGACTCCGGTGGTGAATACGGAACATACATTACTGACATAACACGGACATGGCCCGTCTCAGGGAAATTTAGCGAACCACAGAAGGACCTATATAACGCTATTCTTCGCGCCCAGCGATCATCTATCTCGCTCTGCCGCGCTAGTGCCAATGTTACTCTCGACAAATTGCACCTGATCACGGAGAATGCCCTCCGTGACCAACTACAACAGCTTGGCTTCGACCTAAGTGGAGATGCCATGGGAACTCTATTCCCGCACCACGTTGGGCACTATATCGGCCTTGATGTCCACGATGTTCCCGGATACGCACGGAATGTGATCCTGAAAGAAGGTCACTGCGTCACGATCGAACCCGGCATCTACGTGCCCGATGATGAGAGGTGGCCCACAGCCTTCCGGGGTATGGGCATTCGAATCGAGGACAGCATATGTGTGGGCGATGATAGCCCCCTTAACCTAACTACAGAGGCGGTTAAGGAGGTTGACGACATCGAGGCATTAAGAGACTAGAAGATACTCATGAATTATATAAAAAGACTACTTTTTGGAAAATCGTTGCCGAGAAGCCCGAGACGACCAAATATCAAAGGCATATCATGCTTTAAAGGGAAGTATATTATAAAATATCACACATTGCACAGCGTATACATCTATTTTATAGCCGCTTCCTCAGAAATCTATTGTAAAACAAATACCTCAGTTATACATAGTAAACTTGGCCCATTAGACCTATATCACGACAAATATCATACCTTCTCATTTTCGCCCCCTACCATAGAAAGGTGGCAATGAAAAAGCCTAGCCGTGAGAGCCCGAGAATAGGGGGCGCCACCTCGCAGCTCACGAAACCTAATTGATCTTGCATTGACTCACACTTACCTATTCCCATTATCGAGCAACACCGCCTTGATACTTTAACGATACTAGGTTAATGAAACAGTTCCGGATAATCGTATTCGTACCTAGGGCCGCAATGTCCCAACAGTTGCCATTAGCCAGCGGATCGAGGCGCGTGCCTCGGTGCCAAGTAAGGCATCGTACGATAAACATACGACGTCCAAGGAAGAAGCTTACTAGCGAAATTCACTCATTTCTGATGTAAGACGAGAAGAGGAGAAGAAATTGCGCGCAGAAAGTATCAGCCTAGGGCCGAGATCTATTATTAACTGGAAAAAAGGATTCCGAATGCGCTGACTCTCCCGCAGGAGGTAAGTTAGGTATCACTATAACTGGTAGAAACTTGTAGATTGTATAAAAAAAAATTCGCTGGCGCCGCTCCTCTCGAGTCTCCCAGCCAGACTCTTATCCTGAGTAGGCAGTAAGGGTAAAACCTGAATTGATTCCTTTTCCCTTCGTTCGCCATTTCCCCATAGACCGTAGGATATATACCTAACAGACTTGTGTGAAATTTGCCAGTTCCTGTTCCCCAAAACGCCGTAGTTGTGCTTAAGTAGCACTATCCCAGTATAAGACCTGTTCATCTAAACCCCTAGATGTTCTCTCCCTAAAATTGAAAATTCAAAAAAGCTTTTTTTCTAAAACGCCCAACGTGCAACCCGACCGTGTTATTTACCAGACTCTGATGTGTTTTCATACAAGGTTGAGGTATATATATATACGTGTGTGATATGTATGTTGGTGGTAGGTAAAGGCGACTCAGAAGATAGATGGATTGTTCCGTCCGTATCCAATGTTGATGTTATTCCGTTATGATATTCAAAGGTTTTTCTGAGACTACCAAGCCCAGATTTATCAAGGTGGGTTGCCAATGTCGGGTATTATTGTTTAAGCAAGATATTCGTTCATCGTCGTTAGAGTGGTCGTTGAAGCGGTTGTACTTGATTAATACGAAGGGTGAGTGGTGAGTGGTGAGAAATATCTCAGTCATAAATGGAGTATAAAGTAGAGTTTGTCGTTTCTTAAGAAAAGGCTCTAGGGTTGAAGACAGAAGCGCCGTATCCTTGGGGTGCCCAATTTGGTGCAGGAGCGGCGCCAACCAACTGTTCGAAGGCATGTAGCCGGCGAGCGAGTTCTTCATTCTTCTGTGCCATCGACCGATTCCTACGCTCCAGTTGGTGAATGTATTCGGTGGCTTTAGTCAAGACGGTGCCCTATATATAGTTAGTCATTTACTCTATAGACCAATATAATTCTCCACTCAAACACACCTTGCTTACTTTAGGTGCCGTTCTCGATGCGCCACCGTTATCGTTGTCGTCTCCATCTTCAGGTATTGCGCGTAGAGACGGAATAGCGTCTCGTAGTTCAGCGATCTTATCTTTCAGATTGGTACGATACTTTCGTTCGATGTCGTTATGTGCCGCCCGGTCACTATTCCTAGGCTTCTCCTTGGACTTCTCAGTAGCATCCATGGAGTTAGTACGTGATGGTGCTTGGGGTCGTGTTGCAGTTGGCTTGATACGAGGCTCGGGTGTATTGCTTTTACTATCGCTCATAGTAGTTGGGCTTTGGTTAACTTCGAATCTAAAATCCATTCCAGGAGCTTGTCTTGCGGCTATTTGTTGTTGCGGGACTTGCCCCGTGCCCATAGCAATAGCCAGTAGTCTCTGACGCTCGGGGTCGTTAAAAGGGGGGTTAACGTTCACGTAGTCCATGCGAAAGCCAGGCTGCGGCGGCTCCCAGCTTAGCGGCGTCGAGTAAAGTCTCTCGCGCGGGGGTACTTCAGAAGGTATGGGGGCCGAGTCGTTCTTAGTAAGTTGATCGGCCAAGGCCATAGAGAAGAGGTCGTCTTCGTCCGATAGCGCGTGATCTAGGGCGCTATCGTCGACTAGATCAGCAGTAGACGACGGCGGATAAGCCACTTTGAAATTGTTGCCGGATCTCCCGACAATCCTTGACCTAGGACGAGGTTGAGCTAGGATCGGAGACTTGCCCTATACCTCAAACATTCTTTAGCACTATCCCGGAAGATGTGTCCGAAGGCCATCTTTGCGTGAGGAGTTGTAGGCACTTACGGTTCTGTTTTCTCGGTTTTCAGCAAAGAGAGGATCGCTCTCGTTGTCACTATCGAAGCGAAGCCAGTAATCAGAACAGTCGAGGGTGGATGGGTTCTCGGCAAATTTGGATCTTCTGATATCAGAACACTGGCGCTTCTTAGGTAGCTCCTGTCTGGCAAGCTTGTGCTTATGCGAGATGGTAGAAAGGTTCTGAGAAGCAGTTGAGGCTGGCGAGTCAGCGGAAGTGCTGGGGGTCTGATGCGAGCCTGAAGTCGGAACCGAGTTCACAACACTTGATTCAGCTGACCTATCGAGTTCGTCCCAGAAGCTGATGGATGATAGTTGCTGCGAGTAGTCTGTAGATTGATCGAAGAATGTCTCAAAGGTCTGGGGCAGGTTAGGGCTTTTATCTTTTTATGATTCAACCAAGGTAGTATCAAATCTATGTCTATCATACCTTGTCGTTACCAGCAGGATAAACGTCAATGTCCTGCATAACACCTGCGTCCATGACGAATCCCACAACAATTCAAGGGTCACCAGCAGATCTTTGGTGACACTATACGTCGATTGCTATGGTTATAAATAAATGGGGGGAGAGTCCCGGGAAACGGGATAGTCGTCGGAAAGCTAGACCTTGTAAGGTGATGGGGATGTGCTATCATGCGAAGTCCGGGCTTGGCGAGATAGACGATGAAGTCGGAAAGACTAAAGGCGAATAACTTCAAGAGAGACGGCGCGAATTGCCACGTCCGTTGCCGTGTATCGTGGTACGGTTGCGCAGCTAGGTAACCTCAGGCCGAAGGATGTAGTATGTAGAGGTATGTAGAGGTTAGGGTATGAAGGGTTGGGTGTAAGTGTGAAGCCACCAGATGAAGCGAGCAAGCCACACAAACACACAAACACACTATAGACTATACAGGAAAGGTAGTATAGGGGTCTCGACTATGAGGGTATGGAAAGGTATGATATCACAAATATCAGATATAATGCCACAATGGTGAATAGATCAAACGATATTGAAGAACGGATGATTTATGATATAGAATAAACAAATAAGCTAGGTAGTTTAGTTCGGTTGGGTGGTTAGCTTATCTATGTATAGGACAAGTTGGATCAGGATGAAATGAGATGGGAATTCGAGAATTCGGCCGTTAAAGAATAAGAATTACATCCCACGAAGTCTTACTGGGCCAGGGTTGCCGTTTGAAGCGTATGAAGCATATGAAGCGTACAATGGCCGAGACCGCCCGACGATGCAAGGGTACGAAGTTACAGTCCAGAATTAATGGCCTGACGCTGCAGAGCAACGGAGACGCTCAGATAAAATTCCCCAGGCCGCCCAGGCCAGCCGGACCCCAAAGGGAGATCCCGATATATTACTACCCTTTTTCTTTGGGTACGGTACTGGGACGGTACTAGACGGTACCCGTATAACTAAAAAAGTACTACTCGGCGGCAGGTCGCCGCGGTAGCGACTTGGTTAAGACCCGTTTGTAGACCCGTAGTAGACCGCCATCGTGACTCGTAATCCAATAAGAAACTCCGAATAATTCCCTAGTAATTCCTGATAATTCCTGGTAATTCCTGGTAATTCCTGGTAATTCCTGGTAATTCCTGGTAATTCCTGGTAATTCCTAGAAATTCCTGGGCAATTATCTTAATACCTTAATTACGGGGGTACTACTTGGAAATGCTTAGAAGTGCTAGAAATGCTAGAAGTGCTAGGAGCGGCAAACGGGAAAATGAAGGACCTGGGAGGACCTAAGGGGAAAGGCAGAAGACCATTTCGTCGACATTGTGGGCTGATGGCCGCAGCGGTCAAAAAAGTATGGGAACCGATGGGAACTAATGGGAGCTATGGGATTTGCCCGAGTTGCAAATTTTGTCACAAGTACTTACAGTCTTTAGAATTCCTCTCGGTCCTCTCAGGTCCTGTCAACGAGAAAAATAGGAAAATTGTTGTCATCGGTGCACCGGGAGGGCAAGAAGGTGGCCTGACTTTTTGTCGATAAAGGGAATATTTTCAAGGGTGACGGTCTAGAATCATGCGTCATGTGGGGTGAGAAGAATAAAGATCAGGCCATTCACAAGGCTGACATTTTAAATATCGTATGACCTTCGCTTTTACTCCTTTGGAAATAACGAGAACAGGGTTCTAGATGCAAACAATTGATGTAATTGGATAAAAACGTAGCAATCAATTTTTTCCATTGGTCGGCATTCTCCCCAACTATATGCCCTAAATGTTTGTAGCCTCGCTATAACCCCACTGAAACCTAACGGTTTTAAGTAGGACAGTCATGTGCCACAGAAGCTAAAGTTGGATACCTAACGGAGGACGGCAGGACGGAGGGACGGAACCATCCAGAGTTCGAGATTATTAAAAAAAAAATTTAAGATTGTGGCGGATTGTGGCTTATCTAGTACATAAAGTCAGATCGAGTACCTTTTGAAGATCTTGAAGATTTACATGAGGTCCACTGATCCACCGCCCACTCCGATGCTTCGTACAAAAAGTATTTTCGTAAATCATGCTGACTTTTCAATATCTCTTACTAATAGTACTTTAGTACAACCACATGTCCACTTCTACATCGAATCTCTTCCTCCGTTTTCTTCCGTGATGCTTCATGTAGGAACATCGCATATACATCCGTATGCACCTTCGCATGCACCTTCGCATGCGCATGTACATATGTATGCAACGTCGCCACGGACGCTATATTCCGGTATCAACTACAAAAATTCTCACGAGTCTTCTTACCGACACGGGCACACTGCGTCGCCTTTAACCTCGTAAAGGTAATCAGTACCTAGTGTATTCCATACCCATATGGTAGTTTCCATGATTTATACCACGTGTATCCATACCTATAGGCCTACCAAGTATACATATGCTTGTGCAAGGCACACATTCACCCACGTTCATAGTGGCGTCTTTCACTTACAATATCAAAGCAGGTAAAAACTATCTGATACCTAAACACACCCTTCTGAGTATGAAGTCTCCTACCCAATAGCTTGGTAGATTCCGTCCCCTATTTCCCGTAGTTAATTCGAAAGTAGTAACAAGTCGGGGTTCGTTCCGTTCTGGTAGGTAGGGTCCTATATAATCAGGTAGGGCTCAGGGACAGATCTATTGGTTCTATTCCCTACGTTGAAATATTCGGCTAGATCTTAGATCGTATGATCACAATAATTTCTATGCGAGTGATACCGCGCCCAGGGTCCTTGCAATCCCGCATATCCATATCCCAAGATGTTCCCAGCGGCTGCATACCCGTGGTTGCAGAAAACTTACTACCTATACTACCTTGTGCTAGCCTCCTCCTTACTAATGTAGGAGAACTATCATATTTACAACCTCGTTAGCTTCGTGAGCGAATATTAAAGTTACCTCATGGATATGTCCTAGTGATATCAAAAGGAAACCGGTGAGCGGCCATAAGTCGGTATGTTTACTATCTGTTCCTGGTAGTGGATCATATCTTTCATCAAGCAAGCAGTTCATCGACGATTAACTTTATCCTAGTCTCTTCTGAGACATTCATCTGAAAGGGATCGTTCTATGGCAACGTAAGCAGACACGTTGCAGCTGTCAAAGGACTGTAATATATTTAATTGCCGTATCGATGAGATCTAGATCTAGGCCGATATATGCACAAATCAAATCCGGACTACCGGATACTCTTGGACAAGCGGAAGATGCCTGTTGTCAATGAACCGAGCTTACGATATTCCAAGAGATATGTAGTCCAGCAGTATGTATGCAGTATGTATGTATTGTAGTTCGGTAGCATTTCCTTGCCACATTCCATGAACTTCATCTCATCTATTTCCAGATTTTTATCACATTTCTTCTCGTCACATGGCTATAACAGCATATTAAGGTCTCGAGGGGAATATCATATGCGCGTATGTAGTCATTTTCTAGCGTAGACACAAATATCGGCAGCCTCCGAACTAAGAAATGGCGCGCGCCTAAAGCCTAGCCTTGCCCAGGCAAAGTGATTTGCGTATTGCGACTACACTAAGAGCACGGATAGAAACAATATTTTATTTTGTTTGGCACCACCGATTCCACTTATTATTACGATCGCAATGAAACAAATCCAGCGGGCCGTTATGTCTAACCGGGAATCCAAATTATCAAGCTATTCCTAATCAATAACTATCAATATCACCTGCGCTAAGACAATATGATGCCGAGAACAATCTATAATATTTAAGCCTCTTGTTAAGTTAAAGAGTTACTAGGGTGGCGTTGGTTTATTTCGGAGAGCTCTTGGGCGGCTTTATTTACTCTCGGAAATTATTCTAAAAAGGGTTCAAAGACTCCGGGGTATCGACTCGTAATTTCTTCGGCAATAGGAAAGTCATAATATACTGTTCGCTTAGTAATTAGACGAAGTTGTAGTGTAATAAAGAATATCTTCAGTTTTATGCAAAGCCGTTCTCGATTCATAATCTAGATATGCAACTCTAATATTCCAGTTGTGGAGAAACAATTTTCAAACTAATTACCATATAGTTATGTAGAGATAACTAGTTAGGTAGGTAGTTAGATATCGTATGAGTTTATAGATTTTTGTATTGAGTGTAGAGTTTGAACTTCTTAGGTTCAGCTATTACCTATGTTATCCAGGTGCCTGGTTTTGGGTAAACACTTATTAGGGGATATGTAACACTCTTCATTATTGTGTCTTATACCTAACTAACCTATACTTTAGTGAGTTACTCTAAAGTCAATACAAAACCTTCCATCTTCAATAATAATTCCAATGATGCTTGAACCTTGATGTGGATGGCCTTGACCACTTATGTCTTAACTATCAAGCCAGTCACTCACAGACGCATGAAATCGAAGTGATATTCGTTCAGAAGAATGGGCTAGTAGTAGAGCTTCAAACGGAGTATATTCATGCTTTTATCCCAGATTAACTAAATATGATGTTTTGTACGCTCTCAAACTATGGTCATACATTCATGAGAGTATATGCGGTAACTCTTATGGGACAATGACAGATCCCCACTCCCAGTATTCAACTATCACATTCTAGCACTTGTCTCCTCATACCAAATTAATTAAGCACTAGCACCCGTAGATATGATGTCAAATCCCAAAAGGCTTCTTAGCCCAAACCCCCCTGTATAATAGGATCGTGAGAATGCTTAGTTGGGCGCATCTTGTGAAACGAAGTTTGTTGCATCTCACCGAGTGTCATTCGATCAACATCCTATCCCTATATTCTTTATTATCTAACATAATCGCCACGGATAATGTCGCACAGACAAGCTGAAACATTATTCTCTAATCAAATAATATGTATGGCTTATGGTGGTTAGATATCGTTGACAATCTTATGATGCTACACCGACTATATGACATACGGAAACTCAACAGGTTAGAATCTTTTTTTCATTACCCCTGGATGTGTCTACAATCTAGATAATCTAGCCTAGATCTACTCATAATAGTTAATACGAGATTATCGGGCACACCTCTTCAACAAAGTACCTTCAAGTACCTAATAGTTCCAACAGTGTAACCTATGAGCAACGATTACGGCGTAGATAACGTTCACTCTAGACCTATACGAATGAAAATAAAGACTGCATCAAGTATTAGGTCACATATTAGGTTAGGTACATTTAGTTAAAGATTTATGTTATGAAATGAACCAACTTAAGACAGGGGTAGATATCAGCAACAACAATAATAACAACAACATTGGAACGGTTAAGTAGCGCATTCCCTAGTATCCCAATGAGCCCGTAATCCAGCAATTTTTTGACAAGTATCACGGGAACACGGCGAATCACGGCCGATACGTCGGACATCGTCAATCCGGAGCGGTTGCCGGTTTTAAAAGACACATGTACTAAGTGGGGAGAAGTGGGAACAGGAGCATCGGAGTCACATCCGGCGCTCCCGGAATCAATAAGTCATGCCGCCGGGCGGGGGAGAAGCACGTCATTCGTAGCGCCATGCAAATTTAAAAGTTAACGCTCCTAGAACTAACATCGTACGACGGACTTAATCTATTAAATGCACTTCTAAAATTACCACATAGAGCCTAAGTCCTATATTAACGCCAAGTGCATATTAAGACTCAAGCGCGATGGTTTACTCGGCGGTGAAGTATACGTACGTCTCTCCCCTTGAGGGGTACGAGAATGCCCCGCCGCTGCCGGACGAGAAGAATGAGGACGGCAAAAGCTACAAGAATCCAACGAGTGATACCCTTAGCAAAGCCTATCGCGAGTTCCCTGATCCGCTAGATAACGGTCGTCGCGGTGGTTTGTGAGTGTCCGACGACGAGCTCCACAATTGCTATCAACTAACATGTGCGGGACTAACACCCCTCAGTGATATACATATTTACTACTTCCAAAACAATGAAAGCCAGACGCAGCATGCAAAGGACCTTTGGGAGCGAATCCGACGAGAGTGTATGATCCCTACTCATCCTTCCCCTCACTCCCATATGCTCTCTCTTGTAACGTAGGACAAGAACTCTAGTATATTTACTAAATGGCGTTGGTGCACAGTTCCTGAGCTAAGGATATACCGCCTCTGGGATAAGCCGATAGGTCCTCACCCGGTGGCAATGTTTGAGGTTAATCTCTTCTCGCCAGCCCAGTTCGGCGCCTTCATCCCTTGGCTTGCTATCTACAGGGGTCCATTGTCGGTGTTGATCCATCCCAACACAGTTGAGAACGAAGAAGGGGCTGAGCGCCGAAATCATTCCCAGAGAGCTATTTGGATGGGCGAAAGGCTACCCCTAGATTTGGATAGATTCTGAACTAGCTGTTAAGAAGTTCTTACGCTATGGAGTATTAAATAGGTAGATTTATAAATTGAATTACTCTATTTCGTTTCTCAACATTGGGAATATCCCATATCAGGTACTGCATAAAAACATTCCTTCTATTTTTAAGCTAATGTAATGAATCCCACTCGTAGTTGACCAATGCGAAGATAAAACAAGGTTGTATCCTCGATAGTCGTTGTACATATCACCAAATTGTGGCTTTCCTATTAACCCGAACCCCTATTTAAATGTGCTTAAACATTTTGGAAAAGATGGGGTCTCTGACTATCACATATTCCAAAGGCGAGCTTGTATGGGAATGCGGTCTTTCCATGGTATAATCTGATAGTTCAAAACATTCGACGTATCAATAAAATAATTATCATTTCTTTGTTTTCAAAGTACATATCATCTTAACTAATATCTCAAGGATAGTATGGAACTAAAGGGCAGAGATATCATCTTCACACTTGAAAGAAGCTCCAAATATTGGTTTCAGAGGATTGGGAGTTATGATATAATATTTCACCTCCATGCTGAATAAGGACATGAGAATAAGTTAATCCAACTTAAGGTTGCCCCCCGGATAACACGAAAGCCTGATGTTTCACTGCGCCATACCTGGTATTTATTAGGTATTATATCCTTGGTAAATATTAGGATAGATTGAATTATAAATGCCTAGGTACCCTACACCCTTTTATATACCCTTTCACGAGAGCGTTACGTTCGTCTTATATACCCATTCCTAGTAGATCTACTCCTGAATCTACCCATAAGTCATTTATACCCTAATGTGATTCTACCTCTTTCATCATTCATTTATTTTTCTTTCATTTCTTACTACTTTTCTTGCATAGGAAAAATCCGCATAAGGCAATAAAGCATATATCTCGAATAGGGGATCTTTACTCTTATTTGACACAATATATTGAGGTAAACCTTAGGCATAGAAACGTAACGTGAGGTTATTTTATATTAACCAGCTAGCTACTTGGGACCTAAATAGATAAACGTCCAAAGTATCTGACAGCACCGTCCAAATTAATAACAAGATCCTACCTAATTCCTAGGTACCTACCTATGTAATGACTTTTACATGCTAAAGCCTCGATTACTCCGGCATATTTACAACCTCTCCAGTCTCCAAAAAGTGGGAGATGTCCCTCAACCATCAATTTGATGAATGCCTCGTGAGTGTGTTACGGCTTGCGATAATGGCTGACCGTGTAATTAAGACGTTGTCCTTCTTGCGCGGAACTTTGAGCGATCTTGGTTGTCTTGTCTTGTCGTGCGTGTTGTGAAAATTTGATGATGGAGGAATATTCCTTTTTGTTCGCTTACGAAGGGAAGGAAGGGAGGGTGGAGGAAAGAGGGGGTATAAAGGGATAATGTTTCTGCGTATCTATTATTGAGTCGCCTGCCCAGCCCTTCCGTTGACAAAATATTAGTATCTAAATTTAATTTGTATTCTAGGCACTCCTAGAAATGTACTTCAGTTTCTAGCTTCTGGGTAAGTATCGATGGATATGAATCAGTATAATCATTCATCATGCTAAGCTTGTATGTACGATATAGCTTTACCTAAATAGGATGGTTGACTACCTCCTACCTATGATATAGGTTCGTTTCTCCTGCAACCCCGCTTCCTGACCCGAGAGCTATCTACTCCTTCATCCTGAACCCTCACCTGAATTCGTAGCCTTGCTCGTGTCTCCGCAGAAGTTGCCCTGAAGGGCGTCCTTTGCCAGTTTAGCAGCATCTTTATTATGTCCTTTCGGAACGCAATAAAACTTGAAGGCGAAGGCAACATTCTTTTCCATCAGAGAAAAAAACCTTTCAAGTTTTCGATACATATCGCCATTCTTAACAGGTTTCCTCTGCTTTGTCAACAACTTCCCATTTTCCTCCTGCCACGGCTTTCGGTACTTGCAGATATTGTCAACGACGTTCGCATTGTCCAGCACGAAGATGGTCCGGAACGGATTATCAGCCTTGTAAGACGAAGCGTTGCTATCGCTGGGGTACTTCTGAATCTTGTCATGGCCCTCAGCATCCCCTGTTTGTCGAGATGGTGACGCATCTCTTAATGATTGCCCAGAAGAGCCCGACGTGGGTTCTATATTAAGCTCAGCTAGGCGCGCTTCTATCTCAGCAACGTCTCCAGACGTGCTCTTTGCGAGTTCTCTCAGAAGTGCTTTACGTTCTTTAATAATTTTAGGTAGTATGGTCGTAAGGGCTAAGTATATAGCAGCAAGCTCGGCACCTTCTGTGTCATATGGTGTATCCTTGTCTCCACAAGGTGCTGCTATGTTATACTTAGAGCCCGTTCCAAAGAAAAGCCCTTGGCCGGTCGAATTTCCTGTATGACTTTTCGGTGTTTGACCTTCTGGTATACTTTCTCCACGAACATAGACAATAAGAGATGCTTTCATAACAAGGCCCCGCCGGTTACTGTCGATATCTTCCTTTGCCATTTCCCAGGCAAGGTGCTGTGGGTGACGGTGATGTTCTAGCTTGCTATATCCGACTAGCCAGGTCAACTGGCACTTTTCGCAGTACCTGAATGCGTCTTTCATCTTTGGATCCGTCGGAGGTAAAGGCTTAGGAGGATTATGGAAGTCCCATATCCCACGTCTCTGTCTCCATGCTGGGCCGAGCAGTTGCTCATCCCACTGCGGGACAAAGTAACGGGTGTCATAAAATAAAATCGTCCAATTTGCCGCATTGCCTATGATCAAGTCCCTGGAATTTGGGCGGCATTTTTCTCGAACTAGTTTAGTGTTAGCGCGTTCTACGTAGTATGATGGTTGAATAATCATCATACCTTTCTTACACAATTCATAAAGGAATCGAATACTTGAAGAGCCAAGATACTCGAAGGTCCATCTATCTAGGTTGTCCATATCGTAATCCCAATGAGTAGAACTACGAGGCCTGTAGGTAATTAGTAGACGATGAAGACAAGTGACTGGGTCGCTGTTGGGATAGTTGAACCGTGAGTATCCAAGAAGGGCGATATTTTATACAGTCTATGAGTTGTGCAATCTAGCTCTGTAATTCGTTTGTATCAGCAAAAAGAGAGGAGGATGTTGCTAAATTTCAAGTTCTAATTTATTACAAAGTGAGCCTAGATGGCATGGAAACTACTTCGATATGAAATAAGCTATGGGAGCCCGTAGCTATCTATACATTAGGTAGGTACTTATTGAAAGTACCCTTTGTTCCAGATGTATCATCTATAATCCCGTCCAGCACGATTGCGAATTTGTGCAATAAGTAAAGTTTCCTTCATGACGTATATCTGCTTAGTCTTCTAGCAACGGCTGCAGCAATGATATAAAACAGTAAAAGCATTAGAACTCCGTTGAATTAATCTACCGTCAGAAGTAAACAAATCTTAGACAAAGTAAACCAACACGATGTGACGAATTGATGGGTTGTTTTCGGATTTACCCCTTAGTCTGTATGCACGCTCTATGCAATCTAGACAACACCTGAACCTATTAAATATCTGACATGTACATTTTGATAATTGATTTGTGACTGTTCTGGCATTTTCTACTACTTTGTGTCTTTACCAAAGTTATGTTTTCTCAGGAATAAATTTGGTTATCTTGTACATCATTACCATCTAGCAAACTGTACCGGAAGTATCTCTCAAACTTATGTAGCCAGGGGACTACTAACAATATGTATCACCCTCAGGAAGGACAGGTAATTACCACCCCTCAGCAATACCCCAGAATAAATCCTCAGTTTCGTCAAGCCACCACCCCTTCCAGTACTTCCACCGAGTAGCACAATCTTGTACCTTCTCCATAGTTCTCGTATCCCATATCTCAATAGACCGAGCCACCTTGGAGTCCCAAATATCTCCTCCGCGAAGAACAGCAGGCCACCTATAATCGATTACAACTTTCTCCTCGCTCCAGGCCCATACGACCCATAGTCCCCGCCGTGCGCCGTGATCCTCGCAGATGACCAAGCTCTGAAGGGCGCAGCCGTGCTTGCGAGACTGGATGTACTGGAACATTCTTATCACGCCGTGTTTACTAAGTACGTCTTTTACGCCGTAGCCGTTGTGGATGAATGTGCGGAGGTGTTGCAGTGGTCGCAGTCTTGCGATAGCATCCAGGTACCCAGGCCAGCTACTACTAGGGATGGGGTGGTGGTTATCGGGGTGATGATCACGGGGAATATCCAAGCCGAGCCAAGCCAGCCGCGTGCATATACTGAGTTGTTCTATATCGTATACCGAGAGACCCGGCCCCGCACCGGGCTCTATTGTATGGAAGCGTAATTTCCGTAAGTTGGTGGCATTCTGTGCGCTGCGACTAAGATACTCCATCAGCGCGGCGGACTGGTATCCGGTCAGGGATAGCTGGGGCACACTGATATTAAACGAGATTTTCCCCGGGGGTAGGCCTGGTGTATTGGGTGATTTGGGCTTATACATATAAGTGGCTAGTTTGAGCGTTTGAAGAGATGGGAGAGATTGGCCCGCGAGTCTTTCCGCCAACCTATCTATCATAGAAGTGCTAACTAGGCTTAACGATTCCAGCTGGAACCATGGTATTGAACTCCACTGAGACCAGGCCCGGTCCGAGACGGAAAAGTCACCATGCAGAGCCAGAGATTTGAGATGCGGTGTTATAGGGGCGATGTTCTCTAAGGCGCAACAGCTCTCATTCTCGTAGTTAATACAGGTATAGCCGATAGATTGCGAATCTGGGAGCTCTAGACACAAGTGTTCTAGGTTCTTATGGGGTCCTAGTAGAGTAGCTACCTCGCGGGATGGTGATATGATTGATTGAGCACTCTTCCAAGGCCCATAGTTATCGTACGGTCGGTGAACAAACGTAATCCGCAGGGAAGTCAAATTTGAATAGGATGTAGACTCTTGCGACTTGGATGAGGCTAGAATAGAGACATCCAGGCTCTTACGGTCTAGTGTATGGACGTAATTCTGCAAGGTTACCGTGACATTCCGACCTATATAGTTTGAATCGTAGAATAAGGCGTTCCTGAACTCATTCATGGGTAAGGAATCTTGGCTGTCATGAGTTATTTGAGTTATTCCCGCATTTGGATGCGCATTTTGATCCCCACCAACACTACCAGATCCTGAATGTAAGCTTCTCTGAAAATTAACATGGTATGGACTATCATACCTAACATGCTTTAGATTATGAAGTCGAGACAATAGTTTTTGAAGATCTAGGGCCCATTCACTTGTCACCTCAGGGAAACCGATGCGAATTACGACATCACGAACGTATTGATGTAGATGCTCATGGGACTCCCAAAACTCCAAGTGGTCTAGAGCTAATTCGTAGGGTTCTGATAAAGTGTCGGCTTCAAAGACAAGCCGCCTAAACAAGATAGATGCGGCTAGCCGATACCACGCCTTGCAGGTTAAACTGGCATTCTTGAGTGTAAGAAGTAATGGCCCATCAACTTCACGCAGCTATGAAGTATCATTACTAAGCAGATGAATTACAACGTGGGCTTGGCTAAAGACTAACCTTCTCGAATATGAGCTCTTGGAGTTCGATACTCAAATCTGCAAACCCTGCCATGATAACGCCGCTTCCCACGCTTCGAACCGGGAATAGGGCATATTAACAGCTAAGATGCAACTGATTTCAGGTAATCTGTTGATGATGAGTGGAGAAGATGAGATTTTATTCAACATTCTTGAAAGCGGTGGGGTCCTAGCGGCTTGATGGGATACTCTCATTGGACTTACTATCTATTTCAATATTTCGATATCTGTTTATCAGAGAGAGGCATATCTTATTCTAGCAACTCACTTGCATATCGAAGCTGTTGTTTGTCATTTGATCTGAACTTCTACATTGATTGTAAGCATAACTGAATAATCTGTGATCTGTTCGGATTCTAGATGAGACATCTAGAACAAAAGATACTTGCGGTATCTTTAGCCACGGGTTTCCATAGCCAGATTCAGAGGTTATTGCGGAACAGCGAAGTTTTTATGCATTCTGGTTCCACCTCGTGATATAATCTACCTCACCCAAAATATATCTGCGCAAACTCGGCGATCTCATTGTTGAATCTCTCTGGCTCTTCGTAGAACAGCCAATGGCCAGAGTTGAATATTGACATCTTTGCTGTTCCGGGGTGTTTCGACTCTATTTGCCTTACGATCTCCTTCATGCCTTCGAGAGGGAAACAGCCCGTCCTTCGACCTGCCATGACCAGTGTAGGCAATATGATATCTGCAATAGCTTCACGGTGGTCGTAGCGCGTGTGGTCGGCCAGCAGCTTCGCTAGCCAAGTTTGGTCACACTGCGCGCTAATATGCGTAAAGAATTCCTCGTCGCGCCGTCGTCGTTCATCCGACAAATCGTCAGTAGCTGGCTCCGGCGCATATCGGTATCCCAAGCAAGATTGTACTAGACCTAGATGTGCATTGACCGAATCATGTATCCACTCCCGCTGTGCAGCTTGCATAGTTTGCTCATCATAGCAGCCCAGGTGGGATTTCGACGCGTCCCAGTTGCCAAAGGGTGAACGATCTTGCAATGGCCCCTGATCGACGAACACAAACCCGCTGAAGTCGTCGTATCCAAAGAGCTCAACGTAAGTCCAGAGAACAGCAGCACCGATTGAACATCCGACGGGTATAATTTTTACCGGTTTGGTAAGGGTTATGGAGTCTTTCAAATGAGTGACCAAGGCTCGCAGATCAACAGCTAGACGGGCTACATGATAACCCCCGAGCGGCCGACTGGAATTTCCGTGACCCCGCATGTCCGGGGCGACGACCCAGTAATCGCGACTTAGAGCTTCGAAATTACGCGTAAAATATGCGCTCGAACCGCTGAACCCATGCATCAAGATGATGCATCGTTCGTAGCGAGATTCAGATGCCGCTTTTTCTTTAACTGGTAGCGAGGTCTGAAATGCGAGAGTACAACTATCATTGGCTATACAGTGCTCATATATCATTCCGGGATCTGCCTTATTTGCCATGGTTATTAAATGATATCCCAGTCTGATGTCCGATGTAAATGTTTAAGTGCTACTTGGCGCAAATCCCATGTAAAGCTTTATTTTATTATCGGTTGATGAAGTAAAACGTAAATCTCTATATCTACAAATTACTTTTTATCGTATTGTAGTGGATAATAGAATATTGCATAATTGTATCATCTCTCTAATAGCTTACATGTCTTGGGTACATATTTATCCCCCTTTCCCCTTTCCACAAAACTGTGAAGTGAATGCACATCATAAAATCATGGACAGATGGATCTTTTACAGACATAGAAAGCCTAGGAAAGATTTCATGCTGTTTCGGACATGAGCAACTTGAATCTAGTATGCACCACTATTGGTGCTTGAATTATAACTTTATATGCTCGATCTACTATTAACTTGAATATAATCAATGGCTATCCTGCCTCATGCTTGATATAAGTTATTCCTGGTCTATTCCCAACTCCGATATCGCAAAATAGGTATGCACCAACTCTTCGTCTACCCGACGTCGTTTCTCTTTCCCCCTTCCTCAGTCTAAAAATCGTTGATAGTCACATGAGCTAAATAGCATCGTACACCTCATACTTCTCCCTTTTCGTCGTACATTAGCGTCGGTTAAAGTTTAGGAACCGTCCCTATATAATAATATTAGCACTCGTATAGAACACGTAGATGATGTGAGAAGGGGGGGGGGGTGAAGGCAAAACTTACAGCACAGAATAAGATTATCAGATTGCTACCCACGAAAGCCAGGAAGATACCAAGGTCCCTCCACCGGTAGTCGAACTTGAAGCCTAGTGGCTCGTAGAATTCATTGCCTACCTTGTAGGCACAGTATTGGCACAGGCTAGTGGCGTTGTCTACGATATACCCAGCGCCCTTCTCTAAGAAAGGAGCCATGTATTCGCCACAGGTTTGACCCTCTGGTGCAGTGAATGAGTTGAGCTCCCACGGTCGGCAGTTTACTTGAAGGTCATCCAGAGCAGTAGTAACAGTACCACCAATCAGACGAGTGAACGGGTCCAGCTGATACAGCCACGATCGCCAAAAAGCAGGCATCTGAGGGGCAGGGATTGCAACACCACAGAACATCGAGAAAGTGATAACGACGAAAGGATCGAACTGGCTAGCGACGAAAGACGAAGGCGACAAAGCAGCGATGCACTGCGCCAGAGTGATCGAGAAAAGCTCTGTAATCAAAACCATGAAGTACTGGTAACCAGCTCGCGAGGACTCCGTCTGGAAGCCTGGGATATAGTACAAGGGAAGGAAGAAGATTACGGAACAGATAATCGAGTAAGGCAATTCAGCAAGAACCATAGCCGAAGTGAAGGTGAATGTGCTGTACATCTTGCTCAACTGTTCGCGGAAGAAGATCGATCGCTTGATAACGTACATTAGTTCGACTTGAGGGAGCAGTAAACCGGTCAAAACGGTAATCTGGAACATGACGAAGACCTTGTACTGCAGCGCCGAACGGGAGTCGTCGAGATTTAGATAAGTTAGACCAGTAAGGAGGGAAATGACAATATGGTTAAAAATGCGCGTGAACAGGTAGTTGGGTGATCGCCAAAAGGAGAGATTGGTACGTTTGATGACAACGCTCAATTGGTGTGCAAGGGGTGAAGCATATTCGCGTTGCAGAGAAAGATCGGTATGCGCAGCCGCCTCTTTGCGAGACTCTTTAAACTGGGAGATCGTATCCTTGACGTTAGCTAGCTCAGGGCTGTCGTTCCAAATCTCTGACCAATCTCGGTTTCCAACTCGAGGAGCACTTCCAGCACCAATAGCCTCAAGCATAAATTCCGCAACGTTGTCGGAAGGGCCAGCAACAGCACCGTGTCGAGCCAAGTAGTCCCGAAGAATACATGCATCTTTACCAATATCACCAAAGTATACGCAACGGCCTCCTCGTTGAAGCAGAAGTAGTCGGTCGAAGTTCTCGAAGAGGGCGGCGTTAGGCTGATGAATCGTGCAGAGAATAGCCTGTCCAGCAGCAGCAAGCTTCTTTAAGAATCGAACAATGTTGAAGGCGCTTTGACTATCAAGACCTGAAGTTGGCTCATCCAAGAACAGTAGAAGCTGTGGCTTAGCCGCAAGCTCGACACCGATCGTTACACGTTTACGCTGCTCGACAGTAAGACCAGCTTCCGGGGTTCCAATTATACAGTCCGCAATATTTTCCATTTCCAATAGAGCGATGATCTCCTCAACATAAGCATACTTTTCTTCGCGGGGTGTCTCGAAAGGTTGTCGTAGGTCGGCCGAGAAACGTAGGGCTTCGCGAACGGTCTGGGTAGGATCGTGCATGTCGAGCTGCTCGGCGTACGAGGTGGATCTCTGAAATTCTTTTCCAGGTTTAAGACCGTCAACGAGGATGTCGCCAGTGATAACACCAATGTTCTTTCTTGCTGCCAAAACATCCAAGAGGGTTGTCTTTCCGGCTCCAGATGCACCCATAAGAGCAGTGAGTTGACCGGGCTTGCAGTAACCATAAACACTGTTTAGTAGACGGCGAGTGCCACCAGGAACAGGCACATCATACTTGAGGTCTTCCCATGTTAGAATGCTGCTGGATTCAATCTTCAAAGCAGATCCAGTGTCCGCCTCCCTCGACTTCTGGCGTTGCAATCGCTTTTCGTTAAGGGCGTCATTTAGGGCCTTTCGCTCGGGATTGGGTTTCGCGAAGACCTTCGCTTGATTACCACCCATACCATACTTGACAAATTCGCCCAATACCACGTTCATAATCAGGAAGAATATGATGATAGCCATAATAATACCGAAGTTCCTCCACAAATCCTGGGGAGCGTAAGAGAATCCTTGCGTAATATAATCACCACCGTTTACAGTGAGACTTCCAGGGGTTGAGCCTGCTAGGGTGCAGACTTGATGGCTAATGTTACCATACGAAGGTCCTGAGGGAATAAGCGACTCGTCCGAACATCTCATTTGGTTTCCGCCAAACTCATTCGCCATCAGACTGGAAAAGGTAAGACCCAAGGTGTTGATCCAGAAGATCCACCTAAGCCAGACTTGTTGAGACTGATATTGGATCAGATAACCGGAGGTCAAGACAAATAAAGTGATCGTAACGACAGCAAACTTGATAGCGTAATCAAAGTCAGGACTAAGACAGGCAATGATACGGAAGTAGAGTGTCATCGAGATGTTTCCAACAAGAATCAGCAGATAGAACGTGAAGAAGGCCCCAGGTGTCCTCGTAAGGTTAGTCATGAAGTAGAGGATGATCGAGAACACAAGAATTCGCGTTGCCGAAAAGGCTGTGTCCACAAATATCTGCGCTATCCATAATGCCGATGGTCGATGGAAAGTGTATGCTTTATGCTTGTTTACGATCGGTCGACCCATCATTGTTGATCCTAATTCAGAGAAAGCTTCGAAGGCGTTGAACAAGAGAGAGATGAAGAGAAGACCTCCTTTACCGAAAGCGCTAGCAGATGTTTGTCCCAGATTGAAGTACAAGGACCCCAGTACCAATGCAATGACGATGGTTCGAATCCAAGATAGTACTATAGTAAGCTTATCCTGGAACTTGATGGCAAACTGTCGTTTCATCAAAGCCCACACCTGGAGGTGGAAACCCACGCTGTAGACGGAATGTTTCGCACCGCTTCGCTTACTCTCGCGTACGGCCATGCGGAAATCATTATGACGAGCGATCTCTTGTTCGTGTTCAAGCCTAGTCTTGTATTCTGCCATCTCGGTACTCAATTGTTGGGCAAACCGGGATTTCTCGAATGCTTCGGCCAATGTCTCGGGGCTGTGTGGGGCATTCCGTGCCGAAAAGCCATCCGAGTATTCGCGCTCGAACTCGTCCGTGCAGCCGGTAATATAATCGGGTGTCGTCTGTCGCGGTCGCGGGAGGAATCCTAGTCCTTCGAAATAGGCTCGCGCCTCGGTAGTAGGACCAAAGTAGACCTGCTTGCCACCATCTATAAGTAGGACTTTGTCGAATTGCTTGTAAATATTCTCGGATGCCTGGTAAAGAGACACGAAAGTAGATGTCTTGTATAGGTTGGTTTGGATGCGAAGGGACTTGACAAAGTCGAGGGCCGTGCTAGCATCGAGACCTCGAGTACTGTTATCCCATGATAGAACACAGGCGTTTGTGATCATCATCTCAGCAATAGAGACACGCTTCCTCTCACCACCAGAAACACCGCGGACTAGTGCATCACCAACCACGGTCTTTCTTGTGTGCTCGATATTGAACATCTTGAGTAACATTGTAATTACTTCCTCCTTAAACTTGCTCTTCGAGGTTCCCGCTGGCAGTCTTTTGGAGACCTTGGTATCCAGCGCGAAAGCGAGTGTCTGTTCAACGGTAAGGGTGGCGTGGTGGATATCGTCCTCCTGGTTGTAGACGGCCTCGCCACGGTATTGCTGGAATTCCTCAGCGGTGAATGGTCCATAAAGAACTTCTCCGGTAACGCCAGTATAACCCCATCGCTGGTTCGCAATCGACTTCAAGAAAGTCGTGCATCCGGATCCTGGCCTTCCTAGAACAAGAACCATCTCGCCAGGATTTACGACGCCCTTGAAATTTTCCAGCAGAGTGACTTCGGTGCCTTTGTTACCCTTACCGAGTAGGCTCATTAAGGGAGTCCAATAGTCAACGAAATCCTTGAAGGCATCGGGGAATGTTTTCACGAAATTAGCAGTGCCTCCCATACCCTTGACTGTAAGTCCGTCCCAGTAGACGCCAATATGCTTTGGCTTGATGCCAGCCTCTCTCTCGGCATCCAGTCCTCCTCGTAGGGTTGTCTCCAAATCGAAAGCTTCAATCGACTCTTGAGACCCCGGAGTCTCGAGAGCTGTGAAGCCCCCTTTTTCAACATCAGATTCCTTTCGGCTACGAGTACGGCTTGCTTTAGACAACCCAGATAGTTCCCGTCTAAGCTCAGCAAAATCGGCTTCGGCTTGTTCGACGGAGACGCCAGTGTTGATGCGTGAGAAGCCATTAGGGTTGTTCTGTCTCACAGTTTCACGTTGCTCCTCTAAGTCCGTTGCGACTGTCGAATCTGTGGACGGCGGCCCAGTAGTTTTAGCCGACGTGAACCCATCGTCATGGTCTTGGGGCGGCTCCCCGGATGTAAACTGCTTCTCTAAATCCTTCTCAGACATGGCTATGACCCCACAACTGTTATGGGAGTTACCCAGCTTATAAGGTTGACCTTAGAAGCCTCGAATATGTGTGAATCTCTTATTAGGCACGTAACCTGGGTTTGTAAAAGTGAATTTAAAAAATGTATATGATGGCTCTGAGTGCTAAGGATACAACAAGTAATAATTCCACGGTTATTTGAATACAACTCAGAACGGGTGTAAGTGGGAAGAGTGCAACCCCAGGCCTAGCAGAGGACAAACAGAGACTATTAAGTTCAGGAGAACTTATTAGACTTATCAAGGCTGTTCGACTACCTCTCAAGGGGGGGCGAAAAGGAAAGGAATTAGGGGAAAGAAAAGAAAAAAAAAAGAAGTCAGAGAAGGTAAGATAAAAAAGGATGCATATTCTTTAAGTGAAGGGTATAATAAGAGAGAATGCTGCTTATGGGTTTTGTAATACAAATCTCCCCTGGCAAACGTACCTAATTGTTAGCAAAATACTTACCCCACATATATTAATGAGTACTCTTCAGCGTCTTTCTCATACGTTAATTACATGCGCTACTTGTTTAGCTTAACGAGTCCTTATTCGGTTGTTTACCTGAAGGTAGTTGATTCTAAGATATTTTCTATAACGTTCTCAAACAATTAAAAATTCTTAAACTTTTCCAATTTGAAAACTATAATATATGCAACAATTTTAAATAATATATTGATATAAATTCTTGACTATCTGGCGTAGACTTACTCATGTATCATTAGAAGTGTATGTGGGGATAAGTAACCTGGTATGCAAACAGTCTCTTTCATATGTACCCGGCAGGCAGGCTGGTAACTTCTGAAGCCGAACTTTTGGCATTGGGCTTGGCATTGGGACAGGATTACCAATCAATAGAGCAAAGATATGTGAAGTAACTCCATAAAAATTCCGTTTCATCTGATACCGATTCTTCGCTAGCGGTGTGAAAAGGTTAGGCTATGAGTTAAACCGGGTTGCAAGGTATACACTTTATATTACTGTCGTATTGGGCAACTAATGTATGTAATTAACCGCTTGACACTACAGCAAGAAGATAGGGTATAGTGGCCCCCACTTTCCGACTAAACTGAAATCCATGGTATGTATTTCAAACCACATATACCGGACCATAGTGCCGGATTTAACAGGTACTTACTACATTATAAGGTTAGGTAGTTAGTTATATCAAAACTTTGAAAACTTTTCAAGAAACTAATTTCATGTTAATGAGTTAAGATATATATAATATTATGTGTAACAGTAAATCCTTTAATATACTTTTAACTAGTTAGTTTTAACGTAAAAACTATTAAAATTATAGCCTTACATCGTAACGTAGACATGCTGATATCAGCACCATGATATATGTATCATGCAGCTTGTCTTACCTGTCCCGGAACTTTGTTACTGATAAGATGTGCCGCGTTGGACCGCAGATCGGTTTTGAATGCGTTAAAGTCTTCTCAATTAGTCCATCCGAAGCTCTTCCTATTGGTAGCCGTCGGGTTCCCGTATCCGCACCCCGACTTGTGCATCTCGAAGCCTCGTGGAAAGTGGAAACTTTGCCAAGGGTTGCGTGCGCCGTCTGGCCGTGCGCTGACGCTGCGACCAACCATACCTACCGCTGTTTCGACTCATTCGGCCAGTTTAGTCGGGCTAGATTCGCAATATCTGACTAGTCAGCTTCATCTATGTACCTATCGAATAGGGGGGGAAGGTTTTTTTTTTTTTTTTTTTACATATGTTACTCCTTAAATTCGTCCGTTGAAAGTGGACTAAAAACGACCCATTTATAAGTCGGATACGGGGTCGGAGTCCGGTATGCCACGGAGTTTCCAACTTCACTAACAATTATTCTTCTTGTATTACACATATCTACCCCCATCTCGGCCCAATTCATAGTTCCGGCAAATATATGTAAGTCGATGATTAGAAATGATGTTGTGGGACCGTTACATTCGCTTTGGCATTTATCTCGATATATCCAAACAGTAACTTGACACGCGCTCAGTCGCAGTCTTGGTGCTTTGCGTGTTGACACCAGCTCCATGTATCTTTGCGCTCTTTACGAGCGAGGGTTGAGAACACAACCGAAAAATATCCGATACTAACTACATTGACTAAATTGAAATCCTCTAAGATTCCTATACGATTGTCACATACTAGGTAGACCACCCCCCACGGATTATGTACCCATGCGTGCGGGTACAAATATGTATTTGAGATCCAGTCAGGCCTGCCAGGTAAATTTCCATATGGCTCAGCACTTACTTCGCCACCGACCCAGAAAGATTCAGAGGTCTAGAAGCTCCGATATGCGGAAACTCGCTCGTTGGGAACAGCTTTGAAATGCATTTAGAAAGCGGCGACTTTCTTAGGCCAAGCCAAGGTCACATAAAAGTCCTATACACACACATATGCTATGTTCCCTTAAACTGCCATAAAAACGTGCCTACATGATATGCATGGTATATATGTAAGCTGCACGTACATGGAAATGCTTAACCTACATATGTCGTGAAACTCGGCGAGATGACCCGTGCCAACGGCAAAGTGCTAGCTTATACATGAATAAGTCTATACGCCTATAAAAGAAGTCCACGACCGCAGACGATAAAGCTTCATGTCTCTTGTCTGTTGGAGTAGTGACGCGACTTATTTCGTACTATGTACAGTTTAATACGCATTGTGTAATAAAACAAGATGTAATACTAAGATACAATTCTTACATATTATCCGTCGTTATCATAGGTAGTTGCCATTCGGGAAGGACATACCCTAGTTCGCCTAGTCATATCAAATCAGAATGAGCATCATTCACGTGATCTTTCACCGTTGATCGTCAAGCCCATATTTTAAACCACGGAATTACCTGATGTGGTATACACCCGTACTTTGTAGCTCCCGTGCCCGACACGGCATCTGTCATCCATACTTTATTTACTAAGCGTAAATTTATATCTATGGATGTGTACATGTAGGCAGATAGATAGGTACTTAGATATGTATATCTCCATAGGTGCATTTTAGCTTGTGATAGCCAAAACTGACACTCCACATATTGTCCCGAAAGAAGCTACAAGAAATGAATCATTCTGTATCATTCTAATAAATTTTCGATTAGTGGGTCGTCGTTTCGGGGAGATTAACTTAGAAGAGAGCCCCATCTACTCAGAATTATTGCGAGGATAATGGAGATAATAGTGCTAGTTAATCTAATCTCCGTAAAGTCCCTTGTAGTCATAATATAACTAGAAATTTCTCTTACATGCATAGGTACCTAACCTAAGGCAGATCAATACCGTACATATGTATGTAGGTATCTATAGATCTTACCCTTGGTCAGTTCTAACATGTGGCCCCAGGGGATATCTATCAGTAAGCACTTAGAAACTCAACCTAAATCATATATATGGTCAACTCGTGAGGAACGCTAAGAATTGCTGAATAGAGAAGTAATACGGTTTCACAAAACATCTTAGTAGTAAAGGCTTAGGCTAACAACGACTAAATTATGCTATGCCTTTCAAAAACCGTGATAGCTCCGTCACCACGCATGAGAAGGGATTTATTACGCTGTGTGGTGACGATCTATAAGAGCCCTAGACTCCAATTGAGTGCCACGTGCAAACAACAAGACAAATGACTCAAGTTACATCATATCCACAAGAAACTACCTCGTATGCTTTCTCCGAACTTGTAATCCTCTTTTCCCCTTTGATGCTAACCAGGCCCCCAAACAAAAGCCTGCCTGGATGGAATCAAGCATCGAAATGTTTACCAACGCCGGCCATGCAAGGTGAAAGTATAGGTTTCATTCGTTCCTTTTCCTATCTAGTAGCACGGAGACCTAATAATCTGCGTTGTCTCATGCTGCTTCTCCGCAAACCAAGGATGAGATCATAATGAGTACGGAAACTCCGATTACCCTCGTTCGACCTAATGAGATCTGAGACACATCGTGTCTAGTTCGGTCTGTGTTTTGTGCTTCACCTATGGACTTCTGACGAGTGGAGATGGTCATCTCCACCACTACTCTGGTCACATCTGCCATTCGACTTGTTCTCCTAGAGCTCTGATTCTGCCCCGTTCGCCTCTATAGCCATGGGGCTTCCCCCTTGGCCATGTCGTCTTCGCGGCCGTAGTCTTCGCACGGGCCGTCCATTCAAATTCATACTTTCGTCATCATCCTCGCTATCCGGGTTGGTCTCTGCATGGTGGCGCGCTTCATCTAGTTCTGAAATATTATCCGGTTTATCTCGTAGCCACTGCATTCGTGGACCTGAGCGCGCAACCTCCGAAACGCGAAAGCCGTAAATACGGGGCTCGTATATCTTGGTGCTGCCCAGACCAGGTGCAATATTGCATGTGTACATGCCATTAAGCATCTCCTTATCATCGTCGCTCACGCGCGCGTTTGCTAGTACATCAGCACCTCGTTTTGTAAGGTCGTATTCGGGAAAAGTTAGTAGGAAGAGTGCGCCAAACGTGCGGCCAAAAAAAGCACCATCTACAGTCTGGAAACGGCTGTTGGGAGGTACGTAGACATCGAGACAACAAGGACAGAAAAGCTTGACTGTTTCCTCGCCAGGTATATCAGAGAGTCCAACGGGGAGAGTCCGAGACTGTTCACAATGACTCCGGGGACATACGCCAAAGTGACCTAACTCATACTTCTCCGACATTTGTTGAATACCTGCTCGCGAGCAGATAAAGCGCTGATGGATCAGGCCGTAGAGCATCTCGGCGGAGGACTCGATAACGGATAAATCACTAGCTATTCGACTATGGTTACGCCGTTCGCCGTGTCGCGGACGGTCAACACCCTCGATGGATTCATCCTCTTCATCATCTTCTTCCTCATCCTCTTCATCGTCGTCCTCGGGTTCAACGTCGAGTATCATCTAGGGTAGAGGTTAGCAAAACGAAAGCACCCGCATTCTAATTTTAGCTAACCTCCAAAGCTTCCTTATACATCGCGACCTGGGTCTGCAATCCAGTTAGGTTGAAGTCATCTTCGATAAATTCTTCGGACACTTCTGCGAAATATTCGTGACCTAGGAGAGAGCAGAAGGAGGAAATCCAAGATTCCGGAGTACCAGATGACGAGGACATTCTGGCAAGAGTAGATGCGCCCGAACAGATGCCTCGTCTCGAATAAATTCAACTTGTCTAGGAGTGACGATAGTCAAGGATCGCAAGGTGTAACGTTGAACCGTAGTTGATCGCGGTTAGGGAGACGGGAGACGAGAGAAGAGAGAGCTATGGCAGCTGCATGACGCCGATGAAGGCGAGTAGATAGCGAAGACGAAGGGAAATAGAATAATTTAACAAACGAAGAGAGATATCTATTGCCTAGAGATACCTAGAACAGGTCTCGGCAGATGAATATTGTGCTACAATGGTGAATCAATATTGTGAAATAGTTGTGATGCATGTGTTGTGATAAGTTTTGGCGGGGATGAGAGGAGGGAGAGAGGCTACCAAAATTGCGATTCAGCCCAGTCTAGCCCATTAGGTAAATTCCATCGGTGGGAATTATGTGCACCGGCGAATAAAGTGGTCTGTGCGGGGAACGGAAATAAGGTATAGCAAGTATAGGTACGGCTATCGATTATTATTATCCACCAAGATGCTCGTATTAATATGTACAGCTACTTATGCACCTACGAGCCGCATCAGGCAAGGTCAAGCCAAACTAGTGTAGCCACAGAGTTCTTGCTCTTAAAGTCAAGCCGCAAGCAAACAGTTGGTTGGAACCTTAGGTTAGGTAGGTAAGCCTGGTCCGTGCGAATTCCGTTTTCTATCATGCACCATTGTGCGATATCTCCAACCGTGTCACCAACTAAATTCTTAATCACATTTTAGTAATATTTATATTAATGTCTCAAAATATCAATCATACCTCTTAACGACTCACCTTCATCTCCTCTCAAAATATATATTCATGCTATCTAAATTCAGATTCGGCTCACGGGTAGTCTTGTCTAGACACTCCTTCCAATATTCCAAGGCTCTATCTGAGTTTCTACCTGCGTCTTCGACGAATCAAAGTTATAGTCAGCTCTTGGACATCCCTAACTCGAATTCTCGCGAGCAAGCCGAACAGCACGTTTCCCGTGTTGAGTCAATTGTAGGCGATATCGACTTAGATTTGTTTCGTAGAATCGCATGGGTTCCTGAAACTCCGTTGCTTCTTAGAAACTTCCATAATTTACCTGCCGTACAAAAATGGTTCCAACACGGCACTGAAGACTCTCATACTCGCTTCACACAGTACATACGGCCCTATGAAGATCTTATCCTACCATATGAGTTCACCGTTCCCCATCCTTCTCCCGAAGGAAAGGGCTCAGAGGACAATGCCTTGGCATATTTTCAAACATGGCTTCTTGAGTCCAATGAGTATAAGAAGTCGCATTTACCAGTGATCATTGAGGCTATGGTTAAATCGTCAAGTGATGACGGCCCTTTTGGAAATTTTTCAAATTTCCAACAATTCGATGCGCCCTTAAGTTTGATTATGAGTGCATCTCAGTTCAATGACACTCAAAGTGAACCCTCTAAGCGCATCACAAATCTCTATGTTGCTCAATCTAATCTGAACGACCTACCTAAGCCCCTTTTTGAGGACTTACCTGTGCCTAATATTGTCAAATACGCTGGCAAGGGAGATATATATAGCTCGAGCATCTGGCTTGGGTTGCAGCCCACATATACCCCTTTACACCGAGATCCAAATCCGAATGTGTTCTACCAGCTTGTAAGCTCAAAAAGAATACGTCTTATGGCACCAGACCAAGGCGATGACATATATGCTCGTGTCCGCAGAATGCTTGGCTCGTCGGGAAACTCGCGATTCAGAGGTACAGAAATGATGGAGGGCCGCGAACGTGAATTACTTCATCATGCGGTTTGGAATGAAGAGACAATAGATGAAGTATCATTAAACCCTGGCGATGGCTTATTTATCCCTAAGGGCTGGTGGCATAGCGTTGCTAGTAGTGGCAAGGAGGGTGAATTGAACGCTTCGGTCAATTGGTGGTACAGATAGCCATTACATTTTCCACACTCTAAAAGTAAATAAAACAAAAGTATAATATGTATCAGCCAGTTCTCATGGCATACCCTGCATTATGACTATTGCACAAGTGAATTCCACATAATATCCATATATACGTGGTGTTCTCTGACCACTTGACTACTTGAGCTTCTCAGACTCAATCCAGCTTAGATAGAGTGTTTCTAAGCTTCGTCAGGGCAAACTGCTCACCTTACCATAGCAGTTAAATAGGAATCGCCGTTGCCTATATGCAACATTATGATTGCACTCTAATATTTACCACAACTAGAAACACAAGTAGAACATTAATAAACGTACTGACTTTCACGTTACATTGTGTTATTAGTTTGGTAGGCAACTTATGAACCTCAGGCAACATATCTAACATATTCGACGAGTCCTAGAGAATGAGACTAGGTAGTCTGTTGATCAACCAAACGACGTCCCTAAGATTCGCGGAGATACAAATTAACAGAAGATATAATTTTTCTAGAAGCATCACCTCGTTACCTGATGTGTGGCGATATTGTTAATTCGTTGTTCTTTCCAGTACACATGTACTAAAGGCAAGCATCAGCAACCAAAATGTGTCTATCGAAGCTATAGAAAGTGAAGGAGAACTCGAGGAACTGAAAGGTGTAAGACGGACACTGCCTGTAGACTTAGGATTAGGTATTATTATATTCAGCCTAGGAGGTCTACTTCACCGTGTGCGTGAACTCAGCCCCTTTTCATTAAGATATCGGTGTCGATTTATAATATTTATAACTAGCCACAGTTAACACCAGGCTATTTCTTTCCGTATTTCAGTTATGATGGGTGAGTATATGATATCATCCTATTCTTAACTTCAACTCATGATAAAACATCACCAAACTCCAATTGAAGCAAACCCATGTAGCTATTTATCGGACTCAGCATCTTCAATATTAATAAGATCTTTGACGTTCACATCGTCCTGTAGGACTGGGATGGCAGCATCATCTTTCCCCCCCTTGGTAGCGTAGGACGAGTCGTAGACTTAGCCTTCCGGGACCTTAGAAAGCAATTACCCAGATACCTTATCCTTTGTTTAAAGATACGTGTTCTTAGACATTGTTAGCGAGATTCGAGATGTGGTTTGAGCTAGGCTGAGCTTAGAAAATAACGTTTCGATTAAAACTGCAAGTCTGAGGTGTTGCTATTTATTTATCTACTGATTATTGATCATTTACTATAAATATGTTGATTCTCAGGCAAATCAAATATATATCACATGTTGTCGTTAAGGTGATTAATGATATAATCATAGCTACTACATAAGTAACTACCTAGCCTGATGTACATAGATTACTTCCTATATATTTGATGACACCCTGGAATGCTTCCTAGTCAGTCGCAACATCAAAATTGGCTTAGATCGTATAAGGAGGTTATTAAAATGCTTATTTTGACATGGATCTAGACTAGAAATATAACAAGGGGAGAATAGATTTTACCAGGGTCGTTACGATCTATCGTCATATGCTCATCATCTCAACACTGTATATCTTCACAATACCCCTTTTCTTGCCTTAGTATGATATTCAAGTGTGCTCTTTGTTCCGTACGTGCCCTTGTTGAGAACTAGCGTAATGTATCTCTTCGGAGACTCTATCTATCACGAATTTTCAATTAAGAGCATCTACAAATATATGTTGAACACTGCCTCGATAGTAAGAGCGTCGTTAGATGAGTAACATCAATACCACTCAGTAGATCATTGGTCTATTGTTTCAGAGTCGAAGAGAGACAAGCTTTGAGCGGAGCTGCCACGCGAGAGGCAGGGAGGCTTTGCGTGCTCTTAGATCGAGATCATCGTTCTCCGGATCATGAAATTTGAGCGAACCGTGTGTTAGTCCCACAAAGTCATTTGTCTCTATTACCTATCTTGCCCTTGTCTGATTTGAAATGTATAAGTTAACGTTATTGATTCGTCGTTACTGAGTTTGGTATGAACTGCTTGGGTATAAATGTGAAAAGGGGAAGATCGTAGTGCTCTAAGCTCATGATCTAAGCTAGGTACATATTGATAATGATGATGCTCCTAGATACGGCAACGTTATCTCTATTTCTAGTAAATTATTAATTATTTCTAACTATTTATTTTCTACCAACATAGTTCTTCAAGATTACACAATGAGAAACATACGTAGGCATGCAGGGTTCATGGGGGATGGCAGCGGGGAAACATTTCCGAGTAAAAGATCATCAATTCTCAAAGCTGTGATTGGACCAAACAACCACACCAGGTCTAGTACCGGGTCTTACTCCGGGTTCCGAAACAATGGCACCTTCTAGTACTGCACAAGTGTGCAAATTAGCCCTCGGCTTCTTCCATTAGTCGTGGATACTAAGTATGATGAAGTGAGGAGACAAAAAAAATTAATCATTATTCTCTTTAGTTGAGTTTCTCTTTAGTTTACTGCATCTGGGAGTTTTAAGGTCTTTGAATACGAAGAGTTTCTCTTCATTAGATGTTAGTTATATCCTATGCCTAGGTAGTGTTATGCTATGTGCCATTAAAGGGGTATATGGGCCAGTCATCAATTGTACCAGCGTAGATAACCAAGCCGAGTTTGCTTTTCCTGAATACGCTAATATCAAACAGTCTCAACAACTTCCCGAGTCTCAACTTGAACCGTCACCGCCGCATTAATATTTACAATATCGCTCCAGGGGTTTTCTTTATCCTGAATCCAAGCCATCTGGATCTCCCCGCAGCACACAATAAATAATTTCGGCTTGCCATTGACGTAATTTAGCTCGACGGCTGTTGGCGAGGCTAAGTTTCGCAAGACAACACTTGTCGTGGCCTTGCCGGTCGATGGTTCAATGTTAACCTTCCAGATAAACCCATCCTTATAACTGCACGTGTAGGCCGCAGTCTCATCTTGTGTAAGAACCAGCCCGTCGCAGTCAGTGATCTCATCAGTAAGAATCTGCACAGGTCCTGTTATGCGGATTCCTACAGATGGATCATCTTGAACTCGTTCAATTGGGATGCGACATAATGTACCAGCACTGGTATTCGTAAACCATATAAATTCATCTGTGATGCATATCCGGTTAAGACCGAAGAAATTTCCTTCGCCATTTGCAATCTTCATACTATCGTCGGCTATGAGTATTGATGATTGACCTGTCTGTGTATCGAGATGCCATATGCAATTCTTAGTTGAGTCTGGTATTATCACCACGCGATCTGAAATGGCGACGGCGGCTGCGCAGAGGCCTGCATTTGGGATTTCGGCTACTTTGGTGACTTTGGGCGGATTGCTGTCGTCCGGGCTGAGCGCTACGCGCCATATGATAAAATCGTTGAATTCGACATTAACTAGATCACTAACGGTTGAAAGGACGAAATATTCATCTTTCGTACCCGGTATTGGATCCGCATCGACAAGACCGTTCGCATTTCGATCAAAGGAATGCAGCAGCTCAGGTGTCGAATTTGAGTCTTCGGGGTTAAATGTGTATAATTCGGGTTCGTCTAGTCGACAGGCTAGAATTTTGCCATTGGGCCGCAAAGCAAAAGCTTCAAACCAAGAGTCTGATGGTAGTTGTGTCACTAGGACTACATCCTGATCAGATCCGTCCTCGAGCATGGCGGAGTATAATGAGATGAGATGAGATTATGAGACTGAAAAGTTTATGTGATGTAAATGTGAAGTATGTTAGCTTGAAGTTGTTGGTAAAGTTAAAATGTTAAAATGAATAGCTCAGACGGCATTGCGACCTGACCGAATATGAAATACTTGAAACCCCATGGCGGCCCATTACAATACTAATGTGACTTGGGCCCCTATCCCTGAACTATACCAAGAATCTTTAGGCGGGCATTTCCTGCATGAACAATTCATGTGCAAATGCGGCACACGTAAAGTGGAGAGTGGAGATGTGAAAAAGATCGGGAAATTGTCTCCTCGTTGCTGTACTAAATGTGAGCTACAGGGAGTCTTCCCGCTTCTAGTTTGGATGCTAAGAGAATACGCTTTAGTGCGTCAAGGTATTTGAAAAGAACAGCTGGGGTAAAATATTTCTTAAACTACCTAAGGTAGTTGATTATATACTCGTCATGATTACCTGGGTACCTACCTCCTAGGTATACTTCGAATATGTATAAGACTCACTTGGTGTGGTTGTTGGCATATGTAGGTATATTAAGTTATTACTGCGTACGTCCACGTCCCCGTCCCAGTGGCTCCTCTTATTGATCGACTGGACTAGTTGCCATTGCCGTGGTAAGCGAACCGTAATCGGCTAGGAGACTTATTTACGCGAATGCCCAACCCGTTCCCGAGTCCTCATTCTGTATCTAGTCGCCCCGACCGCGGACGTGGGATTACGATCAATTACTTCTAACCAATACAATAGCACAGGGTGGTCAACCAACGACCCGAGCGAGTTTCGGAACGTCCCACAACTGGTATCGTTACCGACTCCGCACCATGTAAGTAATTAAGATACACTAGAACCAACCTGCTTTGATTCCGTTACTAATGCCACTGTTGGGTTTTTGTTAACCACGGGCGCGGGTATCTGGGCATGTAGGTAATTCAGTCTAGTCGATGTCTAGTCGATAATCCGTAGGGCTTCCCTTGTCTCGATCGGTGCCCAGTTAAGCAAGCCGTCTATAAAATATTAACGGTATCATCCACTAATGGTTTTAGTCTGCGATGGTGTCTCTTTGTGCCCAAGAAGCCCTAGCCCCATTAGTCCTGTGAGTTGGTAAACGGAACTAGCCTAAGAGGTAATCAAAAGGGTAGGACAGCAACCGAGCCGAACTCTTACAGTCTCGTTCCGGGTCCACCGGCGGATGCCCGAGCGTCCCATCCCCGGCAATATGACCCAGTCCCCTATTTTCTTTGGAGAGCCCCAGACCATATCTATACATATGTCGATATAATTTTCGGGTTGTAACTCTAGAGCGCAGCCGACATCGAGCCCCTGGACGCTTAGGTATATTCGATGTTGGTGATTAGTTGTTATATGGAATAGTTATCGGGCTTTGTTCAAGAGATCGTCACTACGAATTACTGCGTAAGGCCCATGAACCCCATGTAAGCACTTAACCTAGATGCTTGTCAGCTGTCCCATCGTAGCCCGTCGGTAGCACCCGTGTTCTGTTGCCGAACTTTGCCCTTTATGTACATGCTTTACTTTTACTTCGGTAAGGATCTAATTGTGACAAGCCTTACAGTTACAAACTAACAAATTTCCATACTAGCGGCTTAAATTCCGGTTGGGTATCCCAGATATCACAGAGTGATGTTAAACCCATGTTCAAATTATAATACCCACTTACGACACAACACTAAAGTCCTGAAGGTAACTAATTACCTTAATACTAAACTTTTGGCTCAGGTGCCTCTAGTGCTGGAAGATTCTGCCACTGTCACGAGGTGGAACCAAACAGTATATGTAGAAACAACTTCGTTATTCCGCAAGGAATTATAATCTAACTACAAGAGTCTACATCTATATATACTAAGCATGTCCTCTATTCTAGATGTCTTCCAAATATCTTTTCATTCTTAAAATCTATTAACTAGCCCTTTTTAGCAATGTGGTTATAATAGTATAGAGTGAAAAGTATGTCTACCTTGTGAATATTCCATACAATCAACAGAGTATATATCTAATTGGCTGGACTTTTTTTTAGTATTGAATTTGGTTTATTCGATTATACTATTTTCTGAAGAGGAATATCTAACAGAGTATGTTTCAAGTTCGATATCGGCGAAGTTCAAGGTAATGGCTCGCAGTTTCTAGTCTAAATTTCAACCAATACATGTATACGGATAAATTATATTATTAACTCAGCTACGTAGATATAAAACCTTACACTGGTGAGATGTCAAGGCCAACTCCAGAGCCGACCTTACATTTAAACCCCGGTGCAATAGGCTGTGGAAGGGTCAATTGACCACCAGTGCAAGTAGCGAAGTGCAAACTATCTTCAAGGCAAGTAAGATGGCCTTCTATACATGTTCCTGGGTTCGTTGTAGAAGGCGGTGTTGGCGTACTAGTCGATACCACACCTGTGGACAATGATGGTGAGATAGACAGTGTTGAAATTGTCGAAATAGGAGAAGAGGACATGGTTCTAGATACTTTGGGTTCCGGTATAAAGGTCGGACTAGGTTGAGAAGATGTGCTTATGTCAGGAGTTCCAGGAATGTTGCCTTGCCCAGCTAGAGGATTACCATCGCACTGCTGTTTGAATAGATTCTCAGAGCCTTCTGGATAGTCAACAGAAGGACCAGGATTCGGGAACGCAATTGCTATCTGTTGTTGTAAGGCTTCTTCGGTTGTACACCCTCCCGAAACATCACCCATGTTGGCCATGAATAGCTCTGGAAAGGCCGCTCTCTTGCCAAGTGATGCCCGGCGAGCTAAACTATCCATGCGTTTTCTCTTAGCCGGAGTGACAGTAATAGGCGCACAATTCATATAATATTCAGGTTGTCCTCCAATTCGAGCAAGCCACTGATTTAAAGTTAGCATTTTTCATTAAGCATTACCAATAAGCCTTCACGTCGTCAAGTAATATCTGGTGAAATCTCCTATAAGAACCTAAAGGCGATTAGGAAAAGGGGGGAGGGGTAGGAAAAGGGGTACTTACAGTCCATGCAAAAATATAGTCACCAGGTTCAATACCTTCCGGTATATTGACAGAGTATGAATCGTGATTTGGGCCATCTAGATTCCCTCTTTGGTTGCGCGCGGGACACCCGCCTTCAATCGAGTGGATGACTTTCCATTCCGCAGTTTTGAGGGGGTAGGTTTCCCATGCACCATTACTGACCGGGCCGGACAAACTAAACTGACAGGAACCGCCGCCATGGACTGCTTGTCCTGAGAATGAGACGCTTTGCTCATCCCCAATAGCCATAGTGGTTGGTGGGCCCTCCGGTTCTAACTTGCCACCAGCTGGTATCTTGCAAGGAAAGTCTTCACCAGTTGATGATATGGGGTTGGTCGGACCATATTGAACGAAGCGAAAGGGCTTTGGGTTCTCAAGCACAACGTGTGCCCCGAGAGGCGAAAATAAGGCCGAGAAGGCCGCTAGATTAAGTAGCCTACGATGCATACTGAAATAAGAAAATAAGGGTTATCGTATATCGTAATATCCTGGATATAGAAATCTAGAACATTTGCGAATTTGCCGTAAAGAAGAAGAATATATGTACTTGCATCAAAGAGAATAGTAACATAAAGATCTAAGAACAATCATATTATCCTTCAGGTCCGCTAAAGTACGCTAGATAATATCTCTTTTTGTCTTTTTATGAGGTATGCAGTCACAATAACAAAAGATAAGCGCTCAAGTCCTTGAAATAGTAAAAGAAGGCAAAAATCTAACTCAGGTACATATTCTAGATTTTAAGTAACTCCTTCCATAAACCGAATATTGTTCATAGTCTTAATTAGGCTACTTAGATTTGTCTGATATCAACCCTTCTACTACAATCATATCCTATATAACCCCTATTATCTTATGTCACCTCTCTTCAATAGGTAGATCTTTAAGGAAAGAAGAGAAAGTACTAGTTCTGAACAATGCTACAATGACAAAGGCTACATATTAATTCATCTCTTTTACATGTGTCTCTTATTCATCACCCCTACTACGGCTCTCTAGGAATCAAATCGTAGTTTAACGAAAGTGATAGTAGACTAGGATGTATTTGATAACATAGCAAAGCGAGACTTACTCGACTGTTCGTACCGCGAGAGTTCTGAGGTCTAGTAAGATACGTATAAACCAATAGAGAACTCCCTGCCTTCTTGGTACACTAATAAATGTTGGTGTGCACCTATCTTATCATTGACGTGTAAAAGTCTGACCAAATCCAGCTCTCGGTCCAATGCATCACATGTGTTAACATACGACTATACCAAGTGTTCACATGCTGTGCCATTCATCTGCAGCCGCCTTCGGCATAGTGCAGGATCCATAGAATGCCTTAAACACAATCCCCTAATAATCATAGCTTTAGGTAAGTGCTATGTTGCTAAAGCCGACTGATGTCAAACTCAATCATATCGCAATACCAGCGCCCCCTATTCGAAGACTAGAGTCTTTAGGTTCTTCTCATCGAAGCTGGCGAGGCCCCGATGATTGATACGCGAGTTAACGTTCTCTCGCTAGGTCTAAGCCTTTTGGCAACTGATTCTAATTGGGGTTTCGGAACTATTCTCCAGGTATATGATTGACTGTAGGTCTACTGTTATATAGTTCGTTTATCCATTTTGGTGGTCTTAATACCTATGTTCTATTAGGAGATTTTCTAGGTAGCTTAATGAACCCCGTGATTACTAGCCTTGACAAGAAAGGGTGCTTCACAGCCAATGCATACATTAACGACACTATACAATCTAAGAATAACTTGACTATTTGAACTGATACTTGAGCTAAAAAGATCGCCTTAGACGTGTCTGAGAGTGCTGTAGCAACCGCGGCTTAGCACCTTAGTGCCCCTTTCCTACGGCTCAGTGCATATGATCTCTGTGTCAACACCAACGCCATCGGCTGTCCGCCTTGGTCCCAGCTATTTCTCTCGTCCGCTTTATATAGAGATTCTTGCCCGGTACGTTCAGCTCGGACATGCTAGCACCTGGTGACTTCTCTGACATCCGGAAAGTTAGAGACTACTTTCAAAGAAGAGCAAAATGTGTACATCACTGGATAGAATCTTGTGTTATGATGCCGCGAGAAATAGGGGGCGTTGTTGACCTCGAACTGAGCTACGGCTGCGCTAATCTTCACGTGTGCGATACAAGTATTATACTGATCGCTACTTAGTTAAATCCTTAAGGGATTATGAGGTATGCTACCTAAGTAGAGCATGCCGCACAGACTATTAAGTCTACACTCTAGCATAAATCAAGCTGGCCTAACTACCTACCTAGTAAACTATGGGAACTTGCCGTTGTCCAACTCACACGTCTTAGCAAGGGCGTTACACTCTAAGTCAGTGCGATATCTTGAGACATTACTATATAATAACCAATTATAATTTAAATATTAAATACCATTAATAAGTTATTGGATCGAAACTATTATCAGCATTAAATTGACTTAAGCTGTTTGGATGCTTCGGTGAATTTTAAAATACTCTCGGTGCATTTATTACCGCTTGGCTTCTAATTATAACCCGATAAATATTAGCAGAGTGTTCGCGTTTGATATGTCACCGGCATGATTACCGGACTACCGCTATTTCGTATTCAGCCCTTTCTCTGGTGGATAAGCATGATGCGCAATTTAGGAGAAGCTCATCTCAATGCAGGAACATTGATAAGAGGTTAATTGGCAATCAATATGGAACTCGGAAGCACCCGTAATCAGCCATGGCAGCGTCATTTTTCAAACGCGTAGGGTTGTATTAGACCTATAGCGTATACTGATTCAGGCTTTTCCTCCGCAGGGGGGCTAACCTCAAAGCCTACACTACGACAAATGGTTCCGCCGGGATCCCGGGCCATCTTCCCCCAGATCACCAGCTTTAAGCCGGCACTTCACGCTCCACACATCAGAATAGGCATCAAATAACTTGGCATGTGGAGAGTATGTGGAGGGCATAGTTTGGGGAAGTTGGGGAACGCGGAAATTTGGGTTGTCTATTTTGTCGTGGCGAATCTACGAGAGAATACATATATATATCTTCGAATATGAGTTGCTCCTGGAATAGTGTTGCGTGCTTCTTAGTGCATCGAAATTGCTTGACGGAGTAATTCGAAGACGTCGAACACAATGGCCTCTAGCAAGCTTGCACTCGGCCTCGCGGTCCTAGGTCTCGCCGCCGCGCAGAAGCCTGGAAACACTGCTGATGTCCATCCCGAGTTGACAACTTACCGATGCACCGTGGCTGGCGGTTGCACGGAGTCGACTAACTACCTCGTCCTCGACTCATCTGCTCATTGGGTTCACCAAGACGGCAACAATGTTGGCTGTGGTGACTGGGGAAACAAGCCCAATGAAACGGCTTGCTCTACCAAGGAGGCATGCGCTCAAAACTGCATTAGTATGTGATATCACGACTCCTTCGAATTGGGCGTAACTAACATATCCAACTACAGTGGAGGGTCAAACCGACTATAACAGCATTGGTGTCAAGACTGATGGAGCCTCGTTGAACATGCAACTAATCGTTGGCGACAACGTTGTCTCTCCTCGTATCTACCTCCTAGACGCGGCCAAGGAGAAGTATGAGCTGTTAAAGCTCACCGGCGCCGAGGTCTCCTTCGACATCGAAGCCAGCCATCTGCCCTGCGGCATGAACAGCGCTCTTTACCTCTCTGAGATGTTGGCAGATGGAGGTAAGAGTGAGCTGAACCCTGGTGGAGCTGCCTGGGGTACTGGATACTGTGATGCCCAGTGCTATGTTACTCCTTTCATTAACGGCGAGGTAAGTAACCATGTTAAAACTAATGCACTTAATCAGTTTTCCTGATTTTGCGCGCAATGTCATTGTTATCTAACGGTTATATCAGGGTAACGTTGAGGGCAAGGGCGCTTGCTGCAATGAGATGGATATCTGGGAGGCCAACTCGCGTGCCAACCAAATTGCACCTCACCCTTGCAACCAGACCGGTCCGTACCTGTGCACAGGAGACGAGTGTAAAGCCGACGGTGTCTGTGATAAGAATGGTTGCGGTTGGAACCCCTACCGCCTTGAGCAGCCCAACTACTACGGAAGGGGAGCGGACTATACGGTAGACACGACCAAGCCATTCACTGTTGTTACCCAGTTCCCCGCCGACGAGGAGGGTAAGTTAAAGGAGATCCATCGTCTATACGTCCAAGGTGACAAGGTCATCAAGGCCGAAGTAGTGAAGAAGACTGGTGTACCTGAGGTTTCATTCACCAACGATGAATACTGCGCTGCGACAGGCGCGACTAAGTTCTTGGACCTTGGCGCCCACGAGGAAATGGGTGACGCTCTGACTCGAGGTATGGTCTTGGCTTTCAGCATCTGGTGGGATGAAGGAGGAAACATGTCGTGGCTTGACGGTGCCAAAGATGGTGCTGGCCCCTGCAACGCCACCGAAGGAAACCCCACGAACATCCGTAAGATCGAGGCGCACCCCGAGGTGACCTTTAGCAACCTGAAGTGGGGTGAGATTGGATCGACATTCCCTGCTGCTTCGGCACAATAGATGCTATAGAAGGGATAGGCTTCTATAGATATACCATACTAAATAGAATCAATAGATCTTGCATTTGGCACTTTATTATTTGAGCTCTAGATATTTGTGTCTTGTCGTCTAACTTGAACACACCCACCAAGTTGTATCAATCAAGTAGTTAAGTCGTATCAAGCCGTAATACATAACTCACCGAATAAAATACACGTGTGTTATAGTCGTATCCCGTATACAAGTCTACTTTCAACTCTACCTACTTAGAATCTGTATCATGTTCTTCTAGCTTATCTGGACGTGACTGATATAATTAACTGGCTTAGAGTCCCGATGGAACCGACCTAATTCAGATATTAAGTTGCAACCTGTACCAACACTACATATTCAACCCAAGGAACCATAGACGAATTGCTGTGGTTCAAGGTATTACTTGATTGGAGGCGGATTGAAACCATAGTAAGACCACGACTCGGGCACAGCCGTATTGTATTAAGCAGACCGCAACTGTAGACTTTATAATCTAGAAGAGTATGTCGAACAGGCGGTATGATCGAGCCATTCAGCTGAGGCTGAGCTTGCTTGTACCTATCGCGAAACAGTATCGCAGCACGTTCACCGACTATTTGAAAGTGACATAAGCGTTGCCTGCGTATCACCACCAGTTCATGTTTACCGAATCGTGTGCGCGGATGATGACGACAGCTATTCTTAGCATTTATGGAATTCCTCATTGGCCTATCTCTGCAGAGAACCTGTCAGCGAACAGATCTCATCGCTATAGGGCTGGGCTGGCCCGCCCCCAATCTCAGTCGCGTGTAAGCGGAAGCAAAGATAGGACGAGTAAAGTGAAGAATATATATATATATAGGACTGAGCCTCTCGCTCTTATAAGGCATATCAAGGCTTGTCCCTCTAAAATCATCTATAAAAAGCCAGACACATCCCTTTCCCACCTTCGCCATGCAAGAAGAGTACATCGTCTCTAAACGTCATAGCAAACGTTCCACCATTAGTTTTGCAATACGCTTTGCGCAGTTTATCAACAGCGGCAAGCAAGAAAATATCCGCGAGCGACCAAAGGGGGCTCACTAGCACTAATGGGGATAAGACTTAGGTTTGTGCCTGTTCATGACTTGTCTGGCTTCCTCGAGAGCTTCAACTAACGTATTCTACTACAGCTCGTGGTGGCGGGGAAGTAAGAAGACCCTGGCGTACGATGAATGGACCGATAGGCAGTGTTCTTATAAGAGTACCTCTTATACATTACGAACTCGATAATCCTACGACCAATCGGCGCGGATTTGCGGCTAAGGGATGGGATGGGCTGCAAAGTCACCTTATAACTGGTCTTACGATGATGGCTTAAATACCCCGGCGTTCATCTTGGAAGAGTTCGTCTCTTTAAAGAATTCTTCAGATTGGGGTTTTATTTAGTTATTGATAATCTGGAGTTTGGAGTCTGGTGTTGGTGATGAAATGAAGATCTGGAGGGCTTGGGTATATCTTTATGTTTAGCACTTCCACAGCTTCGCTCAACTTGCTATGCTTTTTTCAAGTATATGATATTGGCATATAAATTTATCTCTCATATATTCGCCCATCTGCGCGGTTTAAGATATATCGACTTGGCGTAGAGTATTTGATGGGGGGTTGGTTACGAACACTTTTACACAATGCGAACAAGTCTAGCTATAGCCCTTCTATGGAACTATTATCGTGATTATGATTTAGTTATATTATAGATATAACTCTTTTACCCTACGAGACAAAGAGGTAATGAGAAGATACCTCTTAAGTCGAGATTATTTCTATAACTGCATAGGTATTTTATATTAGAAACTCTCCAATATTATATGCTACTAAACAGTAAGTAAGTAAGTCTTATCTAATATGTAAGAATCCATTAAAGCAACCCACTTCAACTTGTTCATCCCACATACACCAGCCGAATTTGGCCCTCTCAAGACACAACACCGTTTACGACCCTTAATACAATAACACCACCTCAGCGACTCAGCGAAAAGCGAACTCCTATCCTAGCCTATCGAACGGACCTCCGCTCCCGCCGTCACAATGCAAGGCTTCAACATGGGGCGGTACGTGCCGCCCGACGTCGAGGGGACCACGACCGGCAACAAACTGCACAAGAAGCGCCCCCCAGGGTTCTCCGGCGGACAGCAGACAGTACGCTTCGAAATGCCCTTCGCGATATGGTGCGCGCACTGCCCCCAACCCACGCTCATCGCGCAAGGCGTGCGCTTCAACGCCGCCAAGCGCAAAGTCGGATCCTACCACAGCACGCCCATCTTCGCCTTCCTTATGACGCACACCGCGTGCAGCGGCGCCATCGAGATCCGCACCGACCCAGAACACACCACCTACGCCGTGACCTCGGGCGCGCGCCGGCGGGACACGGGGTCGCCCGATCCGCTCTCGCAGGCCATACTAACCGACAAGGAGCGCGAGAGCCTGCGCGCGAACGCGTTTGCCAAGCTGGAGAAGACCATTGCTGACCGCAAGGTCCTCGAGGACGCGAAGGAGCGCATCGACGAGCTGGAGCTGGAGAGCGCGCGCCACTGGGAGGACCCGTACGAGCAGAACCGGCGGCTGCGCGCTGCGTTTCGCGTCGGGCGCAAGGAGCGCGAGCGGGATGTCGCGACGGCGGAGAATTTGCGCGAGAGGATGAGTTTAGGGATCGAGTTGCTGGCCGCGACGGACGAGGACGCGCGACGGGCGAAGCTGGTGGATTTTGGGCCGTCGTCGGATACCGCGGGCGGCGAGATGGGGCGCAAAGCGCTTGCGAAGCCGTTATTCTCGACGGGTTCGGCGAGTGGTAGCGGTAGTGGCGCGGATACGAAAGACGATAAGAGGAAGAAAATGAAAAGCAAGAAGTTGAAATCCGAAGTCGCTGCTGCTCAGATGAAGGATAGTTTGGTGTCTGAGATCGTTGGCAACACGCGGGTGGCTCAGGACCCGTTTCTGTCGCTGGATCGTAGCAATGGGGATAGTAATAAAGGCCCCCCCAGGATTGTTGGGATTAAGAGAAAAAGGCGAGAGCCAGAGCCGGAGCCAGAGTCTCAAGATCACGAGGAGCCTAGATCGTCAGAAAAGATAGGGGTGGCTAATACAGAACGAGAAGGGAAAGGTACGGTATCATTAACGTCATTAGTTGAGTACGATTCGGATTAAGATATTACTACATTAGAATGGCGTCTTGGGGAAAAGGGGTGTCTTGTTTTGGTCATTAAAGAGATACCCGGGTTAGATTATGGATATATAGCATATTAGGGGAGTCATGGGAGGTATAAGGCAAGATGGGACTACGCTCATAACACGGGTCTGGTCGTGTTGATTAAACTTTGTCATTGATACGTTTGTTCTATAATGATCATGAAAGCAATTAAGAGCGTCTACCTCCAACGATTTGGGGCGAAAACAGCAAGCTGACCAAGAACATACCGGAGGAAGTCCAGTAAAATATCAATGCTACCTAGCTATTGAGAACGATTGCAATTCCAGCAGTCGGCTCAATTCCTTATGCAAATTACGTGAAAAAACACCAAACCCACCCATAACCGCAAGGGAAATCCGTATTACTCCTTAATCCAGAGTTGATTCATCGAAGAGAGGCGAGTTGAAATATAAGGGAATAGCGTGAGACGATGAATTACACGTCGTCCATCTGACCGGCGGGCTCGTCCTCTTCATCTCCGAAGCTGGCAACTGAGGACATATCGTCGTCGTCTTCGGACTCGGCTCCGGCATCGTCTGCTGCATCTTTACTGGCATATTTTTGGACATATTCTACTTTCTGTTAGCCAGTCTCACCCTCCCGATCTCGGATACTCTAGAAAAGCGACGCTAAGAAGGACATACCCTTAACTTTAGCATCGTAGCTTTTCGGCTCCCGCATCAGCAATGCAGCCGCTTCACCGTTCAAAGGGTCGGCGGGGTTGGGATATCGAAGGAGTTGCGGGAGGAAGACTTCGAAAATGTTGATCATGTCGAACATCGGCGACCAGGTTTGGTTAATGACATCCAAGCAAACCGAGCCGGACCTGTTCCATAATATTGCTTTCCTTAGTCCTGTCCTAGAACATAATATTCCTCGTGCCGAAGGGTTCACATCTAAGACCCAAATCACTTACAGCTCATCTATATTCGGGTGGAAGATCCGGTTCACGAATCCAATACTGGGCGACTTGTATGGGTATTGGTCAGGCAGCTCGACGTGGACTTTCCAAGTTCCATTCTCGAAGGGTGCTATAATGGGTATTTAGTTAGATATGGTTGGGTAACGAAATCCGACTTCCTCTTTACTAACTCTCGGCGGGTCCCTTGAATCGGACGTAGAATTCTTGCCTAGAAATATATGTAAGGATTTAGAGGATAAATGCGAGTACGGCGAACTAGCTTACACTGTAATCATATTGTTAGTATCGTAACAAATGAGAAGCGAGAGGGGTTAAATACTATTGTCGTTGACTAGAGTGACCTCATAGTCGGACATAAGCCTGGGAGGATTTAGTTGGAGTATCAGGCTTCGTTAGCAAAGGCAATCATACATCCTACAAGATAGTTAGCGGAGGTTCCGAACATGAATTAACGAAAACGTCGCATACTTCATGACCTTATTTAGAATTACATGTTAGCAAGTAATGTCTCCTGAAGTTATATATACTCAACGTAGACTTACATCTGTCTCGATTCGTCTGCGTGGGCTACTCATTTTGCTCTTGGTTCTACCCTTCCGTGGTTGAGATATTTCCTTGTAATGGTATTTCCTTTATTCTCTCTTAGGTAGTCCTAAGATCTGCTCGCTAGGTGATAGGGTTCTCTCTCGTACGTTGTCTTTTCGGATTTGGTTTAGAATATCCTGCTCGTTGTTCAAAGGAAATATTCTCCAAAGACAGAATTATCGAATATTTTACTAGTCGTAGTAGGGGCGGCGTATGGGTTGGTTATTCTTGTTTCTTAGGTGTTCGTTGAATGCGCTGGGGAAGGAAGACGTTGGGAGGAGGAGTCGATATGTTGGTAAAAGGAGAGAACGATTGAATGGGATAAAGTTATCAGGAGGTCGTTAGGGAAGTTAGTACCTTAAAGCTAGGTCGGATTGTACCGTAGTAATGGGTGCTGTAGTACCTAATGACCTATAGGATTTAATGGGTTTGATGGGTGAAAGAGATGTAGAAAGTGGAGGTCTCTTGCCTTTGAGTTTTGAATCCGAGTCAAGTCACGCACTGCTTGAATACTGCTTGAATGCATAGAGCAATGACGCGACATTGCCTAGATAAGCCCATTTTAGCGCTATATATTAAGTAAAATCCCCCGCCAGCCCCGCTAAGGTGGTGTGAGAATGGTTTATCGATTGTGCTATCGTACAGGTACTAAGATGCTAAGACACAGTGGAAAGGTCTGCTAACATGTTGTATTAGCACATTGTAATTGCTGCTATCATAGGTAACTCTAATTGATATTTTAAATGTTTCCTATCAGATATCAGCCATCAGCCATCAGACATCAGACATGAGACATCACTTCATTACTTCATCATTTGTTACATTATATCACATCACCCCTTCTTCCATTCATCCTATCTACCTGCTTTTCTGTATGTAACCCTTCCCTACGCCAAACCTGCATCGCATGTTTGCTTCCATAGTGAATGTTGCTTGGGCATCAGTTTACTTGCGTCCGGCAGAACTTCTTGACTCATGATTCGTGTTTTCGACGATGAGTTTTCCCCTCCCGTTGCTCGCAACGTGTTCCCGTCACGCTGCATTAATAAGTGCACACGCAACTTAATTTGTCCAAGTTATATCTCCTTGCATGCCTAGACAATTGTCTTATACCAAGAGATCGGCTCTCTTAGACCGGTAGTGCTGATATGACTCCTTATATATATTAGGTATATATGTCTGCACGACATGACCAGTAGTTGGGAACTTCTCCGGATTTCGCCAATGAGCCGCAAACCACGATCCATCTCTGCAACATAGGTTATGTGCCTACTAGGTATTCGTAACCCTTTATAGACCGGGTTGCGCGGGTTCTTTGTCTTTTGTTATGGCGTAGACCAATAGCCATACTATACTCACTGCGGGAGGTGGTCAGCTTGTCTCATTCAAAGCGGAAAATACTATAGACGAAACTTCACGAACCTTTCCACTGGCTTGTTGAGCGTTTGGAGGCAATTTAAGACCGGGAAGATTTAACGGTGGCGGTGTCACGCCTTCGATTCCACACGTAACCTCAATACTCCTTAAGAATCCACCGAAGGCCCTCTTCTCCGGAGTAAATACGGCTAGGTTGGCAAACGTTAGACAGTTGGGCTCGTTGAACAAGCGTGCCTGGCACCCATCATCCATATTCGCGATGAAGGTCCCACATTGTGCTACCCCAGGTACGTTATAACATTTCGGGGTTGAGTGTTGCGATCCAGGTTTGGGCAGCTGGATGTTCATCATTACTGTACCGCGGCAGTCTTTCGGTCCAGGTGATCCTGAGAATAACAATGCGGATATTGGAACCACAGGTTCAGTTGGCTGAGCTTGACTACCGGTTGTAGTACCGTTAGGTGGATTCACATCCACTTGTGGAATACCTGAGATTTGCGGTACATCCGAGACTTGCGGGATGCTTGATTCGACGACATGTTCTACTATTGCCTTCTCGGGTAGGTAGTCTGTCTCGCTCGTTTTCGTTGCCCCGTCCATTACGAGGGGGCGAATCGGTTCCTCGACCCGTATCCTTTGACCTAATGCAGATGTTGCTAGCCATAATAGCCCGAGGTTAAGGAACGTTATCGTGTGGCCTCGCCGTATTTCCATCATGATTTTTCCTGTTCGCTACGTTAATTGAGGAACAGAAGAAATTCTTGAGGATTTATTGATCTCGTGGCAGTCTTCAGTTTGAGACATCGCCAAGATACGATGCGAGTTAGTGTGGACGTGCACCCTCTTGGCGTTTCAAGCTTCATCGATTTACTCCTTATGAGAACAAGGGAATTTTGATGCATTTGATGATACGAATTCAAAATTGAAATTTCTCTATATGAATATGACGCCGTCTATTAACAAGATTTTATAAGCTGAAAACATATTCAATAAGAGAGTCTTTATCCAGCTGGCTCATCAACAAATTACCTATTTATACGTATTTCGCAGGCCTTCCCTTTTGTTTCCATCCTACCTGCCAGCTAGTCCAACACCATAGGTCCAACTAGCTATCGGTTGTATAATTCGGTTGTATAATCAACAACCGCAAACCGCAAACAACTTAGCATGTTATTTAGGTATCGCAACGGAGAGCTCGTAGGTAGCACCCGGCTGGATGTTAGTGAAGCGCGCTTCCGGGAGGACTCGACCCTCGTGCTTTACCACTACCTCCTTTACATCTGACGAACGACGGATGTCAATAACGAATGTAGCGCCCCGAAATAGGCGTGTCACTTTGATCGCATCCCAGGAAGAGGGTAATTGTGGCTGGATACGCAAACCCTTCGCGTCTCCACGTAGACCACATAGCCCCTCGATAAAACTTCGGTATACCCATGACACTGTCCCTGTGTTGAAGAGCTGGCTAGATCGTCCCGCGGTACGGGGATATTGCTGGTACGCGCCTCGGTAATAGTTGGGAATATACACGGGCAGTTGACCCCTCTGTATATAGTCCTCTTCTGAAGGTCCAGGGATCATCTTTCTTAGAGCATCGTATGCTCGGTCGCTCTCCTTAATTGAATATAGGCTGTGGACGTAGAAGACGGCCGCATGGTTATAGACTGACCCGTTCTCAGCCGAACCGGGATATTTTTGCGTCACACGCCCTACATCTTCTCGCATACCGCCATATGGAGGAGCGAACATCACAACGCCGTACGGCGTACCCATCTGCGAGTCTACTTGAGGCAATATTCGCGTGATCTGCTCGTCGCTAGCCGCCCCGCTCAAGATCGACCACGTCTGCGGATTCAGCCAAATACGACCCTCGTTATCCTTCTTGACGCCGAAGATCACATTATCGTCCGTGATTCCTCGCGCGAACCAGTCTCCATCCCACAGGTGTGCATTAGCCGCATCGTTGACCTCCTTGGCGCCTGCGCGGTAGTGTGCTGCTAGATCGGTTTTGCCTTCGTGCTCACAAACATCCGCCCACAACTTCAACGCGAATGCGGTAGCAACCGTCTGCCACCCGGATACACCCTTACCTTTGTAACCCACCATGTTCAACGGGTCGCACCAATCACCTTGCGCGATGTAGCTCAGCCCACGCGTGTCTCGGGCCGAGAGTAACCAATCCATAGCCCGACTAAAGCGCTCAAATACGGTATACGTATCGCCATGCATTCCTTTTACTTGCTCCTTCAGAAGATCATAATCACCTGTCTCGGCGAGATACGCCTCTAGGGTGACCGGCAACCAGATACAGTGGTCAGTGTGCGGAATCTGGTTAATGTACTTGAGCTCAGCGCCCTCCGCCAACAAGATACCGTCGGGCATGGCGCCATTTTTCTCCTGTTGTGCTACGGCGATCAGGAAAGCTCGACGTGCGACCTCAGGCTTGATATATGACATGCCCATGTTGTCCTGCAAGTAATTACGCGTCTGCGGATCTGTGGTCAGCCGGTTCACGTCGCCATGATAATAGCACTGCCGCGGTAACCAATTATTGACAAAGTTATCTACGTGCTTATCAGGGGTCTCAATTTGTAAGCACCCTTTTCCTTTGTTGATATACTCTGCATATTCCCGGGCTGTCTGTGCGAATCCTTCCTTGCTGAGGTACTTATCCCGTACCGAACGGATTTCGGTGTCATCGTACGCGGGTCCGAAGAGAAATCGGTACTCTCGCTGTTCGTTTGTTTTGAGCTCCTCACGGTACTGTACTACAGCCACAGGCGTCTCGTAGCGAGCATCGCTACGGCTGAGCTCTGGTTGTTCCAGCGACGAAGGTGCATGGAGGCCACCTTCACCCTCGAAGGCCTGTTGCATTGCCTCCCATGATACTGGAGAGGTTTCACACAGAAAATATGACTTGTCCTTCAGATACTTGTTCTTGAAGTAGTCTGTTGCCTTCTGGTATGGTGTGATGCTGCTGCTTACCACGCCTCCGAGATCCGGTCGCCATTCAGCTTCTTGATTCATCCACGACATGTACCCAAATGGGAAATAGGGGTACACGCTAATTCTGCGCGGTCGTGAGGATATGTTGGTCACTTTAACCGACCATAGCTCTACCACATCATGCGTTGGAATAACCAAGGTCATTTCAACGCGGATACCAAGGTACTCAACGGTCCAGGAGATATCACTCTTGCCAACGGAAAACACGAACCGGTTAAGCGGAGCCCGCACCGGCTCATAGGGTGCTGAAAACAGTTGGCCAGTCTCCTCGTCCTTGACGTAGACAAAACGGCCCGGGTGGTGTGCGTAGTAGTTCTGCTCGGGCTGCATGAATGTCTTGGCTTCGAGATTAGGCGCGTGCGCGTACTTTGAAGGTTCGGGCTGCATGAATTGTGCCGTCGCATACCCACGACAAGTGATCTGGATCATCATCTTCTGATTCCACAAGAAAGCGCCAGATTTCGGCAGAGCCGTCGGGCTCGCCAGCTCGTAGCGGTCGCCGTCATCTGTAGAGCGTAACATCGTGTTCACTTTCAGCCGCAAGTGTATTTCTCCGGATGTCTTCAATTAGGTCTTCCGTCACGTTAGGTCATTTGTGAATCCGGGGTTATGGTTTATAAAGGGGACAAGACTACCAGACCGTGGACCATGGACACCGCTACGCCGGTACACGGGGCTTGGCGTATGACCTTCTTGCATGGAGCTCACTCGGGAGAATATACGGGTAAAATAAATACGCCGCTACGACGTGGGTGACGAACCAATACCTTGCTTGGTATATCAATCAAGTGATCCACAAGAATCCTCTAAATCGGATAGAGCTTTCGAGGACATCGTTCGATTGCCGCAGATCTGCTTGTGTTCCTTCAATATTCTCGCAATTCTCGCGAGGTAATGCCGGCGGCATATTTCCTTGATGTACCGTTAGGTTGTACTATATATGCGAACTCCAAACAACTCTTCATACGACGTAGTGATTCGTGGGGTTCTATGATATACTTACTAAGAGCGGAGCTAGGATCGGAGCACCAAGTAGGCAAGCTCGCGGCGTCGTGGGGGAATCTCTCCGCTGCGGGAGACCAAGCCCGACGAGCCAGCTACTTAAACCGAATATAGACTGGTAAGTTCATGGCATGGTAGGTTAGTCCCAACGAAGGATGACATATTAACCTATTTCCCCATCGATTCTACTGAATTATAGAAGCGACTAAAAAAATACAGCATTAAATATGATTGGATTAACAGGCTAAATAAAGAAAAGGCAGCCATAATAGTCATACCGATTACGTACCAATATAACTCAACATTTTCTATTACTCCTTTGAGAAGCGTGTCTAAGCGAATAGTTAATAACGCCGAGAAAACTATCGTCGGGAAACTCAGAGTGATAGCTTCTCTTCCCAAATACTACATTATTATTATAGAGATTATAGAGGCCATTCTACTGGTAAATTAATCGGACCTCGAAGCCATATAATCCAAGTTTATCTTAAAAGCCAATGTGACTTTAACAGAGCAAAACTTGATTTTATGTTTCTTTTCTTGGCTTCTTATAAGTCCTATTTTTATATCTGCTTATTGATTAACCAGTCAACGCACAAGAGCGAAAGAGTTAAGCTTCCATTAGTTCCAATTTATACTCCTGTGACAACTATAGCTATTGTATTCACATAGGAGCGTATTATGAGCTATTAACGCTTAGTCGACTAAGGATCCATTCCATAACTACCCAGTCAGGCCCCTATATCCCTAGATATTATCTAGAAGTCTATCTGGATGGCACTAAGACTAGGTGTCAGCCCCTCTACCTTATCCGAAGCATATTCGTCATATCGCCGATGGATATGAGCGTTGCTATTGGAGTGGCATCCAGTAAAACCAAGTTGTTTCTATTAGATTACATCTTAACAAAATCACAAAATTAACTTTTTATAGTTATTAAAGCTCTCTTGATATAAGTAGAAAAGACGCTGTATTGTAGCATTATGTATTATTGTAAACTATTCCCCTAATAGGCGTTTATACCTACCTCCTTTAATGTTATTATAGCAATACTACTTCCCTCTCCTTATCCTATGCCACATTAATCTTGCTAGCTACTACTGCATCTCGTCAGGGCGCCTACACTGGCGTTACGGTCCTGTTCTAATAGTTTCATGAAAGGTAGACATCTGATCTAGAAATATCATGCCAAAATCTAGGGCCCAGTAGATAGGTCCATAGTTGTAATAGCAATATTTAGAACTGCTAGCGTAACTTCACCATTATTCCCGGACAACATAATTAGTCTGTCCTCATTCTCTATGGGGATACCATCCTATGAAATAGATAGTTTAAGAATGCTACAAAGTTGATAGGCGCTTAAAAGCCAAGTTGAGGCGTTTTACGGGGCCGTGGCGATTATCATTGATTCCTTCGATTCGAATAAGAGCCGCGACTGAGACAATGCCACTAAGCGCATAGAAGATTGTACAATAGGGAAACAAACTGAACCATTAAGGGGTACTTGCGGCAAGCAGCTTCGTAGACCTGCTTTATGATGTGAGCGGCGCGATTGGACGCGTAAGCAATACGTATCGGGGCACGAAAGCGATGCTTGGCAGTCGATTCGGTCCCGGTCTATAGAAATAACTGGGGTGAAACGAAGAAGTTTATCGAAGTAGCGGATACGACTGATATCGACAGCCTGAGGTATTGCGCAAGAAAAGGGATTGCCATTTCATTGGGGTTAGCCTAAGCCTAAGAAATTCGGTAGTAGTTGACTAATATAATTTTTTCATGGCATCGATGGTTATGTCGTAGAACGTGGTTAACCGATATGACCTTCGCATACTCATCGATATCCGCTACCTCCAAAATCGATGCATGCTTGGTCAATGGCGAGTCAAGTGTACGGAAACAAGTGCTCATAAAGTTGTGTACCCAAAACTCAGCTTCCCCAAGGGGTTTATTATCCGGATCGTATCTTGGCCAGAAGCGTCATCAACTAGGAGACCATCTAGAGAAGCTCGTGCTTCATGGTCTTGGGTGGATCTCGATGCTAGCTTAATCGTAGTTGAGCCACGTTGCGACGGAGGTATATATGCAAACTTGTCAGTGAGCCAGAATGTGCCAAAGAGGCGAACGAGGCCTATGAAAGCCAGGGGAAAGAAGATTAAGTCAACACCCCATATAAACGACGTGACCGCCCGAAGTGCTGCCTACGGATTTGACTAAGGGAAACAACGGCGTGTGCGCCCTACAACGTCACAATGACAGTCTTAATGAACCAATCGAAAAACAAAGCCGTTCAGGCGTGTGGAGGCAACTGTGTGTAGTACGGAGAGCTTAGGTCAATCATCTCCTCCAAGCCGTCCCATCTACGCGTTGCCCAAAAGAGCGTATTGCTCCCGGTCGTATCCTTCCTGTCTCAAGTCTTGGCTCGGATTCGCTGACTTGTAATTGCAGTATATTGCCATAAGATAAGATGTAGAGCTGTAAAGAGTAGCACGTTCATTTCACTTTGGAAGGCGTTCGTAGAGGTACGATGGTCGAGGAAACCCGGCTATGATATGAGTAATAGGAGGTGTTAGACCTAGAGTTAAGATCGAACACCATTCGGTGAAAGAGATATATTCCCACTCCGGTATGTCAGGATAGATCTTGAATTGCTCGGTAGGGAGTATACATGATCCATTTTGAAGGCAGATAAGAGAGAATATCCCCAATACTTGATGGGAGCTGGCATCTTTCGGATTTATATATATTTTAAGAGCCGTAATCGCATATCCTTATTGTGCTCAGCTGCTATACTAGGTTTAATCTATATCCACCAAAGTCGGGTAGATCATATTATTTCCCTATTCGTACTACATGAAGTGATAATCGACGTCCCTCGGCGAAAGTAGTAAACGATTCAGAGTTTGTGGTCGGTTTAAAAGCACAATGCACTGTGCTTTTATTTGATTAGAAACTGACTCTCTTCTGTCCATAGCATTATGTACCTAGATAGGTAGCAACATAGCTATAGGAAGATTGACTTGTATATAAGAGCTGATACTAAAAAGGGATGGTGGTGAAATGTGCGTAGCGTTCTGCAGAATAGACAAAATTCGGGTAAGGCTAAATAAAGATTAGCCTGCGAGAGCAAATTTATAGCCATTGTAAAGATGCCAAGGTAGATATACCTTCAAATATTAGTAGTCTGGAACGTCGTGTAATATTTCGGATTTGAAACTAGTAAGTAGTCGCGTGATGTAAATAATATAAGTAAAAACTTGTTAGAATAAACCAAGAGCCTCTAGTTTCCTCGTCAAAGGGCATTTCTGCGCTTTCGCGTCTGAACGCGCGCCGGCTTGGAGAAGCATCCGGACACCGGCTTCGAAGTCCCGACGGATCGCTATGTGTAGGGGCGTCCATCCGGAATCGTCGTACGCATCGACATCAGGGCGATCTATCGCATAGTAACCCTGCGGTTCGAGAAACATGTGCAGCATACTTTCGCGTCGGTACACCGCAGCCCAATGTAGTACCGATCTCGCGTCCCGGTCGACGGGGGCGATAGGGGCACCGCGTGCGAGTAGTAATTGTGCCACACCTTCATGACCACCTATCACGGCGTGCATTAGTGGAGTACGTCCATCACTGTCTTTCTCGTTGAAGTCTTCTCCCTGTTCTATTAGTATGTCGACCATTCTCTCGTGTCCACTCTGAGCCGCGATATGTAAAGCACCGAGCCATCCATCCTCGGCATCCCCGCGTACCGACTCTAAGGACTCTTTAAGACATGCCGAGCGTCGGTATCTTAGTGGCCTTCGTATTTCATTAGGTGGGGGCTCTTGAAGCTCATTTTCATTATTATGGAGTGGACGAGAGATTCTTGTATCATCAACTATATCGGTTCCTATTATTCTGTCGGGAGTTATGTCTAGCTCCCGCAGAAACTGTGACGGCGAGGGAAGGTTAGTATCGGGTGTAAGCCCCGTAACCGTGCTCGATAAGAAGCCATCTATAACATTATGATCCCAGATGTTAGGATCGATATGAGTAACATTATTCGAACTGCCCCCGGCCTGAAGTGAAAGGCTAGTAGTTGATAGGAGACTAGGTAAAGTGATTCCATCACTTTGTGGAACCACATCTACATTCACGGGGTAAAGTGGCGATGGCTGAGACTGAATTTGGTACTGGGGTCCAGTTATAGATGCTCCAAAACTCGGGTAAGCTTCAGAATTGGCATGATCATTATTTTCATCTACAGCAACATGGCGTCCTTTTTCTCTCTTTTCTATGAAATACAAATATTAGCAGGTCGAAGAGACAAGACAAAATATAGGTAGTTAAACTTACGGCGAAACCTGCGTTGCGCTACTCGGTTTTGAAGTCTACGACGTTCGGCGGCGTCATTAGGAAATTGGATATTAATGTCCATGAAGAAATGAAATGATAGGAATGTATGTAGAAGTTAGTTGTGAAATCAAGTAGGGGATGATACAGGGGATGATACACGAGTAAGTGCATATGTACTCCGAGTGTTAGACCATTAGTCCATAACTGACAACAAAATCGCGGATGAAGATTCGTCCGATTGACTGATATATGTAAAGACGGTATGATTATAGCGTATATATATACGCTAGGTCTCCTGTAATTCAGGTGGTTATAGCATATAGTGCACTATAGTTATAGTGGTTAAAATACGTTGCAAGTTTTGGGAATTATCCAGCCAGTCAACCCACAGCTGATTTAAGCTAATCGCCAGCTGTAATAGCCTTACTATTCCAGCCAACCGGGTGAATTTCTATCCGCGATTCTGTTTTGTCGCACTAATGGTGCACCGTAGTTAGACAGGGATCCCCAGGTCAGGTATCTACCTTGCAGAATCTAGAGTTCCAGTTACAGATGCGTAACAGTGGGCTGCAGAATCCATGTTACCTCTAACACTAGCTGCATACTACGCGTACATCTCATGGATGTACCTGCAGCCGAGTATTTTGATAGAAAACGAGCAGCATCAAATTTGAATTGTAAGAGATATTGCTAGTGTATAGTTATTGACTTCCAAAGTACATTAGGTAGGTAGCTATGTTATTCGTAACACTTAAAGCAACCAGAAAAGGGAGCACATGTGGAGCACATATACAGACTTAACACAACCATATCTACAACTTCACAAAAGGGAATAGGGAAAAATAACTTCTGTAATAAAACAAGTCGCATCAACTCTTAATAGAAAATGGGACACTATGTCCTCATGTTTGCATTCGCAGGTTCAGAAATACGCCATCCTAATACACGTTCAGACCCATTACTGTCCCTCACCCCCTATGTGCCAGAACTTCCAAGTCCTCAACTTACTACCTTACAGCATGAACATACCGACGCCTGAGACCAAGGCAGTGATCACGTAGGCAGCGAAGAAGGCCTTGCCATAGTTGAAGAACGAGGGCGCCATCATGTTACCTACAGCAGCACCTTCGGATGAACTGCTTGCAGCTGCGGTACCCTGCTGGCCCGTTGGGCTGACCACAGAACCTTCACCATTCGTACCAGCTGCCGAAATCAAAGCCTGGCAGCCAGATGAGGTTTGGGGGCTTTGCGTCTTGCCTAATCCCTCGAAGTCGCAGGCGCTTGCCTTGTTGTCGCTGTTTATGTATAGCTGGTTGGCCACCCAAGCGAGTTGCTGCTTGGGAGAACATCCACCAAGAGCGCCATAAGTGCCAGTCGTAGAGTTGTGGGCAATTCCCTTGCAGTAGTCCGGGTCCGAGCCACAGATGTAGTCGAATACCTTTGCGTATGAATCCTCATCATCAGAATCGATGTTGCATTGCAAGCTAGCAACCTCACACTCGCAAAGCTGAGGGTTAACCGCAGGGGGAAGAGGTGACGCAGCAGCAGCCCATGTCGTACCACCAACACTAGGGCAGGCGGGAGCAGTGTTAGACGGTTTGTATGCGCTTGACTGTGTGAGGGACGGTGTGACCTTGGCTAGTTGAGACGAAAGAGAGGTGTATTCCGGGTATGGGCTAACGCTGTCGCCATCAATAGAGACCAAACCATAATGGTTTTCCGCTTCGAAATATTCGTAGACGATACCTCCCGAAAAGACTGAGGTCATGTTACCGTAGAGAACAGCAACCTCAGTAAAAGGTCTGTGGCCCTTCTCAACACCCTCAATACATCCGTATTCGGCAAAGAAGGCAGGGACGGGATAATCTTTGAAGAAATCGACACGAGTACCATACGATGAGCTCTGGTAGTTGCTGTCTCCACACCATGAGTAAACGTTGTAGCCCCAGAAATCAATTGATGTAGAAACGCCATCTTCGGGCTCACAGGCAAAGTAATGAGCCAGCTCATCTCTGCTAGGAACATCAGCAGTTGCGTAGCCTACACCCAAAGAATCACGGTAGTTCATCTGCTTGATGTAGGCCTTTGTGTCACGGACGGCGGCCTTGACGAAAGCAGCAGACGATGTCTGATTCTGCTTCTCTACGACTTCGTTGCCAGCAAAGAAGCCGATCACGTTCTTGTACTTGCTTAGAGAATCGATGACAGCAGTGTAACGCTGGTAAAGACCGACATTCCATTCGGGGTTGTCGCTGTCGATAGAAGTACCAGGCTCACCAAGATCGGCAATGACATAAATGCCATTGGAGGCCAACTGCTCCATGCAATCATCGTGATCTTGGGTGGGATCGATAGCATAGACTCGGATCACGTTGGTGAAGATCTTCTTCATGACAGGAATGTCGCGCGAACACTTCGAAGCGTCGGCCAACGGATCAGTATACTTGGTGTTGGCGGCATTGTTAGCAGTACCGTTAGGATTGTAATCCTCCTGATAAGCAACGCCCTTGAGGAGGCTAGTCACAGACAATTAGCTTCGGGGGCTCTGGGATTCGCCAAGACAACGGGTGATAAGATGGTTTAAAGTTAATAAACTTACAATTGAGTGCCGTTGTTAGAGTAGAAGAAGTGCTGGCCTACAGCCTTGATAGGTGCAATGTCATTGTAGCTCTGAGCTAATGCGCTGCTAGACAGGGCGCCAAGTCCCAAGGTGAGATATGAGACGACCGAGGACGTCCACATCGTGGCGGTTGGTGTTTTGCGATCCTAAGCGAAAGATTCCAAGAACAACCAACCAATAGGAAATAAATTAGAACTTGGGAATTCTGAAGTTAGAAGTTTGCACGTCACCACCGAGATAAACGAGAAATAAATAACGAAAGTGTATCGGTGATAATAACGAATGAGTATTGTTGATGATGGCGCGATGATAAAATAAAAAAAGGCCAAGAAAATGGAATGCGGGAGGTTTTAATTGAGAATAGGAAGAAAGTAGAAAAGCGGCGAACGTGTAGGCCAAATGAACCAAAGAACCAGGTGGTGGATCGTCAGACCAAATCAAGATCCTTCGGTCTGAACCAATGAATTTAGTTTCAAAATTTGGGGAACAAAACTTCTTTTACTTACGTTGGTGTGAGAAAAGAGACGTAAGACTAGGAACAGGAATAGGAAATTTGACCGGAATCAGTGAATCAGTGAACCGGCGCAAAGAATGTATTAACTAAAGGTACCTTAGGTACGCATATACTTTAGGTAGGGTCCAATGATTGGTTAGTTAAAAGAGAACACGAAGAAGGAGGCTCTCTAACAGTCCAACCTGACCAATAATGGAACTAGAATGCTGCAACCTGACTGGATCGCAGTTGCCATCGACTGCTTCAATTTCCTGTATCAGAAGGAAGCTGATGTGGCAGATGGTGGCTATGCAAACGTATGCGAGGCAACTAAAATTATAGTGACTCTATGAGGGGCTAAAAACGGTTAAGGATGGGGCGTGTATCTACGAAAGGACCCCTCCAACATGATCCACAGTCACACAGGTGACGTTTATCCCGATCTAATTGGCTTGGCAATTCCGAGTTATCCGTCACTACGGAGTGACTTATGCCAATCAATCGAACGTAAACGCGCTACGAAAAAGCTTAGCAAACTTGGCAGGCTGAAATTCCACACTTAACCCGACTTACGTATTACAGATATATTTAAATGCTGGGAACCCATCCGTAGATCAATAACCTACTCCAGATCCACCATATACGAAATGGAGATCACTTCAAAAATATATAAAATGATGAAAACTTTACATGTGTTTTTTTCGAAGAATTCACGGAATCGTATTATTCCAAAGGATTATTAAAGAGAAATACGCAATTTATTAACCAATCAAAATATTTTACCCCTGAACATGAGACGGATCGAAATACAAGAGTGGCATATATTGCAGCGATCAGTACCCTAGCTGACAACTCACCGCAAAATTAAATCATCAAAACACAACACGATATCCATTATTGCCGTATCCCTACTAACTTTTCATATAGACTGACATTTACCTCAGAAATTATGTGTCTACAACATGAAACTTCCATTCTAACCCAAAGTTTATAGATTATTTAAGAACCAAGTCCCCAAGATTGTTAATGAAGATTATCATCTGGGTATACGCGGAACCGCGAGCGGCAAAGCAGTGGCGGTGCAATGCCACTACCAACAAGTCACTTACCGTTCCACTACTAGTTGGCATTACGGCTGTCGGTTGACGACAACCGAACTCGAAACAACGTTACAAGTAGAATTAGCACAAGAACACATATAATCTGAGATATTGTTCAAATAGGGGGATATTAGATTCTGACGCGTAGACACGTCTACGGCCCGGAACCAGGATAACGCTTTACTCACATGAATCAAGAATATGGAGATTTTTTAAATGAAATAATAATTTTGCGTTCTTATGTTAGAGGTAATTATCAACCCCCTTTTTAAAGATCAACCAACAGCAGTGTAGTTCGAGAAGAAGTACAACTAAGCGAATCAAAGTAGACAGCTATTGTGATGAACTACTATACATATATTAAGCAGGGTTGCTTTGTATAGATCTGTTATTGACGATATATCTCAGGCTTGAAGTGACATGTCCTCTCCAAATCCAACCCAAAGAAACGGGCAAGTGAAAGAAAAACAGGCCAAACTCGGCATCTCACCCCACTTCAATCTCCAATAACTCTTGTCTACGATTGCGTTGTTCGGGGCCGAGTCGTATCTGATTCTCGAATAACATAGATTCAGATCCAGACATGGGAAGGTCTCATAAATATGACGCGTGCCGGGCGGAGACACTCACACGATAGCGAGGTTTCTCAATGGATAATAATTACGACCAGATTCCAAAGGATTAAATATTGCTCGAAACGCTATGTAGTTAACCCCTTGGATGGTTGATATTCTTACCTATCTATATGATGAGTAATCCCTTTTCAAAGACATCCTGTTGGGACAGCATACTGATATGGAACTGATGGGCCGGACGTATCTTACAGCGTTAACTTGTCGAAGAGCTTTCCTTAGAATTGAGGGTTAAAAGTGCTGCTAACTCCCTGAGCACACGGTCCGGCCGACGCATCAAATATCTTAGTTGCTTGGATCCTATTCGGTTGATATCCCGAGATAACTGCACAAGTCGGCCATTACTCATTACTTTATAGAGCACATTCACAAACTAAACTCCCATTGGGTTCAACAAGCCTTTAACATAGAGATAAGTATTTAGTCTGATTTATTGGTTTAGTTAAGCCCAATATACATATACTCCCCCCTGAAGTGTACCTAGATAATATCAACAACGTAGTCCACCCACACCCTCAACCTAGCTACAACTCTCAAGTCTGAGTTACGCCAGGAATCTCCTTAACCCAATCCACCCGCCTATGCGAGTACAATTCTATGATTGGCTTGGCGTCCTTATTGAAGAAGTCCGGGTCGTCTATAACACCAGCTTTGAGGATTGGGTTAAAGTCGGAGATTTTCCCGATGCGCCACAGAGTTGATCCGCAGTCGCCGCAGAAGTGCGACGTTATCTCATGGCCTGAGTCGCCAACTACGGAGTAAGTCTTGGGCGTCCCGGACAGAACCTTGAAGCCGGCAGCGGGCACGATGACGTTGGAGCTGAAAGCTGAGCCTGAGATTTTGTGGCAGTCGAGACAGTGGCAGAGCATCTAGGTATGTGTTAGATACTCGTATGTTGATAGTGGATGGAATAAGGCAATTAGGGAATCCAACCTTGTTTATAGGCTCGCCCTCAGTCGAGATGCGGATCTTGCCGCAAAGGCAACCACCTTCTTTGGCCATGGTATATGTTCAGGGGTGATCTCGTTAATGAAATATAACAAATATATACAACTCTTCAATAATATTGTAGAAAACGAGCTAAGGCTATCCGAGGAATGGTTAGTTAAGATGTAGCAAGTGCCATCAAGGTATTCCAACTTATTTTATATATAAAAATTCATTGTTTAGTAAATGATACATCTATACTTTGTCTGTTTCGTATTATAATCCTGTGGGCATTTAGTCCCTGGTCGGTTACAATAACTCAACCTAAAGTTTAACATGCAGGGCGCTAGCATTGACAAATCAGTCTTAGAACAAGGATATCGAATTACTGATCGCTCCTTAGCGTTTAGTATAATCCCGGTACCCCATATATCGCAAATCCCTTGAACGGCTTACGGCTTCGGGTCCATACCGCAATAGATGCGAAGAAAGGGCATGGTTCAAACAGCCGGAAATGCACAATACAGCATAGGTAAGGTAGGTACCTAGGTATCTTAGACAGGTATTTGGTAATTATTAAAGGTGGGAATTATTTTTAACCAGATGTCTACGCCTTTGATGTAGCTTACTGTATATCGCTAAGTGATTCCAAATGGGTCTTATAAGCCAAGGCGTGGTGACGACTAATGACAACAGGGCGCGAAATTATCTTAGGGATTCTCCACCCGAGGAGACGGAAGAATGAAACTATAGTCCACTACTCAATAGTAATGCCGTAAATATCACTTGCGGGGCTGAGATAATAGTATTTTAGGTACCTATCAAAATCTAACTAAGTGGCGTCATCACACTCAGCAAAATCATTATAATATCTTAGGTACTTGAGTTATTATATATTATTACATAAGTTTTATTGCCATCGTTTAAAAATGACCCGATATATTTTTATTATTTCCGGAACTATTCAAAGGTTCACAAAGAGGAGCATGCGGATGCGGGTGTCACGAGGTGGAACCGAACAACATGGACACAACTTCCTTGTTCCGCAAGGAACCCCAACTATTCACGAGGCCCTAAGTCTATACATACTAAACCTATTCTTTGTTCTAGATGTTTCATCTAGAATCCTGAAAGCGGGGTTTAGTAGACCTATGGCCCCCCTATTCTACTACCATAAGTCTTAGATATGTGAGTCTATATAGAATATCGAGCGAAAGCCTATCACGTCTAAAAGATCCTATCCAGGAGTATCAACAATATTTTAGCGTAGTAGAGTATGCTAGACATCCAAATCACTAAATCACTAAAACACTTAAGACAAAAAGCTCCCAGTTATATCAATATAATAATGATTTCCCAACACTGGGTCTACTGATATTGCTTAACTAACACGTTTCTGCCTGTCTCTCTGCAAAGTCCAAACACTTCAAAGATCTACCACAGCTCAGGTGGTGCCGACGGCCGTGACAACTAGCCAATTAAGCCCTGACCAAGGTGAGGCCGTAGGTCGACAGAATCTCATTGACGGGCTGGAAGTAGGTCGTACCGCCGCTAGAGCAGTCGCCAGAGCCTCCTGAGGTGACACCCTGGGCCTGGGCACCGGTGTAAAAGGACCCGCCAGAATCGCCGGGCTCGGCGCACACATTGGTCTGGGTGAGGCCGGTGACACGTCCTTCGGCGTAGGTGACAGTCGCGCCCAGGGCGCGGACTGTACCGCAGTGGACACCGGTGGTAGAGCCGGAGCGGCAGATACTGGAGCCGGTGGCGGACGCGGTGCTGCCCGAAACAGGCAGGTTACCCGAGCCATATCCATCGATGTAGCCGCTGAGGGTGGTTCCGCTGACAGTGCGGATGTAGCTCATGTCGGCGCTGCCGGGGAAGACCGAACCAGAGAAGGTTCCTAGCGATGCACCGCTGCTGGTGGTGGCAGTATTGCCTGAGGTACCACAGTGGCCGGCCGAAACGAAGCCAGTTGTGACCGAGAAGCCGACGGAGCACCGGGCACTTCGGTTGATTAGGTAGGCGTCGCCGCCGAGGACCGTGGCGAAGGTGGTCGGCATCGCCTCAACTGTCCGCACCTCGAACTCGGATGCGACGAGCCCGACCTGCGAGGCCAGCGCCTCTGCGTGGGCGGTACTGCCGGCGAGAGCCTCTATGACGAGCTTGTTGGCGGCAACATCGACGTAATACGCCGCGATGCCAGTCTCGGCCGATTCCGTGGCGAGGGTCTTGGGCTGCTCGATGTCCATGTTATCAAGTGCCAACTTAGCCTCTTCAAGCTTGGAGAAGCTATTGGCCACGATAGCCGGCGTGGCGCCAGCAGCGGTCACCTCGGCGGCCAAGGCCTCGTCAGTGACGGCGACGTTGAGCGTGGTGCCGTCCTCTGCGATCCAAGCGCCGGCGAACGAGTTGCCCGCCGAGCTGCGCAGCTGCTCGATGACATCGCTGGCCCAAAGGTCCCTGGCGACACGAGCAGTGGCCTGCTTGGCGTCCAGTCCCAAGTCGCGCTTCATGGCGGCTAGGAGCTTCGGGTGGAGGCTGGTCGTAGCCTGGGTAGGGGCACCGTAGGCAACGGGCAGGACGGCTGCCAGGAAGGCGAGGAACCTGAATAGCTCCATTTCTAGCGTTCTGAAGACAACACGTGTGAGAAAGGTGAGCTGATGTTGTAGAGGCTAGATAGTAGGCAAGATGAGTCCAAGATGAGTCTAGGATGCTGCTGAAAACTACCAGACAGGATGAGAACATGCGTGCTCTTTTATACTCATCCCATCTCCAGTATCATGACTTGCATCACGCTCTTGTTGTCGCTGTCCAAAACAGAGCCCTCCATTAGACTAGCCGTCGCCAAATTCCTCCTTCCCAATCTGCCCAAATTCGCCCCGCGACGTTACCCAGGTTTGAATAGTATCGGCAGGGCAATCGTCTAAAGGCACTTCAAAAGACGTCCACCCTGCGACGTTATAGCAAGATAGGCAGGACAGTCGTTGAAAACAACCTTTGAAGATTAAGCATACTCCCTGCGCGACGAGACGGCACGTAGCCTAATAGGAAGGAGGAAGAAGAGAGCAAGGGATTAGATGAAAGCTTTTGATAGATAAGGCGTTGTAACTCCAAGCCAACACACCTCGTGACCTTAGTCAACATGCCAAGTTATTCCAGATCATGGGCTTCAGATCGGTTATATCTTCAAACTTGGCAGGCCGATGGTAATGGTCTGGCCCCGTATTGTTTCTGGCCGACAAACCGGGCGATCGACGATTCCGGCCCGCTAGATTTAGGTCGCCGGTAGGTGATATTAGCAAGCAATCTAACATATGCTTCAGCTATAGCCTACCGATGATCTGCATTTCTAGCTTTGCGGGAAAAACCTGTAATTCTCCGGCTGTTGCAGCGGCGAGCTCCGGCTAACCCGCCCCTTACTCCCGGCCCTCCCCTACTCTCTTACCCCCTTACCCCCTTCTCCTAGCTAGCTCCATCACGTTCTCTCTCCGCTTTCTTTAACGGTCTAGGCTCACTGAGACTAATGTAATCCGAGGTCTGTCCGTTTGCACTTGCCGTTCCGGATAAGCAGCCGAGATGTCCGCGGCGTTCGACACTAATAAGGGAACTTCAGTCTTGCTTTTGCCAGCCTATAAGCCTTGGCTGCTACATGACCTGAAATGGAACCTGAAATGGAGGGCACCGGAGACATTCAGCAATTCGTGCGCCTTCCTTTGTTAGCGTTACGGCTGAACAGGTAATGTCCACCTTCCGTAAATGCACTAATAATAAAAGCTTCCAACCAGCCTTATTGACTGTATTATTGACTATATTATTGACTATAGGTAGGTATTCATTCTATCGGAGGTAGTATCCACAATATATCGAAAAAAGAATCACCTGATAATGGTGATATGATTGGAATCGCATTATAGTATATGATCTAGTTATCTTATCAAAATTAAAATATCAGGCCAAGACTTGGTCTTCCGATGCATATACTGGTGCTGTCGAATGAAGTGCTGTCAATTGTAGACGTGAAGATGTATTGGGAAGGTTTCTAGAGGCATCTAAGGTAGGTAAGATGCGTATCTATAAGATCTAGGTACATCTAAATACATAAGTGGGTTTAATTATGGGTCTTATCTATGATAATCAGGTACCTAATGATAATAAGTGCCGCTTTGTGGGGCACAACAGGTATAGGGTATAGGGGTTTCCATTTCTTGATTCTTAAACTTTCAACTCTGGAGGCTTCCATGCCAAGAGGTAGGCATTATTGATACTAACATGTTCAATTAAAAGACCTTGCAGCAAGGCTTTTGTTTCTCCTAGGATAGTAGTTAAGATGAGCCCTCTGATGTTGGTGTTGGATAGATTGCCAAACGAAATACTAGTTTCCATCTTTGGAACTGCTGCTCAGAGCATAAATCAGGGGCACCCAATACCTACTTCCGAGGAACCCGACAGCCGCCTGGTGAATCCTCATGGTATTCTTTGGACCACGACTTCATTCCTGGGTATGGCGACTCTTGGCGTTCAAAATCATACAAGTGGGAAGGGCGATTGACGTCTTTTCTACATACATTATCACAACGGCATGATCTAGTCGTCTTAGTTAGGAGGATTTCTATTCATCTATTTTTAGTGGCAAAGCTTGACGAAGTCAATGTTTGGGTCGCACTTGAGCAAGCCACACAAAAACTTGCGATTCCATTCTCGAGATACTTTACCCATTTCCCGGATATGGGAAGCATAGTACACGCTGTTGACCAGCAACAGATACTCTTTGCCACATTGCTTGGGATGCTCTTAGCTACCTACCTCCCTAGTCGAAGATATGTGCTCTTCGTATCACGCATAATAGGTTAGACAAGGACAGTATCCAAATGTGATTCGGTAGACGACGTTAATCACTTTGAGCTACATGATGTTATTGAATAGGTACCTATCTATATAGGCATCACAGGACGCTTGAGTCTCTATATCTCGATTTTCGGAACCGGAGTTATACTACTCGTGGTCTACCTGAGCCTATCTCTAGTCTTCAGAGGTTTACCGCCCTTGAGAGTTTATTTCTAAACCTATGCATGGTC